CATTACGGTAATGTTTATTTCCAACATGAAGCTTATCTAGTCTTCTCAAACGGCAGTAAAATTGTTGGTTGCAAGGTAGTTAACCCTTGCGCGCCGCGGCGAGGGACGCAGGCCGAGGGCGCGCCGCGAGCCCGCAATAGATAAAACAGCGATAGAACATGCACCGCTCCGCAGCCATGAATAATTCATTAGTTCCAGTTGCCACTTTTGTTGGTATCGGTGGCTTTTCAGAGGTTCACACCGTCAAAAATGTGCGTTACGACCGCGTTATTATCCTATACTTTTACACGATGCCATTTTCGAGTCGTTCTTCAAGATAATACTTTAATGTAATACTGATACGTTGAACGATTCATATTTTGGAAACTCTCTTATCTTTGTGTGGGAAGACGGCTCAGAAATTTCCATTTTCATTGCATCACATTATATTATATACGGGTGAATCGATCGATCGACATTATATTATATTATTTTATATTATATCATTAGTGAGAATAATAAAACTAAATTATCTGCATGTCGTGTCTACATAATTATAAGCTAATTTTTAAGATTTTTTATTTATAAAGCCATTTATATCATGTCTATATATTAAAGCTTAGTTTTGTAGACCTTTTAAAAAATAATATATCTGACACAGACATTCGGCTGCTTCAACCAAGTCGACCACGACCACGGGTACCCCATCCTCCATGATTTACGATCATCCTCAAATCCGTGGATTACTTTTATTCGATAACAATAAAGGTGTCGGAGGGTTACTCTTATTATCACGGGCCATTCTTTTCTTTACACTCCTTGCTCATAAAAATGAAATTGTATATTTTATATTGCCTGTTAAATACAACTTCCCAGTTAGTCCCACCTACTCGTAGCGGGTTTTGTTCTGTTCATAATTTAATGAACGGTTTTTAATGTTTTCCAAGAATTTGATCACTAGACCTGTTCCTGTTCTCAATTGCATAGTAATTACCTTTCATAATTAACCAAATTAAGAAAAAAGGGGCAACTCCACTTGTGGTTCAAACATTTGCCTAAGAGATTATATCCAACGAGGAGGTATATCGAAGGCACGTTTGACTGATCAGGGCGAAGTCAGATTAGACGGGACCGAAAGTGATCCGTTATAATTTGAAGAGCGGACAGAGGCGGCTGGTACGCACAGATTAGCCCCTTCGATAAACAATAGCATTAGTATGCGAGGACGCGCTGACCGGCGCCGATCAGCCCGGCCGTGCCCGGATTAATTTGCCTCCTGGACGCTGCGGCTTCTGCGTGGGGTGACGAGAGTGCGCTGCCTCGCCGGGATTATCTCGCTTTGTTTATACGAAAAACAACATGCCATGTCAATAATGTCAATAACCTGCATCTACTACGACTAGTATTGCTACATATTTATTATGCACTAGCTGTGCCCGGGGCCTTGACCGGCCTTGACTCGTGGATTAGTTATCTTAGGCATAAAAAATTATAGTTGCAAACAAACTTTTCAGCTTTATTAAATTCTAGCTGTTACCCTCGACAACGTTCGCGTCCGTCGTTCTTGCGAATAAATCTTTAAAAGTAGACGTATACTGTCACGAACTTTTTGTAGACTATTTTAAGAGGAATCATTCTTTCATACATATTTTCTGGTTTCTTGAATCGTTTTCGCAGAAGACGCAACGAAAATCCTAAAAGATGAATAATCTTCACCGTTTGTTATAAATACCCTACTATTTCTTCGCTTCTATTGATCGCATATCTGTTAAAGCCTAAAGCGATAAATGCTCTAACACAAGAATATATTTTTTAATTCGATCCTACAGTTTCTGAGATTAGCGCGTTCAAACAAACAAGAAAAGAAGGAAGGTCAATTTCAAGGAAGATGTAACACATGTATGGAATAGGCGGGAATCGAACCCCCAACACTGATGTCGTGTTATTGTTAATCGCATTTGTGAGAGTTGTGATACTTGCCTAATATTCATTAGCTACATTAAATAATGACAAAAAATTATCTAAAGTTACATGTCGTCTTTATTAATCTTTCTGATCCATTCGTAAAACAGGATATCAAACTTCATTTTTTGAAGTTACATAATTAGATGCTAGATAGCTGTCAAAAATAAATCGAGGGTAGCAAAATAGTTGTGCGGGCGGTTGAGTATTCGCGGTACAACGAGTTAAGTCAGCGCACGCTAGCAGTCACTTATTTCGCATCTCGAGTGTCATTGTAAGATGTGTCTAATATTGTTATGATCTGCGCGTAGTGAAAGTACATTCGTAACCGTATTTTATTTCCGCGAGTTTAATGTGTTCGTGATAATACCTTTTCTAAATTTAGTGCACTATTGACCTTAGTTGTGTATCTTCTTCGCGCTTTATTTTAATTTTAACTAAGTATACAGACAGATATGCCACAGTAATAGTGATCGTGATCTAGAAAAACAGCCACTGAACCTGGAGGTAAGTACTTTAAACTAATTTGAATATTTTTGAACTTATTTACTAATTAGAAAATAAGATGTATACAAACTGTTCATTTGAATACAAAATAAAGTGAGGTGAGCGCAAGACAAAGAATTAATATAATAAGACCATGCCCGCAATATCGAATACTTAATTATTCTGTGTAGAACGGTTTTAAACAGGTCGAAATCTGCTATACTTCAATTATAATTTTCAATGTTGCCTACAATTCTACAAATAGCTGTACTTCTCACGGACTCGTCGCTAATAATCAACGGTCGTGAGTTCGGTCCCCACCGGGTCTCACTTTTTTTTATCATCTTATAATTATTCTAAAACATGTTGGATTTCGTCTGGAAATCTTGGTAATTATTCAATGTGTGGTAGGAATTCCATCGGTGTCATGAAAAACCGTCATAATTTTAATTTTCGATTTAAGTCTGTAGTTTTCCGAATATCCGATCTTTCCGTAAATCGAATGTCTCGTTTAGACGTTATATGGTTGGGACGTTTCGACTACATCGAGAGAATCCCAAGCCTGTCTGTCCTCCTCTATTATTAAAAAAATAGTAGGAGGTGAATGTCGAATGTCCGTTTATTAATTTTGTTTTGTATATCCGCTGAAAAGAACATAAATAATATCTTCGGTCTATATTTTGAAAATCCTTCTCGTTAACTTTTTGAATCATCTCTGTAAAGTGAGGTGTGATGGTAATAATACTAATAAAGACTTACTTATTTGATTGCCTTCCTACTTCCGCTAACGGAAACGAGACACACCCACCGCTAAGTAATGAGGTTACCTTTACAAATATGCCACTCGGCCCTGCTCGTTGTTATACGCGAAATAGAGTAATCAATAGGACAAATTTACAAAAGCACTTCCACCATGCGTATTCGCCATAAAGACAGGCCCTTTGCCATCGGTATATTGTTTATGCGACTAATACAGAAGGACGTAACAAACTTAAAGCTCAATAAATCAAAAGCTAATTTCGGCGGAGATTCGGCGGAAGCGTAGCGACGCGTGCCGAAATGTGTTCTTTGCATCAAAAACACATTTAAAAGAAGTTAGATTGGCTTACCAAAGTTGGCGTCCGTCCATACCTACTTTGAGCCTTCTCGGCGCCCTTAAAGCCAGCCATGATTTTCTAAGATCTACCGAAGATCGTTTGCAAACGTAGCTTATCAAACTAATATGACGGACTGCAACTGGTATTTAAACTATGTTCAAATACAGACAATTTGATCACTGCTTTGGAGTTGTGGTGGAACAGAAAGATTCCTTTTTTAATTCCATGGGTAGGAGAAAAAGTCAATGTCTGTGTTTAAAACAAGCTTTATTCATGACCTACTTATTTATAATCACGTGAGGCCCACATAATATGATTACATACAACTGCTATATCTCAGTTCTCATTCAACACACAATGTAAACGAACAATACACTCTCTCATTAAAAACACCTCATTTCGGCTTATCTTTTATATTTACAGTAATAATATATTCTATGTAGCATTCATTTCCTTAGAATTATCAATTTGGCAACAGGTCAACGTTTTTCTAACGACTGGTGACGTTTTAATTGACGGAATAAATATCTATACGATATAAAATATATTAGACATATCTGTGTGTCCGTCGAAGGATGCCAGTCGACGTGACGAGCGAGTGCGTCAGTATAGTAGTTGGCATATTTACCAAGTTATATTACTTTATCCTAGTGCCTATTCTTAGCTAGCGCGGTGCATTTTCTTGGCAGAAGATCTGATTTTCCGTGCCCTCGCTTCCTCACACATTTTACACGCTTTTACAATACTTGTAAATTTGCTTTTAAAATAAAGATAAAGACATTTTACAACTTCTGTAGGTATCCTTTCCTATTAAAATATAACTCCGCTGAGAACACATTATTCGTTCCCTTTAACGACAAAACATGAATTCATACTCGCTACGCATATGTTTCAGCGATTTTTAAGTTAACCAAAGAAAGAAAACGACTCATGTAAAACGCACTCTTACTCTAAACATACAAAAATTCGCTTCTATGATGTAGTGCAATTTACATTTTTTAGTCTAACGTGTGATGTAGTTTTTATTAACACTTTACAACCGGCAGATCGAAAATATGTTAGGAGGTCTAAATCCCTAGTTGTGGAAGGCAGGATCAGATTGTTGTTCGGTGACAAATAAATAATTAACCTTAGGAATACCTAACTTAACACTTAATACACTTATGTTGTCTTGCGGTTAGGTGTTTAAATTCTTATCTATGTGCATTTACACAACGATCTTAAAATAGTTAGAGAGTGGAGGAAAAACAACTTGAACATTAGACGTCATTTTTAGACGTGCGTTTGCTGTATCCGATAGTGCGAAGTAGGAACTTACAAAAGGTGTTTGTCATAGTGTGCCGTGTACATGTAAATAATATTAATGACGGTAGATATCTAAAATACAGTAAGCTCTATGTTATTACAGATAAGTGCTCAAAAGTGCATATAGAGATTAAAATCATTTTGAAAGATAGTATTAAGCTTTTTGTAAGCTTACACGAATGCTGAGAAACAAATGAACATAAGAATCCACGAACTATGTCTGCTCAGCGTGGCTTTATCTGAAATAAAAATTAAGTTATTGTCAAATATTCAAAGAACATTTCTTGTCATGCAAGGGTCGAATGTTTATTATTCAAAGGATACACAAACTATCATATTATAAAGAATACGTTTTAAAAAACTAGTGTGATGACTTAAATTTGTATTTCAATTACACGCGTATACGGAGAAAGTAAATCGTAAATAACAAGTAGGTTGGTATGGATTATACAATATAAGTAGAAATTAAGTTATAAAGTATTATGGTAAAATCATTTTCTTTTTTAGTTATTGTTATTGTGTACCGTACGCTATTAGTGACGGGTTCAAATCTCGACAGAGTCGCAAATCTTCCAAAAGTGAAACTAATAAATGTCCCCCTAATTAAAGTTCAATACGGCTAATATATAAAGCGGGACTGTGTACCTGTAACTTGTGATGCACCACCCACCCAGTTCAGATGCGTCTTTCCGCCACCCTCGTCTGGCTTCTGCTTCCCTTTATCGATCTCGTTCAGGTTTGATTGATACTTGGTTCCTACACAACATGACACACATTTGTTGAGTACACTTCGTAATATCCTGTTGCATCGCAACGCACCCAATACAGGTTAAATGTATACATAAGTAATGGAGTCGAAAAGACGAGCTAACCGGAAAGTTCGTAGAGTCTAAAAGGAAACTGTCGTGATAGGAAAACTAAAATTTCCAAGTAGACGTAACGACAACTCATTAGCGAAGGATTCAATATGGCAAGGGACGGTCGGGCGGTCGAGCGGCAGTTATTGAAAAGTTGCGCAATATTGTCGAGTGGCCGGGCTTGCCGTAAATTCGTAATGGACGCAAAAAATAAAACAGAAGCCTCGGTCGATGTCCTATCCGCGGCGCTTCGCCACTACACGCAAAAACAGCCACTCGTGAAATGCGTTACGTTTTTAAAAGTTCATTTCGTGACGTCTCTGCGCTTTGACGCCGAAAATATAAACCAATTTTGATATTTTAAAGGAGAGTTTTTAAGTTACATGAATATCTTAGGTTTGTGTTTAATTTATAAATAACATTTTTATAAAATAGTAACACGACTTTAATTAGAAGAATCGAGAATACTTAACACGGTTTTTTTTGCAAGAAATTTATAGTAATATATTTATCTATTTACCGAAGGAATTAAGGACCAAGTTTTATTTAGTCAATACATCTCGGAAATATTAAATCTTCTTTCTGTATGAATTTTATTAAGAAACTAACCAAACATTAACGAGTTTCAACGAGAAAATTGCTAAGTTCGGAACTTGAAGTTTCAAGCTGACACTTCGTCGTTGTAATAGGTTGTCGCGCAAGATGTTGTTGTCCGGCGGACGGAGACTTGCCCGGGAAATGCCCAACTTCCCAATAATGCGAAACTGACACGAGCCAAACCTATTTCATTGTAATATCGAGGAGGAACGATTTTAGTATATTATGGACACCCACTGCGAGCTCGACTCGTCGAAACTCTGTATATAATAATTAACCACATCTTAAAATAAACAGCACAGCAGACGTGCCTGAATCGTATATTTATAAAATATTTATTGGGCTTTACGAGGAGTGTAACATTCGAAAGCATTTAACAACCCACTGACTGGCGACAAGCAGAACGCCGCGCCGTAATGGTTTACGATCTATAAACAAATATAACGACCACTAATAATAACCGAAACGGCAGCAAACAATGAAAATAAACCGAACGATCTCAAGGGATCCGCCCATAAAGGTATTATCGTCTCTTAATCAACAGAATCACTGGTGTAAAAATCTTGTTTACTTTTGTATTTCGTATCGGAGAATTAATGATCTCATTATAACTTTATTAATTGACGCACACAAAGTGAAACTGTAAATAGAGTAATTTATCCGAGTGTTTTCATTCTTTTCGTGTGTTTACGAGTTCTCCGCGTTTTATTCGATACAAATGACTAGTACATTTGTCTAGATTATCGTTGTTTTCTTAGTCAGCTCTCTTTCGAAGAGTTACATTTTACGAGTGTTCACATACATTATGGCGTCAGATATTTTTTGAATATTTGTGAGCTAAAATATGCTTGTTGTTTAATGTAATCTACTTATATAACATGAATGTACATATATGTGTGAAATGGATTATTATTTTCTTTTCATATGACGCATATCTATTTTGGACTTCGAGTGAGATTTAAAAAAATTGTGAAATCTCTTGGAAATCAACTAGGCTATAATAAAAATAAAAAAAAAAATTTGATTGGGCTACCTTTATCAGTGCTAGGAGTGTCCCGACGGGGTGGTCGCGAAGGCGGCGGCAACGTTAAAGCCCTTGGGTCTGGAGTGGTCGTCGGCGGTGAAGAAGCTGCAATTAGGGCCCATTATCGACTTTGTAAACTTTAATATATTTACATGCAGATGGTACTATATAAAAATAAAAATCGATTATAAATCGAAATATTTACTATACGAGCAGGGCTTGAACCGTCATCTGTAGCGTTCCGGACTGTTGTTCTAATCAATTGAGCTACCGCGTCGTACACATCGTCAAACTTTTTCAACCTAGTGATACATACATCTCTCGCGCAATGTAATTTCAACCTTCAAACTTACATCTTAAGAAAATCATTCAAGATGAAATTGACACTTTATAATCGATTTTTAGCCTTGACAGTAGTAAAAAAACGTACTGTACAACCGTATCGTGCCATCCGACTCCCCCCTCGGATTCTTCGCTACGCATTTGTAGGTACCATAATCGTCGGACACAATGTGTCTAATGAGCAACTTCATGTGCGTTTTGTAGGCGGGCATTCCGACAATATTCTCCATGTGGTATTTCGGGCTCTCGTGGATCATGTGCCCGTCGTCTCGAGTCCAATAATTTAATGAAGTCGGATGGGCCTCAGTGAAGCATTCCAGCGTGACGTTGTAATAAAGCGGTGCGCCGACCAGTTGATGAGGTATCCACAACATGGGGGGAACTGAAATGCAACGGACGTTGATATAATACGAACGGTTATTTCAATGCGCTCCGTAACGTTTCGCTATGCTTACAATCCACGCTAACTTTGACCCGCTTGGAAACTGTAGGTGGAACTCCATTACTGGCGATGCATAAATACGCGCCCATGTCTAAACGAGATATCCTCGCCATTTCCAGCACCTCGCCCTCCCATTCTGAAACTGAAAAGATCGACTCATTAGTCTAGCGTTGGAGACGCGCGATGACCGAAATTAATCGACGCGTCTAACCGGTGTAGCCTTTGCTAATGGAGATTTTTGAGTTGTCATCCCGTTTCCACTTGATGGTGGGCTTAGGCGAGCCATTAGCGCGACAGGTCAGCGTGACGTTGGCCCCCTCCCGGACGATAACGTCGCTCGAGCTCAGCGAGTCGTCGATGGACGGGGGCACTGCGGACGTCGATAACTTAACACAAACTTTGACGACACAAACTTTACTCCAATTTATAAATGGATCCTCGGTACGTGTACGTAAATAAGAGCTAATTAGTTAATGGAAAAACTTTCCGGATTCATCGAGACAGTTACTGAGAATAGTTTAACAGTTGGAGCGTAAATTGCACTATTATTATTCGTGCCGAAACTTTTAAGTGCGTAAAAGATCGTCAACCAATTCTTTGAACGCACGAATTAAAACATAATAAACAAGTAATAGACCTCACCCACGACGTGCAAATATCCGAATTGTGTTTTGGCCGTTACGGTATTAATTTGGCACATGTAGCGACCGCGATCTTCTTCTCGCACGTCTGAGATATGTAGGAACCACGTCCTGTGCTTGTCGTGCGTCACGCTCACCCGAGGGTTCCGAGTTATTACGTGATTGTGCACAGTCAGTATGGCCGATTGTTCGAAGTGCATCCAAGCGACCTGCAATCAGATTTCTAAATTAGACGAAATTTAAACGCGCGTAGCGTAGAATCCAACTTACAAATTACCGTCTACGAAAAAGAGGAAATGAGAATAATTTTATCTTAAATAGCCATCTCAACGATATACAAACATCATTTATATTTTTCAATGCCGAGTGACGCAACGGAAATTTAAAAATGTCTCCCGTTGCGTTCGAACACTGTATTCGCAATATATTTTATCGAATCGTATTAGCGACCGGTTTCCCTGAAAAGTATACGTCAAGGCGTCGCAGTGCTTCGAGAACACATTTTAACAAATGCAAACTCCGTTCGGTGCGCTCATAAAAGATAATTAAAACGTTACTATTCTTTGAAGCGTAATTGTACACAAAAAATGTATGTCGTTCAATAGCTGACAAAATGAAACGCTTATGGTTCGCCATTAGATGCAGCGTTGCAGGATACAGTACGCTCACGCGATGCGGCGACATCTGTGTAATTACGTGAAGCTGCTATCGCGTCTACGCTGACCAATTTCCACAACATTAAAATCAATATTCATGCGAATCATTGCTTCGAAAAGTTTCACCGGCTCTAAATAATTCAAGAACATTGATGTTCCAAATAAAATCATAATGTTTTCGGGGGTAGTTGAGTTTTTTCGCGACCCGACGCCTGAATGAGGTCAGCGCGCGCTGTCAGACGCGGTTGGGTGGCACTCGTGCGAGTCGCTCGTGCTCGGTTCGCGTTTTGATATGTGGCTGCCAATTGTGTATAATCGAGTTGTAATACCGCGTAATGAAGAAACTATAGTATTTAGTGCTTTGTAATAGTTTTGCGAGTGTGTTTGAGAAGTAGTGCGTAAGGTATATACTCGAACATCCCTTGCTTTCCAATGTATACTATTTTTTTCGGGCGCTCTTTATTCCCTATTAAGACAGACACGCGAGATTATAGTGTACCTACTTAATTCAGAAGACCGCCAATGGACCGAGTACAGAGGTACGTACTTTTAGTGTTTCAACGTTTTTGCCGGTTTTCATCATGCAATATATCAAGAAAAAATAAGGAGGTTCGATAATAAAATAAGAAATACTTGGGCAATTTGAATTTCTATAAATATTATTTTTGGTATTTGAAGTAGATAAATTACAAAACCTTGTAATAAATGTAACCTCCCTATAGCGATGAGTGAGAAATGAGGCGTAATCGTGGTTAAAAAGTTGGCGGAACAAGCGTCGTCTCTTAATCCAGTTTATCTAGCCTCAAGTTTGAATCATGGATAGTTCTTTTTATCAAGATAGCGCGGGTGGTAATATCGGTGAAGTTTGTCGGCTGAAACTCGTGCCGGGTCACATCTTACCTATCTTAAACGATACGCCTCTGAGCCTCTGTCTAATTTATAATGGACTTGAGGAAACTTTACCCATTTTATTATGCAATGGGACAGTTACCCCTCTAATGACGACGACCTGACTTCTCGCCATAACCTGGACTTTCAGGGTTATTAAGCGAAGTCTTATAATATATATTTATTATCGGAAGTCATTCCGGTAATATAAATACTCATCGCATGAGATAGTCATTGTTACAATTTAAATAAACTACTAGTTAAACATAGCCGATTTTTGTTTTTTTCTGATAATTTCAAAAACCGTAAAACCGTTAGTGTTCATTTTGGCCATTGAAAATAAGAGTGGGGGCATATGTTAGTTACATTATACTTAGAAGTAAGTATTACGAATGTCTTTTGCACATATTTTTGATTTTCTATACTATAGAGTTATTACTTTATAATGCATATGGGGTAGGTGGGTGGAACTCGTCAATACTTAAAATGGCTAGTCTTAAATTGACATATTTATATACTTATAGTAGAAAAACTAGTACAGTACTTCTCCGTTTTCTCTCCGCCTAAGTTTGTGACCGTAATATGTTGTGCCTACGCTTCTAGTGGAGGTGTCGACCGCGGCGGCGCCTGATGTAAATGTGATCTGCGTAATTGTGGCCGGCGTCTAATCTAATCACAACGGTGTGTCCGTCTGCACCGCGCTGATTGAATTACGTATCTCGGCCCACCGTCTACCGGCGCTCGACTGCATAGCTTTATCGCAAAGTCAATATTTTGAATACATTAGTTTAAACAAGGAGCGCCAAGTTTACTTAGGTCATATCGGAACTAACCATATGTTCCTACGTCTAGCCCTCACAATGTTCGGCTTAAATAAAGAACCGAATCAAAAATTCGGTATAAAAGTATTTATTCTAACTTCAATATCTCATAAATCGCTTTGAAGTTTCATTTTATTGTTTGAACATTAAGATAAAATTAAAGAGAAATCAAAATTTTACAAGCGGTCTCGCGATAAGCTTTGAGTGTTGAACTTGGGAGTTTAACATCGCACAGCGGTCGGGTCGCATCCAAATATTTCCTAAAGTCCCAACTTAATTCGGAATTTGGATAACAAAATTTGTAGTATAATGAAATCGCTATAAACACGAATATAATACAACTTGGTTTTAAAGAATTGTCTATTTATTTGACTACCTACGCTTAAATATTTGTGGATAAATATTATTCGATATTATTTTCTGCTACTGTTTTTGATGCTAATTTCAGTGAAATGCCAGTCAGCATTAAATGAGCAGAGTGTGTAATGAAGCCGGCGGATGCAAATATGATATTTCAAATAGCCGTAGCCATGAACTAATTCCATTCGTCTGCGGATCCTAACCGAGTTAGGGCTGAAGCGAGATGACATTTGTCACCGGTACTTTTAAACATATTCATTTTTACTAGGCAGGGAGAGGATAATTCAACAAATCCATTGACTTTAACTCGATTCGTAAAAGACATTACAAACTTATTGTTTAAAATGAGCAAAAATCTTTCAAACATAATCGAGTTTTTAAAAGTAATAAAGGTTCCGGTGTGGAGATGACGTTCATTAACTTGTTATCTTTTAAGCACCTTTAATTTGAACCCTTCTTTCTTTTTATCTTAATTCGCGGGTAAAATAAACTTGTGTGGTTTAAGACGAGACGCTCGCGGCCCTCAGGACATGCCTGTGAGGCGTCCTTTGATTTATAATGGACTCGTTGCAAACTTTAGCCATTCTGCTGCCGCACGAAACCTCCTTAACGACGGACCCCGCGCCCGAGGCGTTGATTCGTAGACGTGTTTAATAATATTACGACAGATTTAATTATGGAGCGTTTAAGGAGGCTCATCTCACGCTATTATCTTTGTTTCTTTTGTTTGTTTCGTTAGAGGCCTATAACACGAGCCAACGTGTTATAGGCCTCTTTGGAGGTTGTATCTGTTCATTACTTGACAAATTTTTAATTATGCAGGTATTATAATATTAATGTCATTTAAATTTTTTTTTCTTGATAAATAATCCAACCACGATCACGTGGTCACACGCTTTTCAACCATTAAAAGTGCTTTATCAAAATGTATACTGGTCGCATAACCTACAGATAATACACCTTTGTCAACTAATTAAAAGAAACCAAAATAAAAGTATATTTGTATTACACGCAGCCATATTCCGTTATTATTATAGTAAAAGCTTCAGGAAGTGTACAAAGCCAAAACGAATATAACAAAACGATGGCTCACTAAGTAATGCAATGGCACACACAAGAAATAAGTGAACATCTTGCACGAGACGGCTTAGCTTACTTTTACTAAAAGCCCACTTAGAGATCTCTGCGGCTACGGATTTGTGACGAGGGTCCTCCAACTTTGCGATCTTCAACCAATAAGATATTTTCGGATTGATGTAAGATCAGTTCGACTGCACAGTTATAAAACTAATGGAGAACGCATTACTTATTCATCAAAACATTTTCATTTTATCTTTATGTGAGGCGCTAGTGACGAGTTGTTTATAGCTGATATTGGCTGTCTAAATATTACTTTTGAAACATATTTATTTGTATAGATATTAAAAATATTAGTTATTAATGTTACACACGTCAACAATAATTATTGTCTATTCAAATGACGCTACGCATTGTAGCGAGTTGCTACGCCACTACGATGCTACACTGCTACGCGGCTACACTCCGTAGAGGTATATGTGTAATTTATAATTAAAACAGTCCTACGCTATGGGAAAATAGTTGACAAATTCATATTAGAGGCAGTCCCACTAATAATTTGCACTTAGAAAATTGTATGATCGCTGGATAGCACGGAAACACAAGGACGTGGGTTTGAATCCCGCATGTATCATATTTTTTTCAATTATAAAAATTTACAAGAATCTGTCTATGATATTAAACAATATATAATTTTTCACCATAATATAATAATAGCGAATATAGGTCCATCATGTTGTGATTAAAATTACATTTCTGGTAGCGGACTATTCAGTCGCCTAAACAATTCTACTCAAAAAAACGTTGTATTTATTATAATCAAAACATCTAATTTAAAACAAGTTCGTTTGGCCCCGCATCGAGGCGCGGGAAATATGCCGGAATTGTAACAGACGGCAGTAGCATGCGGCGCGAGTCACATTGCTACGACTCGTTGTGGCATGTTATTGCAAAGCCACATACGTGCCCGTGACTATCTGACATTTCATGCCGATGAAGCTACGTGCGCATACTTCCTCCCATCCCGCGTCCAAAATTTAATTACTGTTATTTCCATGTAGCTATACAGTATTGCTGGAATTAAACTATCACTGTACTACTGTAGTGCATGCGAATCTCTGTCTTTTACATTGCGTTACGCTTTTAGGTGCTTTAAAAATGTTTATATAACGTGAATATTATGCATTCGAAGTGACAACTAATAAATATAGCTTGTGTTTTACCCAACAAGAGTTAATCGATATTTTTTTCATTATGCGAGTTAAAATAAAACTGTAAAAGTATTTATTTAACGGTTGTATACGTTTATTCTATACCATAAAACTCCGTGGTAAAATGTATAGGTATTTGTGCGAGTCCTGAGTTCAAATCCTAGAGAAACAAAATAAATAATTTTAGCTCAGGCTTTTCAACTCCTTGTCTATAAATAAAATCGAAAAATAAAACGGAAAAAACAATATGCCTTCCTCAATAGTGATTTCACAAGTTTTAAACATCGCTCCGAGCATATTTGCCATATATAGCAGTGATAACGAAGGAGTAAGGAACTTGTTGACAAAAAACATTTTTCTAAGGTTCTTCATAATAAAAATTTAGAACCATAACAAACATTCTATTCCAATAAAACGGTTGAGTACACGACCACGAGAAAACTGTCAGTCTAGCGCAATATTTCGTGTGAGTTAATAATTCTCAATAAAAAAAGAAGAAAGAAAATCTTTTTAACCGATGCGGAAAACTAATGGCACAGGCGAAGCTTTCGAGAAAATCCGCTTCTTGTTGTCAATACAGGGCAACCGTGATGGCTCCTTTCTTAAGCCTTTATTTCATGAGGAGGAATACTATCTTTGCTTGTATTGTGCTAAGATAGAGATACATCTCTTTGACGTGGGTGCACGTTAAAAGTCTCTGTCGTTGCAATTCATGTACAATAAACTCTATAAAAATGACTCAGTTACTCCAGTGACAAAACTAAAAAGAAAAGATTAGGGGTTTTCTTAGTTTGTTTTATATACGTCCCACTTAAGCACTTAAAATACTCACTCGATTTTCATAAATTAGGTCAAACTTTCCTACAAAAGCTTCATTATAAATTGAACCTAAAAAGTATTAGCCTGATTTGAATCAAACAATATGTAAAAACTATCAAAATTTCTCGTTTTTCAAATGTTACATTTAAAAATTAACATTAAAAGAGTATCTCTATAATAACTAGCAAATATTTTTAAAACACCATTACATTAATAATTTCGTTTGTATCAACAGATACTAGTAATAAATAAGTAAATCCGGCCTTGAAATGGCAAAACACGACCCTTCTTCATAAACGGCACTTAGACTTTTGTATCAGAAGACGAAAGGTAAACCAAGTTGTAGATTAAATAGACAGTATTTAATATATAGTTGACGCGACTAGTACACATTTAAATAAAACACTTTAACGGTATAAAACGCAATATATTAGTTGAACTTATTTTAAAGTTAAAAATAATTTTCAAATAAGTTAAAGTGTTTTATTTAAAGTTATATATTATTACTTTATTTTTACATTATTTATCATACCTTAAACTTTTTTGTTACAGCGAAGTTTTTCTTTCCATGAAAACTTACTATGTATAGTATGTATTAATTTGATCTATTAAAGGATTCTAAACAAGTATTACGCATATTTTTTTACGACACTTAACGTAAACATACATTTTTTTTAAATAAAACACTTTAACGGTTTAAAACGCGATATATTAGTGATTTTTAACGTCGGGCCGAAGTTAAAAATCATTTTCAAATAAGTTGAACTAATATATCGCGTTTTAAACCGTTAAAGTGTTTTATTTAAATGTGTACTACTCGCTTAAACTATAGACAGTATGTAAACATACCTTATAAGAGCCTAAGTTCTTGACCGAGCAAGCGAGTCGCACACTGCGACCCGCCGGTACCGTTACGTTTTGAATAACGTCCGTGAACTCCGGCTCCTCCACCACTGAAACAACGTGATAAATTAGGTGAAGAGAAACGACATCAGCGATAAAACCATATTCTTAACACAATCACTCCGATTCGCGGAGCCAACAAAGCTTTCCGGTTATGACGGCACTTTTTTGTCAAAAGATGCGATTTGTAATTCTCAAATTATCAAAGTAGAATGCTTTTAAACAAATTGAGTAGGCGATAAGGAATAATGTCGTCGTTTATCAAGCTCGGAGATAGATGGCCGCCGTTCTGCTCTGCCCATTTTAAATTCGTTCGCCTAAGAATAGCGCGGCTCTCGCGCGGAAGCTTAATTCCGTATCGGCTGATTCGCATCTCATCGAATGGTGTTTTGCAAACGGAATATGTGTCAAGAGTACAAAGAGGTTATGAGAAATTTGTCCGGGGACGCGCTGAGTAAACATTTGTCATTCGTCGAGCGGACGGAGGGAGTCGGAAGGGAGTCGCGACAAGTCGACGACGCGGAGTTGGCCCGGCACGAACTCCGCATACAGACACCGCACCGCGCTGTTTGGTAAATAAACTTGCTCGGTGCGATAGTTCCCTCTTGTTTACGTATCGCAGTCGCGTTCAAACTGGCGCTGCTTTTATTTCCCCACTTAGCGATCGATCTGTCCAAATACAACTCCGTAACAATAATCGCTTCTCGCTCGGGTTATCGCCGTCTGTGAAGTGTGAACCGGAAACGAGCGGATGCCTTCGAGCCGCCGTTTTGATGAACATTGCAAGTTAGCATTTCTAATGTGTGAGCAAGCACTAAGACATAGCCGACTGAAGATGAAAGCACTGTTACGTGTTTGCTCACCTGATCGTATTAGCTCTAAGCAGGATGCTCCATTTTCTGCCCGACTGCTCGCACTCAACGGATGTAAATCGCGCATTACGATCCATAACGCACCCTATTAAACCTGTCTACGCTTCCTCGGCGATGAGCAGCCGCTTACTATCTTCGGTTATTTTGTTTTATTTCCCCGAAAATTAATTTAGACAACAGAACAATATTAACAGTAATACTCCCTATTCATCGATTAATTATAACAAGCGACATTACGGAGGAGACGTCAAAAGTGATCCCACACCACGCTGGATGTAAGGCGTCTGTGAAGGTATTTAGAGGTTAATTAAGGAACCGCAGCGATCGTGCTAAAGGGTAATCCCTCTGTCAGGGGCAAGACGGTTGAGTCGGAGTAGAGAGGTCTTTAATATAACACTCATTGTATTAACATAACCGATGTTTTGTTATTTCGAAATATTTATTTTTTCCTGTCATTGTCATTATTGTTAAAGTTACAACAATGATTTGCGCATATATTTTTTCCCAGTTTCTAGGTGCGATCGATGTGAGCTTACACCTGCTGCGCGTCGAACATTCGAAAATTCGGTTCGGTGTTTGTCAATAACTCAAATTGACCAAAATTTCAATAACAATAATAGCGTCTGCGGAGACGACCTGGACAAATATTTAGTTTATTAAAGCCGTCGTTAGCGCGCGAAAACTAATCCCGATCGGAGAGGGACTGCAAATTGTTGCGGAAAGGGCACGGCTGACTAAATAATATTCTCCAACTAATAACAGTAATAACGAATGGGTCTGCGTCGTCGGGGCCCCCTAACTCAGGAATAATCTCGTAATATTAAAGCTGAGCCTTATGCAAATCGGGAGCGGTCACTCGGAAGTCATCACCGGGCCGCGTCGCGGGACTGCCGCAAATTGACAGCCCTACGACTCGACAAATTGATTGTGGCTGTACTGGATCCTCGTTATAATTCCCGTCGAGCGAAAATGACGAATTATCTCTCTCGAGCGTTTGCCCAGTTGACGATGGTGGAAGGTAGCGACGATCGAAGTAATCGTTGACGTACGCCACGTTATCGTGTGTTCATAAATTATAGAAAATTACAAATGTACGATGCCCAAAGTTTAACCGTCGTGATTTACCCATTTTTCTGATTTCAAAGAAAACATTTTATATTTATGAAAATCTGTTCTATGAAGCTACTAGAATTTTAAATAATGTCTATGTTTTAATAGAATACATAAACTAGACGTCACATTTTCACCATTTTGACGTGTATAATCCAATTAGTGTTTTTTTTTCCAATAAGAGATATTTCGAAATTTCCTTGAACACATGCCAACACCTACACTTTGCCTAATGAATACTATGTTAGAGAACAATTTAAAAATTCAAACAATTCAACCGTTTGTGTTCATTCGTTTTGTGAAGATAAATAACAAAGAAGACTAAATAATAAATCGCATTAAAAAAGTGGTATACATGTCATATAATGTCTTGTGCATTGAAACCTAAGATCTTACGATCTCGTAATACTACGTCGTCCCTAACTAAGCAATGATGTATTATATTAATCAGCTTATTTCTGTTATAAGAAAGGTCTTCGGATATCATATTAAGTATTGTGTTACGACACTGTGTTTGATAATAATATTACCGTCATGATATTATGTAACGAGCTTCAATCTTGCGTTACATAAATTGGTATTAGAAGCGCGGTCAGACGTCAGTTCGTGTTTTTATTCTTTCTTAGTTTAGGAGAAATAATTAATTCATACGATTGAATATGTCGCATCCTCGATCCCCTGTAATCGTAACTACTTGCAATAGTAGGTCGTATTACTCAACTGGGAGCATCCGACTTTTCGTTTAGTAAAAAGTCCATTGGAAAGAGTCCAAATACTACGTAAGTAATAAGCGCCGTAGCGCACCCTTTGCTAAATGCCGGACTTCGCGTGTTTTGCTTTTAATTTTCCAAAGCAAAAAACGCGGCACTCTCTAATTGGACATCATAGGAACGTTCGCTAATCGGGTTCCCGAAGTTGTGTCATAAGGGCCCGACGATAATAAAATCTGGTGGTTCGGCCCGTTTTAGTGTCGATGTTTAAGTTTATTCGACCCTGGCGACAGATGTCGCTTGTAATATTCCCATATACGATCAAATTCTTTTAAGGGAAGCGTAGATAAAGAACGCGGCGGCGGGTGTTCGGACGCTTCGGACTTCCACTTATTTGTATGCCTCACCCTTCGCGGGACGGCACGTGACTATTCGAGATACATAAACCCTGAGTGAATACAGAAAATAGAAATAAAGTATCATATTATTATATTTCGGCGGACGGATTGTGGACGAACCCTCATTCGTTTGTTGTTGTCTTACGGTACGCCGATTGAGCATCGGATCTGTATATTTACATATTTCAAATTTTTGGAAATTTGCAAAATACTGTCGCCACATAAATTAATTACTCAAATTACGCTCTCAAGCTCGAGTTAGCAGTTTTTGAAATTATCATTATTGAGACTTTTAAAACAAAAGCGCTGTAACGAACGTAGTATATCGCGTACAAAAATATCTGTCTTTCAGCCTTCTTCGTGTAAAGGTGATTTCGGAGCAAAAATATACAAATAACACGAAATCATCGCGAGGTTACGCCGCGGTCAGCAAGGCGGAAACACGGAAGCAGATGTTGACAGTCCTCCCACCCTCCTATCAACTTCCTGTCGCCTGGACCACACTCGCGGATACGCCCTTCCAATTTCGTGTTCCACACTCCGAAATATTGGGGCATAACAAAGTTCCCGCTCTCGATTCGTCTTACACAAACGTATGTAACGCTTTTCAATATGTCTGAGTACATTTTATGTAAACTACAAACTGGGACATAACACTATCAGTGCAAGTTTTTGTACTTAAATAAGGACGCGAAAACGAAAGAAGTGCAGTTAATATTTGTAATCAGGGCGAAACGGCAGACAAAAGTATTAACGCTGTTTTACGTGACCGAGGCTCAAATAGTGTTTTCAGTGCGTGAAATTGCAACGCAGAGCGCCCGTCATAAATCCAAACTCCATACTTTCTCGTTCAGCGTTGCAAATGAATGTATCATTACAACTTCAACCGTATTATTACAAATATAATGTATATTGTGGTATCATTTCGGTTCAGAGCATCCCTCGGAACGCGCGCTTAACCGTATTTAAAATTGAGTAATCAAGAGGGATTCCGAACGGCATTAAAAGCGGAAATGCCTGTTTCGGCGACTGAACGTCTACATAATACCGTTCCTTAAGTCTGATCACTAATTGAACAAGTGTTTTGAGCTCGCGGGCGCGTAAGTCGAGAGATGTAATTAAAGCACCTCTGCGGTGAGCCGCCGAGCCCCGCTCGGAGCCTATTATCGCGCCTCCACCTCTATTAGCATTGTCTCCTCGAGGGCGATACTTATCTTTATTTAAATTCACTTCTCGGTAATTGGGTTGACGAGTCGACGACGTGATTTGCATTGATGAGAATCGGCCGGTGACTCTCTAACTCCCCGGATTCGTTGCGTCGCTCTAAAATAGCCGGGACGCGTCGCGACGTAATTAAAAAAACTGGATCAAAAGCGCCGAGTCCACAAAAGAGATAGTAATAAGTCGGTTCAGGCGTCGGCGGTTATTATGTTCGCGATTCGTCGCCCGTCACGGACGTCGCGATAATCTTGACGTGACTGCGTGCGAGTGCAGTCAAAGAGGATGCGCTTGGTTATTTCTCATTAAAGCGTACACGATAAAATCACACAGAGTCGTTGCCTCATTAAAATCTTCTGGTGCGCGCATCTGTAAGCCTTTTGTGAAAGCGACGCTTCGCTCTCGACGCTTTTCATGTGTCATTTCGGGCACAATGCTGCTCCGAGAGGCCCGCCCGCCTCGCTCTTTCGCTCCGACGTGGCGGTGCGCGCTTTTTATCAGTTTATCGAAAATATCACTATACCGTTTCCCTCGCTTTGCCTCCTAGATGCTGGCGTTTCAATGAGATGGCTGCGACACCAATAAGTTCGACACAATTAATAAATACATACATTCGTATTCATATCCTGTGCTTGTGAGGTGCGCTTAACAAACCTAAATATTTGTATTCGAGAATAATGAACTATAGAAAATAGAGATACACACGGTCACATATTTAACGTTCTTCACTTTGCATATTCACAAGGTGGTCGGACGGAAAACCGCACTCACTGACTTTGAATGTTAATGGTGCCGATTAGCGAACTGGGCTCTCGCTTAATTCTATACTTTTATTGTCTGTACAAAAGCTACATTTATCCCCATTTAGGGATAATAAAATTTACCTTCTACTCACCAAAATGTGAGGTATTTGAAAAGGTCCAAATATTGTTATACTGTGATACATAATCACTACTAACAGTTAAAACTTTACCAACAAATATTTTTAAGGCTCACTTCGTTATTAATATATGTAATTAAGCTAGAAATAAATTAATATGAAAATAATAAACAGAACATCTAATAGCATCACATAAAGCTAATAAGTTCCAATCAGTAAATAACGATACTGAAGGAGCGTCGTGGCTTCAGTGTCGATGCCAGTCACGAGCTGGGCGCACGTTCGCGCTGCGACACAGTATAAATAACCTGCATGTTCATTTCATAGAGCTTCTCTCTTCGAACAAAAATCTCTTTGTAATAATTACCCTTTGAGTTTGCGACTCGCCTCGATACTATCTGGCTTATTCAGCTCGGTTACTTCTAGTTTCCTTTATGATTTCATTCGTCATTTGGAAAATGAAAACTTTTCCCTGCTATTTGTAAGGTTTTCGGTACAAAAACTAAAAAAGACAATGTGAGAGCATCGTTTCTATAGCCTCATACGAACCAACGAATATAACTGTCGTAGACCTCTAGTTTACTAAACAATATAATATCTCTTAAAATAAAGAATAATCGAATAACATAGGCAACAATTACATGAAGCTAATATAACGCGGGTTTGAACAACACAAAAGGAAAATTATCGTGCAGCGACGTCGCCGACTGAACATTCGTTCTGCTAAAGAAAATCTGTTGTGTTAGATATCTTTGATAAGCAGCCGTGCCACCAGTATGTAGATCTACGCTCACTGCAGTTACGTATTCTGTCGTCGGCAGCGGATCGTTATCTGTTTCCACTAAAGGAAACTGGCTTTTCGTAGAAAAGAACCACCCCGGTTAGTGTGCCCCCCGCGCGCCCTCGCCCGCCGCGATTTCTCCTTTTTGCGTTATTTCATTTTTCTTTGCCGACGTGCACCTGCTAGTTAGCCGCCGCGGGCTCCCGTCGCCCTGCGATAACTGAGCTTTTCCGAGAACGCTTCCTCATACATTTTTATCAGAGATTTTGTTAAACTCCAATCTTACCAATTACATAGCTTCACTTAGAACCACTTTGAAGATCGCCTCGCGTCGCGTGGCCTGCGGGCTCAGTCTATCTATCGCAACGAGACATGAAACATCAGGCCATCTATGAAGTTTAATGTTCGTTGTCAGCGCGAGGGATGGCACTCAAAGGAACGCCGGAACACAGTTTCCTGATACATTTGTATTCCTTACAGACAAGTAATCAATATCCGTTCGACGCTCACGGTGGCGACGAGCTCTCCGTCTATATGAAGTAATTTTTCTCTCGGTACGTGCGCTGGCGCATTTAGCTCTAGTGTAGTCAGGCGCTTTGCTGTGTTGTATAATGTCGTTGTTGTAAATAAATCAGCGGGCGAGTACGAAGCGAAAGCGAATTGTATGGATAACGCAAAAAATGAACTTGATGTGACATCACGCGTGTGAAATAAAATAACAGCGGCAACACGGTGCGGATGGAGCTCGATACATATTTGAATACATTACCAGAGTCACAGATAATAGCAGTGCGTCGTAGGTATTCATAACGCCTGTTTTCGTCTTTTGAATACAAATATCTTGCGATGACTATTTGCTCGAGCAGCCGAGAGGCATTTTAAAAGTTCTAAAAGCGAAGTCTCTTTGAGTTATTATCTTTAATTCATCTGTTTTGTTACTTGGTACTTTTCGGACTCGAAATAGTAAGATAACTCCGTTTCACAAGGGAACCGCAAAGCTTATTAGGAGTAAGGTCAAGTGTAAATGTGTCGATGAAGAAGGCGTTAAGCCGCGGGGATTAGAGAGAGCTTGTCACCTCGTGAAGTACCCTCTCGGAGACGAGTGCTCCTCGAGACAAGCCTCTTCCATCTGGAGACATTTGTAGGCAAATACACTCCGAGCAAATATGCCGAGCAATATCTTTCATCCGATTCTTTAGAGGCGATTTAGAATGTTGAACGTAATGAAGGAAAACACTTTCGGATCGATTTAAAACATGCAATATACTCGTACTAGTGATTTTTTTTTTATGTATGACTGACGTTTTAATTCTTTTACAAAGACTGTAGTTTTATATATCGTGCATCAAAAAATCTTAAATATCTTTAATTGTCATAAATTACATTGATATGAATGTGTCACTCGAAAGATTTCGGTTGTTTCAAAGCGAAGCGAATAATTAGAAATGTTCAGGCTCAGGGTCCACGAGTGATTGATGTAGTGGAAGTCGCCGAGCGCCCCCCCAGCGCCACCTTCCATTCGCCATTCGCGGCGACAACTTGGAGACATTAAGAATATTTAAATTGTAAATTACACTCCTGTACTGAATACCTATTTGCTGAAAGTTCTCCCTTTTTGCGATCGCTCTGAAACTGATGACACTGCGAGTCGCCATTGTTTTGAAAACGGTCCGTGACCATTCGCAAGTTTGAATTCGAGCGCTCCTTAGAGCATCGACGCAAACATGTGTCCATACGAAGCGAACAAATCGAGCGAAAGGCAACGAGCCCGTGACAATGGGGCTCGCGGATGACGAGCGTAACGCGAATAACGCGGATGTAACGAACTAAAGAAGCGGGCCGATTGAATCATCCGGCCGCCCTTTGTCATAAATCCGACGACGGCCGCCCGCCCAACAATGCGTTCTGAAATCGTTCCATTTCTCATTTTGCTACTCTCCCCTTTAATCTTGCATCCGTAGAAAAGTGGATCGACGCTGCAAAGGGTACTGCAGTGGACTTATACTGATTAATGTATTATGTTAGTGTATTGCATTGATATGCTAAGGTTTCCGGATTTGTGCATGAGCGTTCTTCGACTATTAGGTTGATTGGAAAATATATTTCCGTATTTCTACTGTATTTCCTGTTGACATAGATACCACATGGTTATAAAAGAAATGTTAGAACACTTTTCCCTCTTAAAATTGAACAAAAACAAAAGTAGCGTCAGCAAAAATAAACGATACCCACATAATAGTATAATCCTTAATGCAAAGAGCAGAAAATCCCAGTCTGTCGAGATTACGGCCGCTAACCGACGGAATCCCGGAATGGAAGAAAACAGAATGTCTTGCCAGTGGGATAATGTTGAATTTATTGCAGCGCTAAAATGTTTACGGATATCGCGCGGCGAAAGCGCCGAATCTACTCACCCTTGTAAACACGTTTTATTGGCTTTATAATATGTTTTACGCGTGACGTTTTACAAACGATCCCGGCGGAGCGTCGAATTATTTCTGCAGCACGTACTCGCGCCGAAACATTGGGAAATTGGGTTCGCGAGGGATTTGTAATTATACCTCTTGCCTCTTGCACAAACACTTTTATTCTTTGATGTGGAACGGTAGCGGGGTGTGCGCGGTGTTTTTATTCAAAGTTGGCGATGTTACATTACAAAGAAAATGAAGGGGCACGTTCAAACGACACCGGCGATATATAATACGTTATGCTGCTTACGTGTTTGTCGGTCGAGCGGTGAGTGAATATTGAATGCCGTCTCGATGACTATAAATCGTAATTAATTTGAACGGTCGGACGGGTGAAGACAGATAAGCGTAGAAATCAGAGGCAGCGCAACGTGGTACGAGGTGCGGAATGTAACGCAGCGGAACAATTGCACACCCTAATAGCAGTCAACCACTTGATGAAGGTCCGCACCCGCCCCGCGCCGCACCCCCGCACCCCCGCACCCGCCTGCCCGCTCTTAACGTCAGCAGCGGCGCATGTAAGCGGTTTGTAAATAGAAACAAATCCCATTATTAGACCTCGTGACGTCATTATCTGACCACCCCTGATCTACCGCGTTATTGGGAGTTATGGACTTAGTCCTATTCATTTCAACATTCATCAAATTGGAAAATTACTTTTTCGCGTACGTATAACCTATGTGTGTATAGCACCGTGTCTGTGGTGGGTTAGACTGAATTAAAAGCAACTTTTAAAATATTTAAAAAAAAACTCTATAACGGTTAAAAAGACGATATATACTATTCAAATGTGTAGTACTCGCGTAAACTACAGACAGTATATAACATTTTTATATTAATCTGGACGTTAAAGTGTAAATTTTAGCATAACGATAGTTTTAGCAAACAAACATTTGTGTACGCCAACCGTTAACCAGAACTGTTGTTAAAATAATATTACACATTAGTTCGATAAAACACTTTCGACGGTTTAAAAACGCGAAATATATCATAAAAACTTGTTTATACATTATTTTTTACTACGTTTCTACTACATTACATGCAGCGGAATGTATAGTTAATGATTGTTACTTTTAACTGGCTTTCATTTTCAAAAAAACAAAGCCGTGTATCTTCGGTGATTAGCGTGTCCATATCGACAGAAATATTTTTTTTCTTGTTATTGATTATTGTTTTTTTTCTATTGCTGCATTTTAGTGTAAATAAACTAGATACGTCTAACGTGCACATAACAGAAAGCACTCGAGTAAAGTTGAATGCGCACCAGATACCAATCTGGCTCCGAGGAAGGGACGATGCGATCTTATTAAAAGTATCTGACTGATGTCAGGGAAGGTCGCGCTGTATATTAAAGACGGAACTTATTTATTTAAATGCAAACCAGATCGGCAGCTTGTCAGATCGGCTCAGTGCGGATCTCGATCGAATATGGATTCCCTCTTCCCCATTTCGTCAACTCGACGACGCACCCTCGCTTTATCGCGGTCGGACAACCGAAGAATAATCTTTACGTAATTTTACATCGGTTTCCTCATGTTGACTGTGCGGAAAACTTTTCTTAAACTTAATAAAAAAATGTCACACGTCGTATATCGACATTGATTACATTTCAAATAATTTGGAAATATTCACACATATCTCTTAGAATCAATACAATACTCTCTAACTAGAATTAATTTTGTATTATTTTATTTAAACAATATTTTTCTGTTTGTGAAAGGTATCAAACAAACTAAAAACAAACATAACCTCGATAATTATAGGAAGTTCAGTACGTACGTATTGAATTGTACAACATTCATATGACATATTTTTTAAAGTCATATCGATTGCCAAATACAATCTTCTCTCGTGCCTTCCCGTACCACAATCGTTCTCGCATACAAAACTGTGATACACTTAGAATTCTTACACGTAAAATTATTTAAGTGAATAAATCGATAGAACGCTTCAATTCGTCTCGTAGAAAAGAAAGCCAACGTATTTTTTCTTATCTTCGAAACCAATTTGTATACCAGAAAGCAAATTAAAAACCCGAAGACGGCGGACGGTTTCGATATTGCTCCAGGAATCGAATATTGGCTAAACCATTTATTGAGCGCTGTTTGTATTCAAATAATATAAATAATATTTGTTTCGATAGTTCTCACGAAATATTGAAAAATCTCGCCTTCTATGTTTTTAGAAAAATGACCGTCGCTTTCATAAATTACCGAATGAATTGCAGGCTCGGGCCGGGCCTCGCTAAAGAATTTTTGAATTAAAAGGAAAGTGACGTTAAGACAGATGTTAAGAGCCGGAACAATAATTAAGAGGCGGTCGGTTCGGAACCGCGTCGCCGAGATTTAATTAGTGCGGGAGCGATCCCACGGAGCCACCGCAACACGCTGTTTCAACGTTATTTTGATCTGCAAGTTCACGGTGCGGACCCTTATTACTTCGATTCACGATGATGGGGTATTATGTGCATCGGAAGAATAAAAGTCCGATAACACGACACGTCTGGTAAATCCGATTTCCCTATCTCCCCATATTTGTATTCGAAGCCCGATCCGTCTAATATTTCCTTCCAACTCCGCCGACGCTATCTTCGCTCCTTCCTGACACTGAATCTAATCGGAATAGATATTAAAACTTCTTACGGCGGCTTCGTTCTCTCTGTGCCATTAATAAAACCCGCAACTTCGAGCCCGAACATCATTTCACTAGGTCGGTGAAGCAATTTTAATTTATTATTAATATTAACAGTAGGAACGTTAAAAACTCCAATACCATAAATAAAAGACGTTTATTATATTTATTAAAAAATGCGTTTTAAAATTTTCTAGGTTAATATAAAAATTGCGCAGATTTTTTTATTAAACTTCAGTTTCGCTTAATGTATTTTTAAGAGTCAATTTATTTTTGTTAAGACGTCCCCGTTGGGTTCGCCGGATTCGCAGGTTTCTTTATATTTGGACTCGCTTTCAACCTGACCCTCTCGGTCTTCTAATCCCCTTTTCGATTCAAACAAGTTAACAAAATTTGTAATCCCAGATTAAGCAGAACTTAAAAACGTGATTTTACGAGACCAATATCAAATTGAGCGCACGAACTAATTTTGAGCAATATAATTGAGACAAAATATAGTCAGTTCGCGGTAAAGTCTTTTTAGATGTGTTAAATATTTATCAAAAGACTCCGGCTGCGCGTAGATCTCCGGGGAGCCTAGCAGGCTACATCAGCTACGACCTCTTACTCCCCACGACGTAGCACCTCGTAGACCCGTTTACTACACAAATGTGACACGTACTTAAACCCCATTTCTCCTCGTGGGGCACGGGGTGGACACAATTCTATATCCGTTTCAATTGTGGAATATATTTACAGACAGTTGACATTCAGCGGTGGGACATAAATTATAATTCCAAACCGCATAACATCTTTAAATCTTTTATATAAGTTCATTATACAATAAAAGGAATGAACACAAAACACACTTCCATTTCGCACCCAAACATTTACGCTGAGAGCCTCCATGTAAAAGTTTATCAATCTTAATTTGCTGCATTAAGTTTGAGCAATTACATCAATGAATTGAAGGGCCTTATTTTGTTATTTTCATCAAGAAATGCGAAGTTTTAAGAGATAAACTGCAAATGGAAGTTATTGTGCGATGTTTCAACGCTCAACTTTGCCTCTGAGAGCTCGCTCGGTGTACATCTCCCTCAACTGCGCTAAGAATCGACCGTCGATTTTTCTCACTTAAATTGTTTTCTTGGATAACTACGTTTCAACATTCATACATAAAAACAAAACGAATGTCCTTTCTCTAATGTCTAAAAACAAATATGCATAGTAGAAGTTTTACATATAGTTCGTAAATTCATTTCTATTTAATAGTGTTATTAATTTACTATGTAATGAAAACTATATAATTAGGATAGAAATGTTAAAATAAAAACGCCGCATCCGAGCCTTGTCCGAATTCCTTCGTACATCGAGTCGCAAAGTGTCGCGCGGCTTGTTCGTCTATTCACCGATCGTCCGAACTTTTTAATTAGTTTCACAACAATAGAGACGCCCATCTTGTTACCTTAAAAACATTTCTCTTGCATCGATTGATATTTATATTTTCTTATGCGGTTTTAATTATTCTAAATATCTTCTAACAAAGCTTTAATTAGAAACAGATGAGGCCCACAACGAATGAAACCTCAAATGCTCTCGTCGCACAAACGTACACAGCCTCTGATAAATGCAAAGCAGAAATGTATAAAAACCCTCATATGTTCGCAGGGTATTAGAGGTCGGACGGACAGCGGGCTTCGCGGTGCGCGACAAATGAATAGCCATCGGAAAATCATCAGTTATGTAGGACGCGACGTCGGGCGCCATGTGGCCGATGGCCGGCGTGATTTTTCCACGGGCTGTTTTACAAACAACCGCTCGTTTTCCCCGGATGCTTTATTTAAAACGCAAATGCTAATTTTGATAACGATGCGTGAATACAAAGCTCATACGCAATTTGTGTTATTTTTCACCGCTTCGTTGCGACGTGTGAAATTCGTGTGCACATTTTCATTTCAAGTGAAAGCACGCGTAAAAGAGACTATCTCAAATGTAGCAATTCATGATCGTCAAGTCCCAAAAGCTTTAGTATAATTAAACAAGTAATTGTTCAAGGAATTCGAGGATCCAAATCAGTTCTTTAAATGAAGATCTGTATTAAATTTTAACAATTTTATAGCTGTGTCATCGATTTCGTCCGCGTAGTAGAATTTAATAGTATATTTTTTATAAATCTAAGCTGTTACCCACGACGTCGGTCGCGCCCCTTCTTTCTTGCATGTTAATCTTAAAAGATAGACATATAGTGACACGGACATTTTTTAGATCATTTAAAGAGACAACATTTATTCATACATATTTTTTGATGATCTTGAACCGTTTTTGCAACGTACGCGTCGGCAACCCACATATAATAATAGTATTCTCCGGTTTTTTCCATAGTTTTTCTTCGCTCCTTTTATAGCCTTTCTCGATAAATGCTCTAAGCAACATAAAAATAATTTTTCAATTCGAACCAATAGTTTCAGAGCTAAGCGCGTTTGTACAAACAAACAAACTCTTCAGCAGTATATATTAGTATAGATAAAAAGATAATAGTTTAACATTATAAAGCGGGTACAAATTATTGGTTCGCAGCTCCCACAGAGTACCGTAAAAGTGTACAACTTTGGACTCTGTTACATTGTCATGCAATTAATGCAAATAAATTAATCTCTAGTTCGGGAGACAAATTAGACGCAGCCTGCTCGACTAACGACGGACTATTTGGATTAAATGGAGGGTTGATGTTTATGATTTACGTAGGCCTGTATAATTGTGGCGCCTGGCAGTCGCGGCCGCTTGCATCGTATGACATGCGTCACCCAAATCTCGATGTTATTTACGAGAATAGGTGTCCAACTAATTTCAATGGTAAACAAACAACAGTAGTTTAGTGTAATGCTACGGCGAAATGAACGACAGCCGACGTCCTTACTACGCGGATGCTCGATTCGTCACGAAAAATACAATCCTTAACATGTATTATTGATTCGTCTTCGTTTCGCATCAGTAAATGAAGTAGGAAAAATTCAGAAAACAATTTAAACGTGTTTTGTTTCAGAACAAAATATAAGAATTAAATCAGAATCAAGTCTAGCTTCCTTAATGGCAGATAGTTTTAAACGTGTCCGCTGGCCGAATGCATGGCTAAGAATCAACGAGTCTTGGGTTCGATTCTCACCGGGTCCAACATATTTCTCATCAATTTATATTTTTGTTTATAATTCTGTATTTTTTGTAATTCCTCCCGAATTCTGGTTCTTAAATAAGTGGGAAAATATCGAAATTCCAGCCACCGCAGACGAAAAATTCGTGAAGTCTTATTGCGTTTTGGTTTCAATCTCGGAATATCCAAATATCCAAACAGCGATGTTATATCTCACATGCCTTCAAGTGGATCCAACATTAGTCTGTTCTCCTCTACCTGGTATTTTTTAACCATTAAATATTTAAAAACTATACGTAAAAGCTCACATGCGGAAACGCTGACATAACAGCCTCGAAGGGTGTTGTATTAAGCGCTCGGTGTAATGAACAATCAATTTTCACTTAACACTCCATTAGGGCGATATTCTAAATGTTTCGTGTATGCACGGCGAACGGCGTCGCGATAGTAATAAAACAATGACGATCAAATTGAGACCGGGTAACGACTACGTAACGGTATGTTGACTATTCATTATATCATCGCGCCATAAGACAAACAGCATGTCCTTATTGGATTCTACGCAGCTATACTCCACTAGGGTCTTCTTCTATTCCAGCACTAGAAAATCTTGAAATTGATATTTTTCCCTCTAGCTACAAATAAACTTTAAAAAATTCTGAAAAAAAGAATATTTTTCAAATATGTTGCATATGATGGCATTTATAATAAAAATCTACTTGGGTTGAAAAAAGGTTTACGAGGCGGTGAGGACTTGAACCGGGCATACACAGCGTTCTGTACTGTTGCTCTGACCAAATAGATATTCATTTTTCCTTTTGCTTTATTAAAACAAGAAATCCTATTTTGATTACTTTAAAATAATATTATTTATTGACGTTAGGTTATCCGAATGATGCAAATATAAATAGCACATCTAGTAGTAGTACTGAGTTGTAGAAAAAAATAAAAATATAAACATTTAAATAAAACATTTTTACTTTTAATTTAAACTAACCCGACAACTGCTGAACACACGGCTGTTGCAAAGCGTTCACAGGATGCAACCCCAACGCCGGCCGTAGTAAAAACGAATTACAAATAAATTAACTAATATGTTTCGCGTTTTAAACCATTAAAGCTAAAACTACATACAGTAATCGTACAAAATATTTACTTTGAAATATTGTTCGCATTTAAATTAACCACCGAGCTTTATAAAATGTTTTAGCGAGATTTATTCGTCCGCTTAGATTATCATGTTAGCCATACCATGGATGATATTGATTAAAGCAGAGCTTGTTTGTCCTGGCAGACTAATTAAAAAGTTTTCGTAGCTTCCGAGTGGAAGTAGCCCCACAGTGGAGCAGATCTCAATTTGTTAAATATAGAATTAACTTTGTCTTCGGCGTGTATCGTGTATCGATCAACACAAATGAACAGACGGACATAAGGACTCGACAATATTTACGAACTAAGTACTCAACAAGGTCGAAAAGTAAACAGAGGCTAAACCTGTTTATTAATGTTGTGTCGGTTGTCTTTTGTGCCCTGTCCAACCGAAACCAAATCAGTAGTACTGAACTCTGTGTTGTTACGTAGAGCTATTGTTTATATTTCATTAAACACAGGCCGACTGCGGTGCACATATTTTATTCGGTTACAATAAAATTTGATATAGCCATCGAAAAGTCTGATATGGAACTCGGCACACATCCTATGAATATTTATGGACGGTTTAGCGCGATCCTACAGATAATGGAATATGCAGACGGTTGCAGATCCGATTTGTTTCGTCCGCAATTACGAAAGATGCAACGATACTCGCATTAGCATAACGTCGGGTCTTTTGTGTTATACGAGATGCGTTTAACTTGAAGCAGAAGCGTTATCGATGCGGTGCGACGACGTCCCGCTCGTGGCTCGGCTGCGCGGTCGGCGTGTCGGCGTGTCGGCGTGTCGGCGCTAAGCTCACTAGTGCGCCCTAATAAATTGCGATTTAACTTGTCTCCCGGATAACGCCAACTTTTCCGCGTTCGTTCCGCACCCGACACTTTTTTCCGCCTCTTCATTTCCTATCTCTTACTTTTGTATTTTCGCTCCTTCCTCGCCGAGATAAACAGGCGAGAAACGCTGAAAGGGGCTTTACAAATTCAAATTGAACTTATCACACAACTTTTTACATTTGTTTCTGGTCTCGGATTCGAAGGAGAGGAGCGAAGAGGCATTTAATAGTACGATCTCGGGCAAGATTGATGATTTTGTATCACACCTCGCTTCGGGCGGCTCGTAACGAGTCGGATGGTTCTCGACGTGGGTCGCGCTTCGTCTTATCTGGAATGGCTCCGTTTTATCTTGAATTATGCATTTTATTTTAAATCTCACCCGAAGCACGCGTACTTTGCCGTTACGTAACATAATCCTCGCTTTATCGGTCGTATCACGCGAAAGAACGAATTCGCGCCACCGAAATAACTCCCGCTCGTTGAAGACGATGAGGGATGATAAAAACATCTCAAGAAGAGAGAAAGGTAATGAAATTAATCAAGCGGCGGGCGTGGAAATTCAGCCGCGTGCAGTAAATAGCTTTCGCTTAATTCGAGGGCCATGTGCGGGCATAACCGCACCATATTTAGCCCATTATGCACGGCGCGCGAGCCGATGCGAGTCACGTCGCTCGAAACGAATCGCATGTGACATTATTTGTGAAGATCGTGCTCTATCTTCGTCGGCGACGGCCGGGACGTGGGGGGATTACTCACAAAGAAGTACGATTTCAACGGTGGGATAAAGAAGCGAGAAGTAACTCGCACACTTTATTCTCTCGGGCATTTACGCACGGCTACAGGCTTCGCGTTTGAGGTTCCAGTGTATACTTCTCCTTATTGTAGACTAATAAAATTAATCATTTTTATGACGGCTGAAATTATTATTATTATTCTTTTAAAACATAATTTGAACTGTTAAAAAAATAAGTTGGGTTTTGTCATATTTCTTACATTTTAAATGTGTTTATATGACTATTAGTAACTTTAACTTAGTGAACTTGCCTTTATAAATAAGTAATCACATTAAGTTTAGTCTCCTCAATATTTACTCAGTATTGATATATACAATGCAAAATTTTAAATACAAAGTTCACTTTCTGAGTCTCTAAATAATATTTCAAACTGAAAATATGGTCTAAGCTCGAATAAAAAAAATGTTTGGTCAGACAATCGAGATTTATTATCAAATTTTAAATATTATACATAAATAAAACATCACATTAGATTTAATCATATGCGAATACATAGGCCTATATAGATATACATATCAATGACAAACGGCTATCACATGCATAATATTCCGATTAAACTAATATTTGTGACATCCCATGTTCACACACATAATTTGAATATCACAACAAATCACTCAATCACATATCAAATCACATTTAATGCAAATCCATATATACCGTATACTTATAGCCATTGCCACAATGCAACGAATAATGGGGCGATTAATATTCAATACGATCTAACATAAAATAGCCCATATAAGCCAAGTGCACATATTAAAAATATACTAAATTCATAAGAGAAACTTCGACGTAAGAATTGCAATAACAGAACGAAACGATTTTAGTTACGTGCTTAATATAACGTTACTAACCGAGTTAATTAAAAAGTTCGGCGGTAATGTGCAGAGGAAATGAAACGATAGAAGAGAGCATTAGCCAGAGGTATGTGACTCAGCACAATATTAGCCAAAGCTCGGATCCGAGGCTGTTTGATATTCGCTGCGCGCAGCACGGGCCAGCGATGCCTCCGGCCGCACCACCGGCGTATATTAAACTACAATATAACCGCGTCGGAACAAAGAATAAGGTGATAAACGATTGAACAACAACCGTGTGAAAGTAATTATTGATCTTTTCTATCTAATTTTTGATGCATCTAGTAAATTTGTGCAGTGTCAATATTTTGCTAATGACATTGTGAAACGGGAGTGTTATAAACCGTAGCCCATTTAAGTGGCAGTACACGTACATATAGAGTCGGCGCGCCGGCATCGGTCGAGGCCAGGATCGCAATTATTGCAAAATAACCATTCATTTTTCCGGCGGCTCGCGCTCAACCATGCGTGATTCTGTTTTTGTGCGTTTGTTCAGTGTCTGGGCGCTTTACTGTGGTTATTTTGTTATTTCGAAAACCATTTGTCGTGAAATAAAACAGTTTCCTGAATCACGATATTTGATCAGCAATTTGTAGGATGAAACGTAACCGCACGCATTTCATATTAATGTTTGCAGTGAGCGCCGCTATGAAAACACCGTTGTATGTCATGATTCCGTTCGAGCAGTGAACGCGTAACGAATTATCTCGCGACGCGGTGGAAGCGAGGAAAAGATTCGATAGATTCAATAGAGCAGGTCCCCAAGTCCCAAATTAAATCATGAAACATCTTCGCACCTGCCGCCTTCGCCTCCCGCTCCATGATGATTTCTTTTAGTCTTTTTAGTGATTTCTATCGCGATCTTTTGTGTGTTCACATTTTTATACGGCTGCCGCTAGCTGCGACAGAACTTATAACGAGTGAACTTACTTCTTACATATTGATTCCATATATTTTTTACCTGGAAATACACTCCACCTTTACCTATAAAACGTTGTTATTAAGATTGATATTTTAAGGCGTCGATAAGAAAAAGTTTCCGTGAATGCGAGACAGTTGGGGATTTAGTCGCAATCTCGTCGGAAAGGACACTATCTCTATCTGGTCAATCGGATATGTGAAAAAGCTGCGGTTTTAGTGCGACAAATTCTTTTCGATTCAGTCACGTTCGGGCAAGATGGGCCTCTTAGCGGATTTGGTAACCCTATGTTTAGGATTGAATACGGCACTTACCGAACAAATTGAATGAAGTGCATTTGTGGACACGGAAGACGTGATAATTTGTTCTGTAATTTTTTACAGAACCCAGTTCGACTGTTTCGAACCGAGAGTAAGCACGCAACACTGAAATATATATCGGAAAGGTCGTATAAATTCTCCGCGAAGCAGTTATGCAAAGTGACACGGCCGGCACTCGTCTGAATGGTTACAGCGGATATGGTAAAAGCTGGGAAACTAAATTACTAGTTGTACGTCATTTGGCGTGTAATTGCAACGCACAGCTGACGCGTAGCGCCCGCGCCGCTCCCTCCCTCGGCCCGCACGTGCTACGGTAGTGCTACGCAGATTGTAATGTCGTAGCCGACGCTTCATAGAGCCCGATGACTTCGTAGAGCCGAACTTATGGATGACTATTTTCATTAAACATATCATATAACTAAAGAATTATTTTAATAGAGTTACATTTGGTGGAGTCCTTAAAAACAGAAGCAGAACTATTTAGAATTCATGCTGAGTGGAAGGAAAATGAATTTTAAACAACATATGAAAACTTTGTGTCGCCGCACAAACACAGATAATTAAGGAGCATAAAACCATTTTGAATATTTTGTGAATATTTCATATGTATGAGAACATGGCCACTAGATGAAAATTGTATTAATTTGCATAAAATGTCGACGGTCGATTTTTAAATGGACAAATTATAATGCTACTCGCAATTGGCGGAGTTTTTGCTTGTTTTCCATACGTTTTGCTAGGAGAGCGGCTTTTGACATTTGGAGTTTAAAGTTCGTCAATTTCTAGTTAGTCGTGGAAAACGGTTTGAAATCAATGGGCCTAGAAAGAAATTAAGATTAGATATACGGAATTACATTTCAACAATCAACTCTACTTGCTTATGTTATAACATATCGTTACATATTTATTTGAATTTAATTTATATACTATACTATATGTAAGGAAACCTCTTACTTCCGTAGTCTTATGTTCTATAATTTAATTTTAAAGTTGACAGATGTAATTTTAGCATTAATGCAAGTCATTTGGTTAGAAAAATTGTAAAAAGGAAGGACAGGAAGTGATGATTTTCAATTGTAAACTTTTTCTGTAATTTCTTTCCTTACATAAAATTACTTATTATAATGTATTTCTAGATTAAAATTTTGTTAATTAAGAAATAAATCTTTCCTCACAGAGATAATTGTTTATTTAAAAATACATTATTTTGTAATATTAGTTCGGTTTTCGCGGCATTTTTACTACTTTAAATTATTAATTAATCGTTTGTCATTTTCGTTTTAGCCGAATTGAAAAAACAGAGATCCACAATTCGATCGCATGTTATGTAAGTATGTTGTATCATTATAATTGATTTGACTTCAGATTTAAAATAGGTATTTAATCACTATATGAAAATGTAAAAATTTGAATATAGTATTTATTTTAAAAATTTATTGTTTCAAGATTATCTAGCACAATTTGGTTCTACGAATGCTTTATTCACGTAGTATTTTACAGTGCCGAAATGGAGCATCATACACATAATATCGCATTGAACATTAGACTCGTGTCATTTTGCTAAACGCACCGCGTCTCGCAGTGAAGGTTCCGCGAGCGAGCCATGACGCCGCCACATTGCGCGTGTAATTGCCGCGAGCGCGCCTCGAACCCATTAATCTCTCCAACACTCGATAAAGCGCAAGTCACCATATAACCGCTACATGTGACTTTGATTCCGACATGTAAAACTTCGCGATATCATCTCACATTATTAAACAAATTTCGCAGTACGTTGATTAAATCGAGGTAGCGTTTAGTGTGTGCTCGGCGCGTTGCCAAGTCCCACAGTCAGGCCACATATCGATTAGGTGGGCCGCTTATTAAGCTTGTTAACATATCCACCTTCATACGTCGTAGAATGCGAGAAAATGTCTAATGTGCGCCGTGTCGAAGTGACGAGTAATATTTGTAATTTTAGCGCTAAATTAAAATTATTTTTATACTCACATCGTCGCATTAATAAGCTCGCATATGAAGATGATAAATAAACTTGTGAATACAAAATAGTTTGCGGTGAGCACTCGCCCGAGGAGGTCAAGGTTCTTTGATTTTTATCAGCGGTGTGGCGCATCTTTTGCGCAGTCGACGAGCAGCGCAACCTCGTCGACTTGGCGGGGCCGTCGTGGCAAATTGAATTTGCGCGAACGCTGGCGACGGACCCGTTTGCACTGCTAACTAGCTATGACACGAATTCCCCTCGTCTTTATGTTACGTCGAATATGTGATTGAACATTAACGTTACTTTCCTCTGGCGTATTCAGTTCCCCGTGTGAAGGAATGAGCGCGTTAAGTGATTACTTGATTTCCAGTGTAAGGCAACTTTGAGACAAAAACTTAAAAATATTCTTTAATAAGCTATTGATTTTAATCGTGATCCGGGGATGGGAAAATGAGCCCTGGAAAGCGCACGCTGCGTCTAATAGCAGTCGAGAAAACACATTTGTCTTGTCCCGGCCCGTTAGCGTATATTACGCCATCCTGAAACATCCCCTGCTGCGAGGTTCTCGGCTTTTCTAATATTAAGGCAATCTGTTTTTATAATCCAATCGACTCGGTGCCAATAATTAGGTAGAGATCACATCAAAAGCACAAAATCTATGACGAATATAGCGTAAAGCATTAACGGTGTAAAGCATTTCATGACTCCTTTAAATAATTAGTATAATTGTTTATCACCGGAAAAAACACTGACCACATATTCTCAACAAGATAATTTAAGGGTTTTCGGAGTCAATTTGGTATTTCATAAATTTACACCATAATACAATCATCTTGTTAATAAAGAAAACATCGCGGAGAAGTAGTTAACTTTGTGACAACTCACGACAAAAGGCGGTCTCAGCGGTAATAAGACGGAATGCGGTACTTGTCCAAGAATATTAAGAGACGCCTGTTGTAGTAATAAAGAAAATTATGTTTGAGTTAAAAAGGAGCTTTTGGAACTAATAAGCCTCGAGCGTTGGTTAAAAACTAAGCAATCAGTGCCGATTGCATGATCGTTTCGTTCGTTCGTACGCGTAAGGGAATTGTTCGATTTCGCAACACGCTTTTAGTAAAACGCTCCACTTTGTTCCCGTGTTATGACAGAGCGGCGACGGTGGCGCCGCAGAGTCTCCACACTTTGTCCCCTCTAAATCTTATAGCAACACGGTGTCATAATGCAAGTAAGGCACAAACATGTCTCCGTGCGCCAAGCTTGTTAAGTGGTTCGGAAGAAAAACATCAGAAAAAGTTTTCTTATTGTCGCAGCCCATTTAGACATATGTATTACGTCATATAGATATAAATAGACGGAGGGACGCTATATATGAGAAGATTGCCTCGAAGTAAGTAAAAAATATTCGCATAGTTATACAAGTTCTATTTCTCGTTTCGATTCTTTCACAGTAGATAGACGAGTATCTCTGCTTTTCGGGACGGCATAATTGAATTTCTCAAAAATTGAAGAACCGTCTGGGTATCACCCTTGAGAAGTTAGTGAAACAACCCTCATCCCTCAGTGTTGTTGTGGTTGAGACTTTGTTATAATAACCTTTGTAATTCTTTACGAGAAAGTTACTGAAGGCGAGTTCACCGTCATCTTTCATATCTTTGTTATGAGAAGCACGAATATCAAAAGGCGGAATTTTACATTAGCCGATTTAAAAGGGAGCGTTGTTTAAGATGTTAGCATTGTATCCTACTATTGTTCGGGCACATTATGAGATTTTCATTCAGAATGTCTTCATAAACAATTATAAATGTTTAAATAAAAGATAGATTTGCGGTCGCATTTGTCTACGCTTCAAAAGAAACTTATCAGTTACGAAAACCCTTTGCGAAGTTCATTTTTGAATAACTCGGAGGAGCCCGTCCGGACGACGCGACGTCCCCCGCGCACGACCCTTACCCCACTGCGCCGAGAATATTTTTTGTGGGGACATCATAATAATAGCTCTGTATTACTTCAGGAGAAATTCCAAGAAGTTTATAACTCGAGATGAGTTTCGTGTTCCTTGTCATAAATAATAAAGCGGTCGCCGACTACAAGGTTGTGCAGATTTTAAGTGAAGTAAAAATTTAAGAAATAATTTCTCATTTTCGAGTCCCGAGTCAAAACGGAATTGTTCAAAGTTTCCTCGGATTGATTAAGATTGCATGAAAAATGTACTTGTGATTTTTGTCCAAGGCTTTCGCGAGCACACTAAAGATTAATCACGCGAAAGATACACTCGACGCGAACGAGGCGGCCGCGGTGATGTAACTAGTGACGCTCGAATATGTGAACAGTTGGGAAATGTTCCGCGTGATCGAGCCGTTTGTTATTGTCGCATAATGGAGAAGGGTGACTCGTCGTTTTGGCGCAAAATCACATTCTTCCCACCGCGACTACATGATAAATTGCATTGATCAAAATAAAGTAAAAAGTCGCCCCGCTTTCGATCCACTGCCGTCGTGTATGTACACACAAATCAATCTAACGTCGTATGAATTTCCCATAAGTTTTAAGCTATGAGCGGAGTGGCAAAGTAGAAGCTGCACCGTTCTGTTCTGCGCCGTCTGCGGACCCCACTCGAGTTAATGGATAAGTTACGAACCAAGTTTACTTTGTGTTTTCAGGTAGACGGACTCGAAGTTTCCTTCGCTAATTTGAACGAGTCACAAGATTTTCAATCTATTAACGATACCGAGGACGAGCGTCGATAAAAATTCTTATTTACCAACATCACGTCGGCAGACCGCGAAGTCGAGACGCGCGCATTTTATTAAACTGAACACGGTTGCTTACAAACGTTGCAAAATTTCACCGCAAATTACAACGAAATTACAAGTTGTTCCCGAAAAAGTAACTCCGCGAAAAGTTTCGCCGTCTAAAGAATTATGACGATTAGCATAACAAAGTGAGCCGAAGCCGCGTTCGAGGAATGCGCCTCTCTGCGGCCACGGTGCGGTGCGCCTATGAAATATTTGTCATGTAAATTAAATCGTCCCACCTGAGTATTGGCAAGAGTCGCGAGCCCGAGAGTATGATTGGTCGGGAAGCTGTAACGAACGTCGCAGGCACGGTCACTTCGCTCCGGCGACCAATTACGCTAATGGAATTTATTTCGTTCCCAACTTGCGCTTCTTCAACTCCTCTTCCGCCTGCACTTGGCCACTCTTCCGACTTACTCCGAGTTTATCATATTCAACCTAATCACGTCAACTATCATCCGAACACTTATCGAATTACTACTTGAACTAAGCTTTAAAAAAGTACTCTTTGTGTTGTCTTGTGTTTTAGGAACGTAATTTTATACTTAGTCTGATTTGACTGCGATTACTAAATAGCGTTAGGCCCTTTTCCAACAATGGCCTCTGCAGCGCAGTGATTAGTTTGCCTAGCATCGCGACAAGTACCGAGGTCCTAAAGTCATATCCCGGAACACAATAAATCGGTCGGGCAAGCACAACATTAAAAGCAAACAAAGTCGTTCAATAAAACGTCACGTCCCTTACGGGGGAACGACTTTAAAGTTATTAATTAGCTTTTAACTTTTATAAGATGTTAATTTTCATTTTGTATCTGTATTTATAGATAATGATTTAAACATTTATTGATGCGATGTTTCTTACCACGATATGCTTTTAAACTAAAAGAAGCTCGAAGCCAAAACACATTCTTTGTCTTGAGTTTTGTGCTCACCTCTAAGGAAGTTCCCCCACAGGAACTAATATTAGTCAATTAAGTATTCAGGGCGCGCGTACACCCCGCTTGGCTCGTCTGGCTACTGCCTACGTTCTATCCGCTCCCAACCTCTGTAGCGTATAACGATACTCTACGGCTTAAAAAATATCTTTTTTAAGCTCGTTATAAGCATCGGTTACTATATGTCTTAAGGGTTCTTCAAATGTAATTACTGTATGTGAAAATTGTTTCTCATTTCAAAAGTACTTTAGTGCCAACACGAAAGTGCTCGTTTGCTTACTAAAAAACTAAAACCAAGGTCTAATCGGCCCCTCGCACGTAACAACTACTTCAAGAAGTACACTCACTTCATATTGTAACATCAAATGCCTACCTGTTACTATTAACGACTTGAAAAATCGTATTCGTTGCACGAAAAATAAATAATTAAGTATTTCGCTTAATTTTCCTTTCGCGTTTGGTATTGTGACCGCGAGAAAACAGTTTGTAAAAATTTTAATTCACTATAGCTATCTCGGTTTCTTCTTAGTATTTTGAAAGACAGATAGTCAGTCCTTAAATTCCAATTTTTTTGAGTAACTTTACAAATGAACTGTTATATTCTTTTAAATAAAACACACTAACGGTTTAAAACCCGATAAATCTTAGTTAGTTAAATTTATTTGAAAATTATTTTAACTCCGGAGAGACTCCCCTTGACCACGGCTTCAAAACATCCGAAAAAGTTAAAATAATTTTCAAATAAGTTAATCTAATATATATTGCGTTTTAAACCGTTAAAGTGGTTTAATGAGTACTACTCGCGAAAACTACAGACAGTGTTTATATGGATATTCTCGTACATTAAATAATTATACCAAATTTTCATTAGAGATATAGCAAGGATAATCAATACAACCACTTTGCCGCAATATTTAAGAGTTTTTTAGAGACCACATCCTTGCGGAAGAATGATATCTAACCAATGCCACTGCGAAGTAGCACTTTTAGAGCACTCTTGGGCGTTACGACTTTTATCATAGTAGATCTCTCCTCTCTGCATAATTCATCGCTATGAAGTTGAAACCAAAGTCGTAAAAGAAATCGCTCTATGATTCCGTGTCTTCGAGAAACTTTATACGTGTCTCCTCGCTCTGATCTCTCGTATTAGCCGCCCGTTCCAGTGAAAATTCTTTATCTCATGATCCAACTACACAAACGTCTTTCGCTGTGTCTCAGTTCTATACTGTTCTTATGAAATAAAAAGGAATTAAAAAGTAAGCTCGAAAGCGGTTCTTACAGAAAGCATGGTGAACGTCAAACGGAATCTTATGAAGTTACTTTTTACTCTTTTCAGAGGTTAGCAGGTAAAGAAGCTTCTTCGCAAGAAACGCTTTAAACAAAATTCCGAAAATTTTTCCTCGATTGCTATTCACTGAGAAAGTTTACAGTTTTCATCGCATTACATTCTTTTAAATGGAATTATACAATCTTTGGTTTGATGTTTTATGATTGATGGGGGAAGACAAACATATAATATCTAAACATAATGCGCCGTCGGTCTATTTTCGCTTTGGTGCTTTAAGCCATGTCATGAATGGACAGGGGTTCGTGACTCGGACGAAATTTCGATATACATATTTTCCATACCGGTTCAAGTCCTGCCCGTGTTGTTTTTTTTTTTCAATTATAATCAATTTTTCATTTATATTAAGCTATAATGTGAAAGATATTAAACATTTCAAACATATTTTTCAGCCAAAGTCTAAAATTTATAAAAATTATAAATTGACTTTGAAAAATGCGTTGTAACTAATCGGATCGGACCCACGACCCGTTTATAATTAGCAATATAATACTACCATTGAACCAGCGAGCGAGTCAAAGGGCGCGTCATATACGAATTTAATACGCATTATGTTATCTTTATAGCCCAGAAGTTTAGCTTCCTATTGTATGAAATATATCTTACGAACAATAAAAATGGAATGGGCACGATTGTATCTTCGGATTTTAATTACATTATTGTCTCAGTGATTCAGCGATACCGCAGATAAGGCCAATCTCGCGCGAAGCCAAGCATGTGCCGCCTAATCCCGCAATAAATCATCATTTGGACGAATAACAATGGTCGTACACCTCGCCGCGACTGTCGGCCGATGCGACGTCCGAACACTCTAATACATCATGTATCAAATACACATTATGCCGAGATTTTCTACTCATTTCCTCCACGACAGAGATTAAGGACCGCGAGCTGAGCGATTTATTAAACCTTTCTCGGGCTGCGAGGGAAATCATTTTGGACATTATCGTTACTCAATAACAATTACAGAAATTATGAATCCGGTGCGACGTGGTAACTTAAAGATCGCGACAATCGTTCGAGATAAAAGTCGTCTTTCATTCCCAGAAATGTCACCCGCAAAGTTTGTTTCTTAATGGTCGGTTGTTTTTAAAATGTATCAAGATGTTCGAGGCTTCTGATTGTGCAAGGGTAGCAAACATCCAATCATTTTTACAGACGTTCCAATAATATATTGTAAAAAACACTTGAAAAAATATATTGATTCGAATGCAGTAGTTATGGATTTTAAAAGGGAGTGACGAGACACGGTTAGGGTTGTGCGAGGGCGAAATTCGCCCGCGGCCACTTCCTCGCTGCGGACACGGGGGTGCGTTATAAGTTTGGGAATGCAAACATCTCACGCATGCAAGAAACTCTATGCGATATGCAATAACCATGTCATAACATTATTTATTTAATATCTGTTGTATATCCTGCAAAAGGCCGAGCCGTGTTAACAATCCCTCATAGGTTAAACACCAGAATGCCTTCCTATTTAACTTCGTATCATAACTATTCAGACTAAAGAAGCGATGCTTGAGGCAAAAGTAAAGTTAACATAAATCAGTAGCACTTTTAGAAATAATGTTTAATATAACGACATTACTTATCCTTACAAGTAGAGCACGGCAGCAGTAGTGCACCCCTTGAGCTTGCAAATTAAAAGGCGCAGTTGTCCCCGGGGACTCTCATTTCAAATCAGTGAAGACTTGCAGGGGTGCTACGGCCGTATTCCCTCCGGTCGTCGGGCTACAATCGATTATTAATTACATTTTATATGTAATATTTACGCCACATGTTACTACCGCACATTACCCTAATACGTTCTTTAATATGGCAAATGGTATAGCGGGTTGCACTCTCGCCCGGGTCGCCGATGTGATGTTAGAGAACAAATCTGGAAGCAAAATCTTTATAGGGTTTAAAAATCACAGCGGCCACTCCCCGCAGATGAAAAAGCAGTGAAGTGTGATCGCGTCTCGGTTTTCTGAATGTAAAAATTTAAAATGCCATGCACCTTATTTAGATTTTTAAATTTCACGTTTATCAATAGAATAATAACTTAAAACCGGAAGATAGAACAAATGGATTTTGTAGCAATACCTTAAAGTACAAAAATGCGACCCTCGCCCCAAACATTATAGATACACGAACAAGAGGCATTAAGTTAAAAGATTAACGCGTCATTAATCGTCCCGTCGAGATATTTCTGCGACTGAGGCATAACTCCTGCGATCACACACGAAACGGAGAGTGTAGATAAGCATCTGCTGAGTGGATCCCCTCGTGTTCTCCGATCGACACACGCGCGTGTTGCTATTAATTTCTAAGACCCGACACAGAGCTAACACGGGGATGTGGCCGTGCTATTTGCAAGTATAATATTGTACTGCGGGAAAGAATATTGTATTTCATCCTTGCGCTGTTTGCCGCTTAATATATTAATGTCCACATACTTAGCACTGCTTTTAAAAAAAATATTATTTTTTTCTTGTACTGTACGAATATTATCTGTAAACGCAACGGCACAAACGTAAAATATAGCATTTTGGGGAAAACTTCGGATAGCACGAATCAGTACCATAAAATATTGTAATTTTTTCCAAAAAACTATGCTAAGCATATGGACATAATACGTTATTATAATTATGATAACACATTGACAACATAACTATGATAAAATACATACCATGTGATTAGTTTTAAAAATCGCAACGTTATAATTTAAATCCCACTCGCATTGTGGTTGCATTTTCAATATAAAAAAAGGGTTACGGGTAAAATAATAACTCACAATAAGTATTGCCTGTAGTTTACGCGAGTGGTACACATTAAAATAAAAGACATTTCACGGTTTAAAACGTCGGGCCGTGATAAAATAAATACGCATTTCACACCATTAAAAGTGTCGTATACCAATAAGTCACATTGTTATATGATAAGATGCCTCGGTAAATTTAATAATTGTCACGTACAAATTCGTCAGGATTCTTTTAAATATTAAGTGAGGGGAAACGTTAATAAAAATTCCGCGTTGAAACAACAAATTAAAGGAAGCCGATCCACTCGAAAAGCCATAAGTGCCTATCTCAATTGCCATCGATAAGAAATCCGAGCCGTGGCGATGTATTCGAGGCACGTCCCGGCTTACGGTTTTTTGTCCCTGCAGCGGAGGCGTCGCCGTTACAACGGATCGGCTCTTAAATTCATCGAAATGAAATGTCTGACTTTTATTAAATCGAGTGTAACCGTTTCTAACATTACGCAAATGGCGGGACCTCCCCTACATCTGTCGCGGGGATGCACCCCCTTAATAAGTGTTAACGCTCGCCGGCTGCTATGAACACTCCGTCCCGGCTCCGGCGAATCTCGACGAATTCTTGATACAAATTAATGCCGCAGGACTCCGCGAATGTCTCTCGTAATTTCATTTCGTAATTCCGCGGAGCCCTTCGAATAAAGGTGACGTTACAATACGGGAAATTCACTCGCGCTCGCATAGCGCACTTCCGTTGCTCTCAAATAGCTTTATTATGGTATGAACATTTCCGAATAACTTTACTAATTAAACCTGTAACTTCGCTTTATCTATTAACCTATTCATTCAGCGCTAGCCTTTAAAAGGTATGTTTTGAGCATTGTTTTAGGTATAACTAGCTCGTTCGACGTACGTTTATTAATTAATGGAACCACTACTATGCTTGGGGCATTAAAGAAATACTTTGGTTGCTATTGTATTTTTGGCACGATTTCTTGATTCTAAATTTCAGGCTTATTGTTTATATTTGAAAGGAAACCTTGATCAGCCCTTTCAGAAGAACATCTAAATAAGATCATTGCGACCTATTATGCCTTTGGATATTCGGAATCTAGTCAATATAACCAATATAATAATTACAAAAATTTATAGAAGCACACCCCGCATCTCGATTACTCTTCACAGCCAATTCGTAATTGAAGTATGAATGTGTTATGTACCGCGTATGAAAATTATGATATACAGACTCTGAGACTGACTGAGATAATGGCATTATTTTTATTCTCACAATAGAAATGCCGGACCTCGGAGTGAAATGCGATTCATTTCCATTTTTCAGGCCATTAGTCGTGGACGTAGCCTCGCGTCGGCGTCGGAGCGCGAAGGGCGCGGACGGACGGACGGTGTGAAATGAGTGGAAAGTGAAATAGTTCCGAACTAGCATGATCGTTGCAAATGTAAATGAACAATTAAACGACGATGATAATTATTTTAGTTTGGGTCCCGCCTCTCTTTGGAATGCTCGGACCCTGCTTTCAGTGCGAGGCGACACTTCTGCTATTCCTAAATTATTATCAAAGCTTTCATTACTTCGCTCCGCGACAAAGGCCGCTCTAAATGTAGCAACGCGGTGATTTAACTCCTACAAGTTCGGCTCAGCTTCGCCTCCACACCTATTGTTCTCGGTTAGAAATCATAGTTCGCATCGGGTGCGAGGTGAAATCTTGATTAATTTGTTACATAGTTGGGTGTGGAAAGTCGCGAGCGACGAACTTTTGTAAAGAGCTAACTGTTATACTTACAATAAGCCACCATTCACCGTTTACAAAGTTTTGAATTGAGTTAACCTGTAGTTAGCTTATGTTTCCGGTTGTTAGGGGCTCGTTCGCTTGCGACTTGAAACCGTGGCTCTTGTTGCTCAAATAAACGTTTAAACAAAGCGGCCTTTACGGAGGCTTTTAATTGGCCATGTGAGAGGTATCGGTAATATTGTAACAGACTTGCAGAGTTCACGCGAAAGTTAAACCAATTTGCATAGACTGCTGTAAATTATATTTTTCAATACCGCGCAATTATGACGAACTCGGTGCTCTAATGGTAGCAACGTATGGCTAATAATAATCAGCAGTCATGTCTTCCGTCCCCACCGGGTCAAACATTTTTTTAGCAATTTACAATTTTGCTGAAACTTGTTGGACTCCATAATTTAAAAACGAAAATAAATTTAAAAAAAAAATTTCGACTCGGGCAGGACTTGAACCGGCATCGTCAGCGTTCCGTTGTTGGACTCTGTCTGGAAATCGAAATATTAACGGGTGGTAGGAATATCGCAATTTCGTCCGGGTCGTGATCCACCTTTCACAGATGAAACAGCCATGAAGTAGAATCGTGTTTCAGTTTCAGTCTATAGATTTTCGAATATTCAAGCAGAAATAGAGTTCCACAACGCATCTTGTTAAGGCTTTTATTTTATATAATACATATTTAACCTCTAAATAAGGGATAAAAATACAGTTTGAGAAAATATTATCAATTTTGGCATTATTTAAAATAGAATACGTTTATTCAGAAACAACACACAAACGACAAATAAACATTTACAGTTAAACGTTTATTCTACAAATTTAATTAAATATTAAATAAATACACCAATATAGTTGCCTCTGCAAAGGAAGCCACTCAGCTACGTTGGGACTAAAGTCCCAGCACTGATATTCTGTGGCCCCTTCAGAGGCCGAGCTAACGCAAGCGTGGTTGTTCGACATTTTTTCAATTATACACACAAACACGTTAAGAAATTACACTGATACTTTAAAAATTGTAATAAACTCTTATAGATCTACTCATCTATTGCTAGGCGAAAAAGCCTGCACTGCAGAAAAAAGCAATAAAACTCACGGTTTTACACTTGTTTCTACATCCTGCAAAACCTTGGTGTGAAACATTGAAAAAAAAAGATGGTATCGGCGAGTCTCGAAGGCACTATGCATTTAATTACTAAATATATAATAAGCCATCGTTTGTTTCTTGTATTTGCTATTTTAAGAGAAACCCATAACAATATTCGAGACATTATTATGTTTATATGGAATGTTGTACATAATAGCTTTTTCTAGGGACAATTCAAGTCAATTGGTAAGGCTACGGATAAGTTGGTCGTGGGTTTGAGTCCCGAACGTGTCATCGCATTTCAATCTAAAATCGAAATATACCAATATTAAGGGTAATACAGTTGTGGAGCTCAGTACATACAGAAGAGATTACGGTGTCAAGACATCCATTACAAAGGTCGCGTTAATTAAATTTTATCGATTCAAAGCTCATTAGAGCCCATATGCCGAATGCCTGCGTATCAGTGGACGCGAGTTTCAGGGAAAATGGTTCACATTCAGCAATAGTGGAATGCTTTCAGCGCGTAATTCAGTTAAACGTGTAATTTATGACTGGCAAATTACTGCCACGAGTGTGTCTGCTCCCCAATTATGATACTAAAACACTAACGCGAACAGCTCTCAGTATTATTGGGCAAACTGTATCATGCCTGAACCAAAATAGTAGACAAATGTAGTATTCAGTGCGCATCCTTTAGCGATGCTGTACCTAAAAGCATTCTATCGTAACGCACAGACGAAGTGCAAGATTTGTTACTCGGTGACAATATCTAGGTCCCTATCCCTGTGCCCCTGACTTCGTCCGCGTGGAGTAGTTATTTTGAGCACCATATTTATAATTGAAAAACAACCTCTTAAGCTATGGGTATAATATATAGCTGTCACCAAGTATGTCTTACTACGAATTATCTTAAATTCACTAATATACTGACACGGACTTTTTTTAAAATCACTTTCACGTGAATCATTCTTTCATGGATATCTTTTGATTTCTTGGACCGTTAAAAATGAATAATATTCCCTATTCCTACCACATTTTCCAATGTTTTTCTCGCTCCTATCGAGTACAGCAGTTTTACATGGACTAAAACCGTTCTCAATAGATGTTCTATCTAACACAAAAAGAAGTTTTCAATTCGACCCTTTACTTCAACAATTACAATTAACACAAACTCATTTAAATAAAACACTCTAACGGTTTAAAACACGATATATTAGTTAAACTTATTTGAAAAATGATTTTGAACTTCGGCCCGACGTTTCGGATGCTTTGCAGCAGCCGCGGTCACTGGGAGGCGTATACAGTATTAGAAAGACTATAGACAGTATTTAAAACAAACTTTTCAACTTTATAATATTAGTACAGGTGTTCCACATTATTAAAATATTGAGATAGTGCTCAGCGCCAAAGAATTAACAGGAATAAATAATAGTACCTTTTTTTTTTAATTTTCTCAAAATGATAACTCTTAAAACATATTATGTAACACAATAAATAAAACAGAATATGGACAAAATCAACAATAGAAAATACCTACATAGATTTTTCTATGCGGGTCCGTCGGGGACTCGTAATACCATATACGATAGAATACCACATAGATTTGCATCTTAAATATGATATAATCAATATAATTATCTAATACTTAAATAAGTGTATACTTTGAACAAGAAAAAGATTTTACGAAAAACTTAAAAAGAAAGAGTAACGATTTTGGCAATCTACGTTTATAAATAAGTGTAAACCACCCAACTACACATTTTGTTAAAGCCGTCGTAGGTAAATAGTGTAAGTCGCCCTACAGTTTCGGGCTACACATACTTTTTGGAAAACATTTTTTTTATGATAAACTAGAATGACAAGCATAGCGGTCACTCGATGAAAGGTGAAGAACCACAACTTTATAACACTTAAACAAATTTAACTTAGGTGTCGATCAATTTTGACCGCGATGAAACTTCACGGATTTTCATCTGCGTGGTTCAGGACAGTGGTTCGTGACCCGGACGGCTACCACTTATTTAATATTTCCAGGCGGAGTCCAACATGTGTCAGAGGAAATATACATTGTTTAGAAATATGTTGGACCCCGTGGGGATAGAACCAACGACCTTTGCTACAAAGCTATCTAAAAGCAAGTTTTGTAGCTTAAAGGTGAAATCACGTTTCCCCCTCGTACGAACATATTTTGTGTCCGGTTAACTAATCCGCGTTTTAACAAGCAAGTAGTTGATCAGACTTCTGTGCCCTGCCCAACCGAAACAATTTTTTGTTTCCCTGGGATTCGAATCCAGGACCTCGCGCTTAACGCAATGCTAGGCATTATGTTTAACCATCTGGCTACAGAGGCGGATCGTAGCTTAAGCTTAGTTGTATTTTCTAGATTCTATTTAAAATGCTGCTATAGTTTAATTAAAAAAATGAGTATACTCTGTGCCTACCCTCTATACATACGTTAAAATAATATAAATACTAGTAATTGAAAAAAGTCCTTAGGCACATATGGTTACTTCGGTAAACTATTAATATATCTTGCAAAGTTTATTTTGTTGTATTGTAATCTTACAAAAAATGATAATAATAAACATTATATAATTGTAATTAATGCTTTAATTTTAACCAAATTTGGTGACCATAAAACGATTCTACATGCTTTTATGCATATTTTTTGGTTTCTTGAACCGTTCCCGCAACGTACGCAACGGTAGCCCTAAAATATGATATATTTTCCCGTTTTTTTTTTACATTTTCTACAGTTTCTACCCTAAAACCTTACACGAACATGTATAATTTTTCAATTCGAATAAGTAGTTTCTGAGATCAGCGCGTTTAAACAAACAAACTCTTCAGCGTTATAATGGTATACATTATACAAACAAATTAATAATCAACGACTGCTATTATAACGCAATAAGCTACCGTTATCACATCCGGATGTCTAAATAAGTAAAATAAATGACTCGCTTTATTTATCCGGAGATAAATGCATGTTTGCAACAGTATTAATAAAAACAGTTTTTTACAATATACGAAGAATTGTATAAAATATGTTTTTCTATGTACAATATAAATGTCTTAAGTTACATAAGGCTTAGAACTAAACAACATTAAAAAAAACTCTACTTTTAATTTCAAGTATGTAATAAAAAGTATTCTGAAATCCAGTTCATAAGTATCAAACGCCCTAGTAAGATATTTTTTCAATCTTCTAAACAGGAACGTTTATTTTGAGCTAAAGTTTTACTTAGTTACATTTATTAACTAACAAACTTTTGTACGGTAAGCAGGTTAGGTAACGATATTGCCAATTGTGCAACATGAAGTAATTGTCAACTTCTGTTTATAATAATGTAAATTATGTTATCCTTTTTATTTCGAATTTAATATCAATGATGAATGTTTTATGTTGACGCTGATGATGCTGAAGATACGATACGACATACCTGAGTTTGTGAGAGTGTTATCTCCATGATTAGTAGAAGTGTCAACATCGGCGTGAGCGCCTGTCACCAGCGACAGAAGAACGGCGCATGCCCACGCGCAGGTCGCCGCTGGCCACCGCAGGCGAAGCCGACCGGAGCGATGCTTCGCGACTCTCCGCTTAGCCATCGCACATCACCAAATACTTGTCTAGATCTAACTACAGACTACAAACACTAAATATGCATCTACGAAAATATGGGACTGTTCTCTGTGTATATTCTAAGAGTTTTAAGCTCGCATGAAATCTATCAAAGTTTTCGTGCTCGACGAGTGTTCGTGTAGTTTCGTATTGCGACGCGGCTCGCGTGTTGCTGGCGACGAGGTCGTGACGGCGCGGTCGCGGCGGCACTGTCCGCGGGCCCACATTGCCACGACCGGCTCCCGCGGAGTCCCGTCGTCTCACACCAGGCCGCGAGGAGGGCCTCTGCGCGCGCACCGCGGCCTCCCGGCCAATGGCGCCGCGAGGGAGGGACCGCGCTTAAGACGCGCGGAAGTATATGCGGAGGCCTATGTACAGTGATGATAGCGGACAGGTGGTTTCGCGACCGTAATTAGCCATTTGATAAGTTATTGCCGTTGCCTACATAAATAAGTTCTTTTAAGACGTTCGCCCGTTTAGATAAGACAACGCACTCCTTGTAATTTCTGAATAATGTCGTGTTCGATACCGTATGTGCCGAGTTAAAATCTTTTCGGTAGCGAAACGCAAATTTAACATCTACCTATGGAGATTGGAGAATCGTAATAAAGTATTTGTTTTTTATGGAATAAACAAAAGTTGTAGATGCTTATAACGAGAGCAAAGTAATAAAGAATTATGCTAATATAGAAAGTCTGCATGTGGCGGATGACGGTTGAAATTGTTAAACATCGATAGAGTTTTTAACCGAACGTTAATATTTAATTTTTTAACATTGCATTTTTTATTTTTTTTTCGGTTTATTTTACGACTAGGACAATACCATAGTCTCGTAAAAATATACCAAGTAAAACAATTATTTGTATGTTTGTAATTATGTAGGTGTATCTCATTGACCCTATAAGTATAGGGTCAATGAGTGTTTCATATACCTACCACAGGTCTTTATCAATTTTTTGCAAACATTATTTTAAGACATTTATTGATGGCTACCTAAATACTTAATAGGGATCAAAGAAAAACTAAAATACTTTTCCTGAGAGGCATAGTTACTACTTAATTGTCATTCTGTTCCCTAAAATATAAATCTTTCAATAGGCTCAACATGACATATCTTTATTGTATGTTTTCTATCTAGGTATCTGTAGGAAGTATGCGTCCTGTCCTTGACGATGCGTGAACACCAATTACGAGATACGAATTCGGTAAAAACCAGACAGAATTAACTGTTTATTTTAAAGTTAATTGTCATATAAATATTCTTTGAGTCGAGTCCCAGAACAAAATGATAAAATTATTTAGTGTTTTTCAGCATTTTACAAGTGTGGCCACTGAATAACAAACCACGAATTTAATTATTAATAATAAACGATCTTTTAATTAATTAATTGAAAGCCAAATTCATTTTCATTTAAATTTTCGCATATTTTTATAAGGTCTTTATATCTTATTACAATATACGTAGTAAATATCAGTGTACTGTCTTCGTTGTTCTTTTTTGCCATTAGAAAAGTAGATAATATGTAAAATATATTGAATGTGTGTACTAATTAAGTTATTGCAGCCACTCCATTTAGTAATCACATTCTTTTGTTTTGTACGTAGTCGCATATGGACTATTTATATATTTACTCACGTATTCACCTTCACCATTTCTTTATATAAACTTCACCTTTTATATTTATAATTCAACTAAATTAAGTACATCATGAGTCTCATTACACTATTTGCCAGTACCACCGGCAAAATTATCATTTTGTGTTGGATGGCAAGCAAAATAATTCTTCATTTGTTCTAAATTATTTAAGTATATAAAGCCATTAAATACATGTTAGAAGTCGCAGCTACCTTTTGCTGGCAATTGTGCAAACTAAAAAATTGACACAATTTACCCTCTAAGTGATCTACTATGTATATACCTCATATGAATAAGTACAGGAATTTATTTGAATAAAACCAGTTTAATGGTTTAAAACGCTATGTACATTAGTTAGATCTTAACTATGGCAATTGTTTTAACTGCGGCCCAACGTTTCTACATATGAATACAGCAATTACTGATTAAAACCGTGATAAAATAGTTTATTTTTATACCCTGCACTGTTTACTCTTCAGCACTAGCGACAATAATTTAAAAAAAGATTCGTAAGCTTACTTTATAATATATTGTCTAGAAGCATACTTTGTAATTTATCTTCTATGAGTCGGAACTTGTTATAAAATTGATTTCGAGATACATACAACATATAGTTACTTTTTATTGATATACGTAGACAATTTTTTTTACAAACATTCATTTTCGAGCCTTTCCGAAATAAAATAAAAAGTGATACTTATCGACTGCGATGTTTATATCCTGAATCTGAATCTAAAGGCGCTATGAAGGTGATAGACAGACAGAGGAGAAGACAATTTTTCATACCTTATTTAGTACATATCGTTTCGATGAAAGATGCTAAATTACGAATGAACCATTGAAAGGGTTACTTTTTGTTCAAGTTTGTTCAGGACGTTCAATGACGTTTATTTTCTTTTATTCAAAATGAAGTTTTCTTTCAGTTATTTTTTTAATAAGAAAAAGAATAAAATATGTGGCATATTCCCCGCATATAGAGAAATTGAGAATATATACAAAGCTGCTAGAGGCAAACGGCCTACAGTCTACATAATAATTTAAAAATATAATAGTTTACCAATTTTCGACTGTGCTTTTGTAGATTAAATTTTTGATATAAATAATAACATTTTTAGATTTAAAAAAAATATTTAACTCAAGTCATAAATGTGCAATTAGGCTACTCTGCCTCATATTTTCTACAGGTTTTCAACGTGCCTTAAGCTTAAGGGGAGTAATTACAAAATGTTTATGATGACATTGCAATGAGTTAAGAAGGCGAAAGATGGGTCTTCTTTTCTCTAACTGCGTCCCTTTATCAAACCACCAAAACTTTTAACTAAACTAAACTTTGAAGTCAACTTAATACATGTGGTATACATGAAATAAACGTTAGTAAAATAGAGTTATATTTATTTTAATGTATGTCCGCACTCAGCTCCTGGACAAGGGGGCAAGCCAACATTTTAACACCACCCTTTTAAAAGTTCTTAGGTATAATCTCTCTTTTTAAGACGTCTTCATCTACCTTACAAGTTGACATAGAGTACCTCACGCAATAATATTTTGCTCTTTAGTTTTGATTAAATACTCTCCTACTTCCTGGAGGGCTGACCCCCATAAATTGAGGCCGCTAGAGAGAGTGCCTAATATCAAAAAAATATTTTCAATAGAGTGGAAATAAAAATCGCAATTAACTTAGCGAAAAATTTATCCTATTATTTGCGTAAGAATTATATTAACAATTTTCGCCACTGTGCTCTTGTAGGATAAAATTTTTAGACTATGAAAATATAAATGAATCAAGTCATAAAATTGCAGTTAGGTTACTCTGCCTCTAGTGACCTCAATTGTTTAGGCACTCTCTCTTAATATATTGTATGTAACTAATCGATAGAATATTTACTTATTATTATTATAGAATACTTACTGTACAGTCTGTAATATTCTGAACGTAATATAAATTTATATCCTTGCTGTTTATTTTTTTTTCTGGCTGTTTTGACGTGGTGAGCATGGAACTAGATTTTAGGCTGCATACTTAACTTGATTGACTTAACTTGAGTTAAAATGTAATAAGTATAAGTATATAAAAATAAAAACAGAAGTATTGTTTTCGCAAAATATTTTTATTGATTGCCAATATAGGCTTAACTAAATTAAATGGATTATTGAATTAAATTGACTGCGAGTAAAGTAATTGGTAAAACAATGAATATTTATTTTAGATAACACTCAATTTGGACCATCATGAGAATACAGTGGCATGAGTCTACTATCATTAATATTTATTTTATCCACCTTTTTTCCACTTTTCACCAGGTGTATATTCAGTCATGGGTCTACCAGATATTCCACATGTTCCAATTCCCACTCTGCCTTCTAAATTATCAGGTGATGCAAATATACTTTTCGTCCTAATTCCAGGCTTTTTCGATGCCTTTGAGTGAAAGTTGAGCCATTTATTTTTATCACTCTCCCGTTCCTCCTCAATTTGTTTAAATCGCTGCTGTTTTTTCTGCTTTTTCTTCTTTAAATATTCCCTATTGTAGCCCTTGGGGTGTCTGTAAAATATAGGAAAATATTATTCAAGTGGTGTATTATTAAAACATACCCAACACCACTAATGCAACACGCAAGCAAGTTATAGACACACAAAACCTGTCTTAAACTAAGTTAAAAAAGCAGGGAAGTCAAAAAATTTACAAGATACTGTAAAAATAACATTCCTTTTAAAACTTACTTTCCTTCATCTCCACTCGAGGGTCTCTTAGTACCAGAAGACATAGACTTAACATCATTTACAGAGATGGATTCTAATGTTGAATACCCATCAAATTTCACCTTAAGATTTTTCTCATTAACTTCTTCTATTGTTGCCTCATAGAAGCTAAAAAGTACAAGTTAGTATTACATTATAATGTTCCATAAAGTATGAAAACTAAATAGCAAGCATTATTTGTCAGGAAATATTAACATGCAAAAATGTAATTAGGTGATAATTTCTCAAGCATTTAGAATAATAATTGAAGTACAAACATTCCATCCGTTTTCCACTTTGCAAGACACCTTTCCCCGACCTGCCACATAGGAAAAGACCTCCCACCAACTGCAGCACTCTGGGCAGCCAACAGGGAAGCTGTAACATCATCATCATTACTAGAACTATGAACATTGACATTGGTTTCACCCTCTTGAGTTTTTATTAGATCTTGTGTCAACTCAATTACTTCTTCCAAATCAGTTTTAAGTTTCAAAAGTTCCTCATTTTGTGGATCAGTCAATAAAGCTGCTTCTACCTAAAATATTTAAGAAAACAATATTTATGTATGCTTAAAAAATGCGAATACAATAATTATCAACATTGACTGTACCTGCTGTAATTGAAGTTTGTAATTTCTTAAGTCATCTGCCATTTTGCCTTATCTCCGTAATACCGACTAAGATATTATTTACTATATACAGAATAGTCAACAGTAATAATTATCTTGCTGTGATTAAGCACTACACAAATAATTTTACGAGGTTGTAATGTACTGAAAAATAATGAATTTGGCCGTGTGTGTAACACAGAATATGCTAGGCAAGTAACACTTTCCTTCACAAGCAAAATAGCCTTTATTAATCCCTAAATAATACATTGAAAATGCCACATTTCAGCAGAGAAAACACAAAAACAAAAAATAAGGCCCTTTTAAAACACCATCGGGCTATCTACCATAGATTAGTCGAATAAACGGGTCGCTACCCACAGATATGTGATATAGACTACATAGTAGACCACAGAGTAAAAATTTATCTATTATTAAACCTGACAACTAATCATTCATGTTTATCTATGTATCTTTTTAGGACCTACATTTTTTTATTTGCTATCAAGTTCTATGTTCTAAATAAAAAAAGAAAATTACTTTAACTTTTATTATAAAAATAACAAATTTGCTCGATGAGTAAAATATTACAGCATACATCTTAAAAAATTATAAAATAAGTTAATATATGTATTTGGTTACTTGATAATAATTAGCATTATTTTATTATTATTTTATTTTATTTGTCCATGCCTAATGCATTCAAACATCACAAAAATATTTGATCTACTATAATAATAATTCTTAGTCACTACGGCATGATATACGTATTACAAGAATTTATGTTTAAAAGTAAATGTTTCTTACTTATATCTTGCTTAAACTATTTGCTATTTACAAAAACTGAACATATTGTCTATCTGTCGATAGTAAGATAAAACAGAATTGTGTTATTCAGATAAATCCCAAACACATGAAAACATTCCAGCATGTGGAGTATCTTCTGATAGGATATGATAGGTATCTGTTGTATAAAATTAAATTATGCAGTCAATTTCTCATTTTGAAAAATGAGTTTTGTAATGATTTTTTACTTTAAAAAGTATACAATCAAAATCAGTATTGAAAGCATTTTATGTTTTAAGGTAAACCTAGATTGATGTAAAATACTCCTATGTCGAGAATAGTATCACAAAGCTTCTAAGAATCAAATAATACATAAATTTAAAATCTCACAAAGGTTATAGTTTATTACATTAATATTATTAAATATCCTTACTACTAGCAAGTCTAGCTATCGACGCTCACAAGGTGTGTCTGCAAAGCAGTCGATTGATGGTAGCGTCTTCGTGATGCGAAATCTTCGTTGTCGTCATTCAGCCTCTCCTGTTCCATTGAAACGTCTGCATGCACCGGCGTTACCACTAACTGCTCGTACTCTAGAGGACGTTTGCTGAAAATATAAAAGTCGATATCATTTAAGACAATTGTTGTAGACAAGGCAGAAATAATCGTTTGAGAGTTAGCTACTAATAACAAACTTCAATTTCACCTACCCAATAGCTTGTAGAAAGGATATTTTCAGCCAATGGAAGAAACGAAACTCAGAGGCGCGGCCCGGCTTCACAGCAGGGTTGGCAGCCCCAATGTAGAGCCACAACAGCCATAAGATTAACAAACAACCCAAGGCGTACATCCAATGAACTAGGACCATCAGGACTAATTTTATTGCTACCTGAAACGTTTTTTTTTTCAATTAATATATCTCATACTTTGTTTATCATATAGGTATTTGAATAGATTTAATTATTAAATACTGTCTATAGTTTACGCGAGTAGTACTGCTTAAAATAAAACATCTGAAACGTGATATACGTTGGCCGAACTTATTTGAAAAATAATTTTTCAAATTTGGCCAAGTTTGCGGGCAGCAGTCTCAACGTATCACGGCTGTCAAACCGTCTAAAGCGTGGCTTTATTTAAATATATTCGAATGTATTAAATATAAAGTTTTTTTTAGGGACAAGAAAAATTCTCCATGAAACTGTCAGAAAGTTGGAAGATAAGCAATATGAAGGTTTTCTATCTCAAGATAATGTTTGGCACTTACGCCAGCCAGTGAGAGCCATCTATTGCACAAGTGTGAGTACCAGTTCTTATTTTTAGAGTGGACATTTATAGGTGGTCGCATGTCGCCATTGGCTGTCCTGCGACCGTTCATTATTGCGGAGTCCGTAGGTGATGGTGTGAAATCCTGTAATTACCATTTCAAATTACTGATATAAAACGGTGACATATAAAGTGATCTTTTGAATTGTTAAATGTATATTATATTAGCAAAAATAAACTTACACCAACAGTTTTGTGTCTTATCCTCTCAGGAAATAGTAAATCTAAATCACTTCCAGTTGCGCCGTATACCTGGGTGTCTCGTTGAGAATGGCCCTGGAACCTGTAGAGTTGTTTGATCCATTAACAAGATCTAACTGGGGTAATTAACCCAATAAAAAGTGAGGTAAGAAAAACTATTACAACTGTGTTAAAAAAATTATAAATAATAATAAATGGGGGTAATATGAAAGTGATGAAAAAAATAAGTTATGTTTTACCTCATTTCACGACGATGTTGTAAATCAAACGTTTGAGCGAGAGCAAAGTAAGAATAATCAATACTAGCGTATGTGATCAAAAAGGGCATGGTGACGATCGGTGCAAGCTTATTGATGTCCCCAATGATGATGAAAGTTACTGTCACTACGGCTACAACAATCATGGAGTAAATTGGCACTTTATTGGGTCCCCTCTGCAATTGACACAATCATAGCATGCTTTATCACTCAAACACAATTCAAGACCGAATTTCAGAGAAATAAGAAGTATTTAACATTGAATACTGCTAAGCCAATCTGGCAGTGAAATAAGACAAAAACAGCTATTACTATAATGAGTCAATATCATTATTTCTAATTAGGGTTTAAGGACTATGACATTTGATTGATTAAAAAAAAAAGGTCAACATGCACATTGAAAAATTCCCAGCTTACCCCATGGCCTAAGACCTCCAATCCGGGAATGACTTTCTCATTACTGATACTTTGAAGTACTCTCGGTGTCCCATACATTGCTCCTAAACAAGAACTCATTGAACTGACATACAATCCGGCAAGCAACAGAATTTTTACTGCTGACATATCAGTGGTGATGGAGAAATTTGTAAGTAATGCCTCTCTAGTTACAGTCGCTGCTAATGTTATAACAAACATCAAGTATAGGAATGTCCTGCATGAATGGTTAAAAACATTAATTACCAAATACTTAATACCTCTTTGTATATGTTGTGTAAATGAGGAAAATAATATACCCAGTACTAATAGCCGCTAGTGATCCACTAGGAATGTTAATTGAAGGATTCCTTAGGTCCCCACTCATGTTAATACCAGCTAGGATGCCTGTGATGGTAGGGAAAAACACACCAAAACATTTGAACCAAGTGTAACCATCTTGATAATCTGCCCATGTGTTGTTTCCTATTGTTCCACCAAGCCAACCTCGGAATTCGACATCTGTAAATAAGGTATTATTTAAAATTAAGTTACTTTAGTGTTATAATAATTTCTGCCACTATATCATTATAGGTGCTGAAATTCCATTTAAAACAAACGATATCTATGTGTATCTATTTCAACCTTTTTTTTCAACAAATAAATTACATATAAGAGTATAAGATTACATTCTTTATAGTTTTATAGTACATACAACCGTGATAATCTCAAAAGTAGTTATGAATAATAAGTAGCTAAGAAAACAAACTTACTTGGTACTGTTGTAAATGATCCAATGAAAAAATCTAACGCAGCCACTAGAATAACAAGTAGAAGTACAAATTGTAGTTTTATAACCCACTTCACACCAGCTATATTAATTGTGCCCAATAAAAGCACAGCGGCAACTGCAAATCCTCGAGCTGCCCATGTATTCTCAGTACCAACCAGACTAGCCATAGATTCTCCAAAACCAAACACATTTAAAGCGCATCCTACTGCCTAGAAAGCATAATTACAAGGTTAAATTTAAATAAATATTTCTATATCGAGACTAAACCAATACACACCTGTCCAAAACAGTATATCATTCCCAATGTCCCACCCATTCTAGATCCGAGTGTGTGTGCAAGCAAAAAGTAAACTCCACCACTTTCTATCCTACATCTCTCACAAATTCCCACAGCTGATAATACAGAGATTAAGGCCACAAAAACTAAAATGAGAAATTTAATACAGAAATAAATCTATCAGATTAATAATAGATATTTAAAAAAATTGCAAATTGTGATGATATGAAGATACCTGTAAAAATGACTATTAGTACAGCGTTGATTAATCCAGCTTGTCCCACCATCCAGCCTGATCTTAGAAATACAATAACACCAAAGATATTTATAAGGCACGATGTAAACACTCCATCCCATGTTCCGAATAAAACTGGTTGAGAAATAAAGAAATTCGACTTCCACCAAGGAACATCACCCTGCAATTATAATAATATTTAGTAAAATAATAATTATATACATTTAGTTGCATTTGAAGCCAGTAATAATTCACCTGCACGTCGGCAAAGATTTCGTTAGCTCCCGAAGCTTGATGACCGCCGGTACCATATTGTGATTCATTTCCTAGGTCAACAAAACCGCCAGATTGTCTTCTCATACGCGCTCTATCAAACCCTGGTTCACCATTGTCAAAACTAGCTACATTCTCCGCACCTCTTGTTCTATTGTTTTGGTCCATTTTGTGTTATTTTTTTACGAGAAGTAATTGAAAGAGAACATTTAGACTTTGTTTATATAAATAATAAATATCCATAAAAGAATTCAGCTGAACAACTAACTACTATTTAGTATTTACGATTTTTTTTTATTTCATGACGTATGGATCACGGATGCGAGCAACATTAGCAAAAAGATACAAGTCTTTCAGTCGGATACGATTTTATTAAATAGGGTTGCCATCTTAGTAACCCCAATTTCTCCAAAAACCTTACAAAATATTTATTGACTTTAAAAATGTATCTGTGGGAAGCGTAGAAAATTGAAAAAAATATTTATTTTTCGGCTTTCAACTGTTATAATTCTGAATTACTATCTACTCAAATACTATATTTAACATACAATTGTATAGGCGTTTTTTTTTCGGATATTTATTTGTTCGAACAATGCTGTGTATTAGGATCGGTTTTAGTTACAATCATTTTATCTGGTGGCGGCATGGAAATTATGTCCTAAGGCCGACACAATCATTGAAAAAAATAATAAATAATAATTTATAAAACGATTTATTGACTAATTTAAAAATCGAAAATAAATTGAAAAAAATTTTCGACTCGGGCAGGACTTGAACCGGCATCGTCAGCTTTCCGTGCTGTTGCTCTACCAATTGAGCTACCGAGTCCTTCAGTTCGAGTTAAAGGAAAAATTTTTTTTTCAAATTATAACTTGTAATTTATTTAATGATTTCTTAGCTAAAATAAACATTGAACCTTAATGCGTAAGTCTTAAGGTTGAAATTACATTGCGCGAGAGGTGCATGTATTAATAAATTGAAAAAATTCGACGATGAGGTGTAGGACTACGGTAGTTTTCTAAATTTTTATTAGAAAAAAAGCGCCACGCACAACCAAAAAAATAATGTAGGTGTGTATCATGTCTCTCCGGATTCGTACCCAGGACCACTTACGATTACAATGGCCAGCGTTAAATGCCAATTAAATAATATATTACGTTAAAGTACATAGAAGTTTTTTAAACTCCGTTGAATTTTTTAGCATCCTACAACTTAAGGACAACTTATACCTTTATTTATGGAGGTACGTTGCAGATTACCTGCGGCGGATATAAAACCCTCAAATAGCTGTAGTTTTTCCACTGTCGTGCGATTTCAATAAAGCAAAGCCTATATTTTGCCCCGAGCTCGGCTTAATCCATTGGGCAATCTGTGCAGTATGTTTAATAGATTACTAGCGGGCCCATCCTGGCTTCGCACGGGTACTATACGGATACTAAATATATGATCTACTACAGAATGTGCTAATAAACAATGTTTACAGATTTAGGGACCGCCGATAGACCACGGAAACGGACCCTTGTTCCATGTATGCATCAGTGGGGTGAGCTCGGGTCCTCAAGCTCCCACCCGCATTCTGGTGGTACAAACCGAGACTGAAGCCGCCTTCTGTGCCCCTTGGTATTGCCGCAAACACGGATAACGCGATAATCGCCAAAATGTTCGGTAAGTATTGGGGCATACATAAGCATTTTAAAAGTATAATATGTTCGCAAATGTTAATTTAAATAAGATGCTGTAAAGGGCCCCATAGGTCTGAATTAAATGAAAAATCTATTTAACATACCTATTTGGATAAATATTAACGCTGTAAAAAAAGTATGTTAAATGGTTCCTTAAGATTGACACATATACAATGGCGGACTTTTTTGTTGAATAATTTAAGGTGTACAATACTGGAGTATTAATAGGTTTATCTCGTGGAGTGCATCCAGCATTTGAAGTGAAGACGCAAAGACATGTGTTTATTTACGTTACATAAGAAACCTCTAAAACTATCAGTATTTCCTTTAAATCTTATGCATGTATATACATATAAAACTCTTAAATAATAAAGTTTTTTTAAAAATGAAGCATACATAGGGACAGACCACGAACGCGACTTTTATTTAAACTATGTAACGATAGTGTACATGTAGATGGATAGATTACTATAAATTAAAATTCTGTCCTATTCTGTCAAACTTGAATTTTTGATATTTGGATTAAACATAAAATATAACGAAAATATTGATATATTTATCATATAGGCTCACATGTATGATAATTTTAAGTATAGATAAAGATTTTTGGATTGAACGGTCTCGTTAGGATATTCCAAATTCTGTTTTTTTGGACAACTTAGATGTTCATTATTGTGTGCTAAAAACAACATTGCTACAGCACTGTATCGAAATAAATAACAAAAAGCACTCGTAATGGCGTAGTACATCAATAATTTATTATCATTTTCTCATAGCACTACATTTAATGAGCTATGGCGTTTACACCCTCTCGTTATGAGAGCCTCGTGCGCTCGTGGCCGTTATCTATGCGGCCTGTACTAATAGGCTGACACTACAAATCATTTCCAATAACCCATATCGATCTTTTCTGTGTACATTCAAGCCATTCTAGAACTAGAAGAATATTAAGTCTCAACAATATGTTATTCATAGTTTAATATTTGGATTTACTATATTAAGTAGGCTGATAGACAGTACTATAATTATTATTATTAAAGTCTAAATGTAACGTCTTTGTTAGTTGATATTTCCATTTCTCTGCAAAGCAAATGGGCGGTGAGGGGCGCTCGATGCAGTGTGGTGAATGGCGGTGGTGAGAATTAATATACGTATCAAAACGAGTCGTTGATTTCAAGTAATATTTTTTAATTTCCATTGTACCTTTCGTTTTGCATAAACCCTATAAACACTCATTTTCTATAAAGATGAAAGAAGTATTCTAACGATACGCTCGCAGTAAATTGAATAAAGTGAAAAAAATTACCGCTAAATTTTTATGTAGGTTCACATAATCTCCAGGCAAATTGAAACGAAGCGGAGCGATATTGAATATTCAAATTACGATTTTTTTCGTTACGGAAGGAATCCGACACGTGGAAGATGACCTGGATCAGAGATGGTTAGCAATTAAAAGCAGTAAAACGGGTGGACGGGGCGGTATGTATGTACGGTTGGGCGGGCGGGCGCGGCGAGCACGCGAACGCAACGTCACGTTTTGATAAGTATGCGAAAATATTTCTAAAGCGGGTGAAAAATTGTAATATTACGGCTATGATGTCAAATTTGGGGCGTGTTTATAGTCGCTTTAATTATGTTTCGTGTTATTATTGCTGGTTGTCTCGTCAACATTAAAAACTACTTTTATTAGTAGTACACTGGATTTATTAAAAAAAATATACAATTATAAGCTGAATAAAATAGATATTATATTATATTATAGCAATCGGTGTTAGAACGCAATTCGCGTAGCAGGTGCTACGATGTATAATTACGTAGCGGCGTATGACGTAGACAGGTGTTAGGCTAGGAGCTTAATGTATTGTGGAATTGTTGATTTTTGAAAACCCCACCAGACGACGTTCGTGCGAAAGCACTATTTAATAGGAATTATAATTAGCGGTAGGATCCATCTCTGGGCGGTGGCTAGAGCGTGGCGAGCGGCAGTCGGCGCTTCAGTAGGCGCTCGCGAGTCGCAGGGCGCGCACGGACAGCGGCAGCACCCCCCGCCGCCCGAATCGGCGGCTATTATGCCGGCGCCCCGGGGCCGCACGCCACGCGCCGCGCGCTCTCCGCCTCCGCGCAGCGATCTCCTCGCTCCGTACGTCGCGCGCTCGCCCTCTCACCCTTAACGTACGCGATCTTCTCATACACGACCGCGTCGAGGAATGTAAATATTTATGGATGTCAGTTTTCAGTTGTTTAGATTGGCTGTGAAATTTAAGGTATGTGTCTAGAGTCGTTCCGATTTTTCACGACGTCGTTTGTCCCGGTTTGTTGTTGTTTTCGCGGGATCGACGACGAATGAGCATGTCCTTTTGTATGCACCGTTTGAGATGGCTCACGTATCGAAAGCGGCTTAGGAGCGGGTGCCGACGCCGACAATAACACTAATCAGTGAACGTCGCTCCCGTGCCCTTTGGCACTCTGGATCGATAGTTTACCATTAACGTAGCCGTGTTGGGTTCAACAGATTTTCGCATTCAACTTCTTACGCGCTCAAAGGACGAGCTATTACTTTACTTATTAACAAACGGACTGCGCCGCCGCGGCCGCACGATGCTTGCGATCTTTTGTCTATATTCTAACATGGTTAAACGAGCCGTCTTATTTATTATTCACATTTTAATTCATTATAACTGCTTTGAGCGTAAAATATATGTTATGTTTTAGCGCGGCATTAATTCTATTAAAACAATAATAATACATCGTTAGAGTTTTACGACATGCAGATCTAAAAATACTAATAAAACAGACGATTGAGGAATGACACGCAAACACCTTCCACAACATTCAAAGTTTACTCCAGTCCTGTTACCCACAATTGCAACACAATATTCATTGGCCTGAAATGTTTAGGTGAGAATGAAATCGACGAGGCGCGTTCGTGTACATGAAGATGCCATTCGTCATAGGTAATATATTGCAGTTTTTTACCTTAGATAATACGTAGCGATTTGTACCCACACTAAAAATGTTACCCATAACTACCTACAGGCTTACCTGACATGCTGTAGCTATTTTAATGACTCAGCCCTTCTGTTCTCTTTATTTTCTACTATCTATTAGATACCCTACAATAACGTTTTACGTGTTTATATAAAAATAAGCATAGAACACACTAATATTTTTTCCTTTACTTGAAAATTGCAGTAAGCATTTTTGAAAATTACAATTCACAAACTTTAAATATCACACTTTCTTACGGTTTTATTTATTTATTTGGTAAGATTATTTAAATGTAAATAATAGATACCCCTCATTATACACCTTAGTCTCTCTTAACTTAGTGACTATTACTAATTTCCATCCGCACTCGAACTCTTCCTTATTTATAAACAAACACAGGCAGACAAACCTAACTAAAAACGTACGTAAAAACGAAAAAAAGAACTTTTTAGCAAACGAACACAAAAACAAGTATACATACGATCGAATTGAGAAATATCTAAAATTTTTGAAGTTGATTAAAAATTCGCTAATAATACATTATTACCGACATCATCGCACTAAAACTATTTCCATCGATATGTAGAATGTGAAACATGTTTAATTTACAGCAGTCGCATTAATTCAGGCAGGTTTACAAAACTCGAAACTGATTTGAATATATAACATTAAAACCATCCTTTTGCTTCTGCCATTAATATTATGTATGTAGGTCATCCGTGCATTGCTTCGTCGCAGGGATCCGATTGGAACCGACTTACATAGAAATATGAAAATATAAAACGGCAAATTATACACTAACACAAAGATAAGCGATAAATTAAGACACAACAGACTATAAACTCGTACAAGTAATTATGGTAGTAAAACTTAAGAGAACCATTTTGTAATAAAGTTTATTTGTAAGATAGTTTTTTCATGACCGAGGAAGACACTGAGCATGGAAATCCCTCGGTGGGATGCGCTGTCGTCACTCGGAGATCCACATACTAAAACCGAAACGGCTTTTCCACCTGAGGGTGGTGGTTCATGAGTCGGACGAAGTTACCATATTATACATACATATATATACCTACTTTATTGTTGAAACACTGGTTTTAACAATTTACTTTATAATAAGAAAGTTCAATTTGATACAGCCACTCGCGCCACAGTGGGTACTGTGGGCGGTAATAGCACTTCTAGTACAAATAATTATCTATCTACGTCATAGAGGCACTTAAAAGTCGCATTGATATGCAAAATTCATGTTGAAAACTAAACAAAACAATCTATTATAGCAAAGCTATTAGCGAAGTTTTGTTTTGTGACTTCTTGGCTAATAGCATAGGTACACACGACAAGTGAAAAACGGTATAGCATTTAGCGAGATACGTATTTAAAATGAATTCTATAAAAGTATTCCCAATTCGCTGCTTTCTATTACGCGCTAAATAAGTCGCGATGACAAGATTTAATGGAGTAAAGGCGTCGAACGCCGTGTTAAGGAAAATTAACTCGGTTAAATTCGTTATATATATTCATAGGTGCGAGAATAATTCAAGGTGACATCAAAGGAAACTTCAGTTGGAGAACCTAATTTAATGCCGCGTTGACATTGTAACCGAGTCGTCTTTAAATAAACAATGGGCTTGTCGCAATAAATAACTAAGTTACCTATGCTTTGTCCCTCGCAATTAACGTACAATAGAACATTTGCAAGGAAGATACGCGATTACGCGAAACTAACAATTGAACCCAGCACCTAGCACTTCTGGTTTTTCTTATGGTGCACTGCCATTCTACAAGGCTTATAGGGTTTTGCTTCTATTGACGAATTAGCAAAATCCGCTTTGAACGCGTGAAATGAAGAACTGCATGCATTTATTAGTTAGCTGCTAGGTTATTAGCTTTATTGTGTATTGTTCTGTTTATTCGTGTCTATATGGAGAACCTTGATTTATTATTATGAATAATAATATCAAATGGCTTCATACATAATTAAGCCTAGTATTTTGCGAGTATGTCAAGATTTGAATACGGCTTTTCAGTCATGTAAACACACCGGTTGGCAACAATATCAGCCCAGTCACATTGATTTGTTTGTTTATTATTTTACTTGACGATGTTTCCCGCCTCAGTATAACGGGTCGAGATGGCGCCTCGCCACCGACAAATGCATAAAGTTTTGCAACTTCGCAACGAACACCTGGACAGAAAGTTCCCCGAAACACAAAACTCGCCAGAAGAAAGAAGACAATTCAATATTGCATTATTATTATTAGCACGATTGTTTTTTCTTTGTATGTTCTATATCAGAATTTGCACTAATTGCTTTAAAATCTCAAAATAGAACACTGGACTAAAACAAAGACGGTTATTTTCCTTAGAAAACCACCTACGTAATATAAACATACTTCATCAAGTCGAGTAGGAATAGTTCAGGTCCAGTATTACACAAATATTATTATGGATTGTGTGTGTTCCTTCTTGTGTTGTGGAAAAGTGATTAAAATCTAAACTTATTAAGTATATGACATTGCATTATATTTCCGCCTAGGTACGTAACACATCAGGCCTCTCGTTTTGCTATAACATACAATTGGCTGAAAAACAGAAATGTGGCTGAAGGGAGTTTAGAACTGCCAACGCGCCGACATACGTATTACAGAACGCGAGCTCTAAACACAATGACGGAAAGTGAACCATCTAAATTAATGTTTTTTTTTAGGTTGGAAAACATCAAACATTGCTTTCCAGCGGTTTTCAGTAGCCACGCTAATTTTGCACGTTCGTTGAATGTATATTTTAAATTGGACTGCGAATATGCTTTATATAATTGTACGTATATATTTATAATATACGTTTTTACGTAATTACTTTGGCTTATTATGTCATTTAATAAAGAAAACAGCAATAATTTCAACGTATTATTTAATTCTGTCTAAAATCATCCTTGTTTGAATTATGTCAAGTTGAAAATATTAAATTCAAACAAATAGTGGTCTACTCTTATACAAATCAAGCGTAAAGAGAAAGTAATGTATCTTTTCTTTTCTTAGAAGATAATGTGTTTTCAATACCCAGTGGACTTACTTATAACGTTTTGTGGATACAAATTTATGTTAATATTTGGTACTTATATAGAAAATCAAAGCAGCTTTTACGTAGAGGCTTCCTAACCTTTTATTATTAAGCCAAGTAGATATGTAATCGCTTATTTTGTGCAATATCTGGAAATGGGATGCTGAATACGTGCAATGTACATAATATCCCGTTATCGTTCTCTATTAGACACGGGCCAAATGTGGTTTGAACCGTTCGGTTCGTTTGTTTCATAGACTAACTAAGGAATATAATTCTCTTCTGTTTCTACTATTACACAACATCTCCCTAAAGATTCGAATGAAGTGTAAAAGGCCTAGATTTATTAATGAAATAGAATGATAGACAATATATCATTTTCCAATTCTCCACGGTGATAATGAAGTCCTTCCAGTGAGTGTAAACGTGGGGGCGGCGACCGGCTGGCGACGCCGCGGATGTCTCTTCTCGGCAAACCCATCAGCTACCGCGCCACGCGACGCGACGCGTGCTGCCGACGATTCCAATCCAAGTTTTACAATTTTCTCGAACGGCCGAGGGGTTTCAAGGCCGTCCTGTATCATATGATTGTGTAAGTTTTGTTGTTTTCGAAATGTGTTAGTTAAACTAATTTACAAAACATGACCTATATAATTTAAAAATCGAAAATAAATTGAAAAAAATTTCGACTCGAGCAGGACTTTATTTTAGATTTTTGAATTATATAGTACCTTCATGTGCAATAACATGTAAAAAATAATAACGTTTTCAAAACATGACCTGTTCGGTAACAGATATAGGTATATATGCACTTAAAATACAAGTAAATTGGTTGCTTATTTAGAGCATGTAGGAAGGACAAATTTATAGAGAACGAAATGACAAGAACAGTATATTTTCCGTCACTTTAAAATACCTTTGTAAAAGTGATACCGTACCAAAGCTTTTAGTCCGCAGGGAGAATATTTACAGTGAATGGCTCCCAATTTCATGAGCGAAGACTGAATAAATATTTGGCGACGTTTTGAAAGACTACGAATATGTCCATTTCAAAAAATACGCTACGTGCTTTTGCCACATTGGCCTGTCAGTTTCTGATACATAGATGGAGTTTTCTTCTCCACATACAGAAACGATTATGTAAATAATGCTTCCATCCATCTTTCTTTGAACTGCCAAACCGGAACAATTTATCATGTTTCTCTGGATTCAAGAACCTTAACCAAGACATTTAACGCAACGTAACGAAAAGCAACGTAGCTACGTTCACCACTGGGCTGCGTAACCCTCTATAATCAAAAACAAAGTTGTGTTGTGTATACACAAAAGTGCAAAAACATAAATTCGATTTATTTTTGCATTGTAGAAATCTTATTATTAGTTTTGGCGCCTGCATCAAACTTTTCCCATTCTATTGATAAGAAAAATTGGAATAAGTTGCGGTCGGCGCATTGCATTTTGCATTTTGTTAAAGTTTTGCTATCACTTATTGCTGTCGTTACTGCCTGTCGTTGTTTTACTTTCTTGATAAAATGGTTTGGCACTTCGTTCTTTATCTCTCCAGGTTCTTGATGGTGTTCATGTGCTTGTCGCTGTCGGTTTTCTCCACTATTGAAGAATACGAGGCAAAGGCTGGGATTGTACTCCTCTACATGGAAGCCGTGGTCGTGGTGTGGTTCGCCATTGAATTTTGTCTAAGGTAGTTATTATTATCAGGACAAAATGTTAAACTTACAAAAAGAACCTTACGTATTCTAATCTATAGAGAATCATAACGTGTTAAAGGATTCGAAGTAATAAAATAAACAGACGAAAAACACTCCATCCATTTATCATAAATAATAATTACAATCATTAATCTTTGTCTCTAAAGTACTTCGCCTATCTCTGATGTAAGCTTTTAAAGCTGTATTTAATGGCGGACCGATTATAATTATTTAACTAGAAGAAGCGCGATGTCTAATTCGCCTGTTATTGATGGCTGTTTAAAAAATAGTTCAGATTAAACCTACACCGGAGGCCTGTTTTAACATTGCGTAATGCATTCGTCGTGTTCCCCGGGGCGACTTGCTAATTAGCGAGGCTTCCGAACATTTACTGAGCTATTTTCCTTACTAAGTTGGTCAACGAGCTCTTACGGAATACGAGCCAAAAATAGAGTACTTTGTTTGTAGCGCTTCGAGCGCGAAGTGGAACAATAAATAATTAATTAAGGCTTATTTAAGTGTGTTTTCTGTGACAGGTTGTGGTCGTCAGGATGTCGCTCGCGGTACCAGGGCCTAATGGGCCGGCTCAAGTTTTTGAGGCGGCCCTTCTGCATCATCGGTGAGCTCGTTTATAAGTCGTGAGCGTGAGGCTTTCAAATTATTCACGTTACTATATTCGACATTATTAACCGCCGCAGTATCCTCTCGGGAGCCACCGCCGGAGACGATGCCGTGCCGCCGGAACGGACAAATATAGCCGCACGATTCGCCCACTTGGCTTTATTAACATTGCCTTACGATAATGATATACCTCAACTTTGACCTATAAATGTCTTTGTGATTCTTTTGTTATTTTAATGGCGCTAAGTCATATCGCTTTATATTATTAGCGATTCTGGTCAGCGCCTATTGTCGAACAACGCAACGGTGAAACTATTCTATTTTTGGGATACAGAGAAAGAAGATCGCCCGCAGTTCGGCTCCAATCTGAATATCTATTACTAACATACGTTCCGAAACAAAACACTTGTGTATGTAAATTAGTCCGACACAACACAAAAACCTTACAGTATTACCATATTTTCAACATTTACATGTGCTACGTAGCGAATACAAATTTATAAAAATGAGGTTTCTACTGTTCCAACGAGCTTATTGTTTAATATCAACTGCTTGGCTTGCTTTTTCATATGAAAGAATAGACTGGTACAAGAAGCACATTTCAAGTGAAGAACAGGATATATTTGTAACAATCAGTGTAATTTTTCTATGTACCTTTTATTACGTACAAATGTTAGGGTTTTAATAATTACTATTTTACGTACTCACGATTATAACATGATACAATATTTTTTTAGACGTAACCACAATCATCGCCTCTATGGTGGTCTTGGGAATGGGATCTTCGGGCCAAGTTTTTGCGGCGTCAGCTCTGCGCGGACTACGATTCTTCCAAATATTAAGAATGGTCCGAATGGACCGACGAGGGGGCACGTGGAAGCTTTTAGGCTCCGTCGTATACGCACACAGACAGGTAATGAGCAGACATTTGTCTCGACTGAAAAACATCCTATCATCTGTTGCTTTAGCGATATGGCCACATGCCATGCGGCGATATTCTTATTTAGCTTTATTCGACAGCCCGTTCCATCTTCTCTTTTACCTCTGCTATCTTTTTTTTGGCTACTCACATATGTTTTCACAATTGCTTCCTAAGACAATGAATTTCAGTATAAAATTGAATAACTGCGTGAAGATTAGCGTTGCAGATTTATAACGAAATTTATCAAAAGAGTGAACGTTTTTACGTGACCTAATTAGACGGTACAGGTAAATTTAAACAGATTCAAACTGAAGAATGATTTAGTTACGTAAATATTTGTAAGCGAGGGCCACTTGCAGCTATATTTATAGAGTCGGTGGTTTTTACCCCTTTACTTTAACAATAAATCGAATTACTTTGGTCGCACGTCCATTTTTCACAGCCGATTTAACTAGATGGAAATCGAGCCGTTTCATTATTCGCAATTGTTTCTGTTACGTCACGTTTTCAATAAATGTGACTGAACTGCGTCTAATATTTAGTTTTTCTACCAACATCGTAGCTGACCTACTGCGTCATAGAGATTAGTGACTTTGCAAACGGAACTATCACTGGACGATCGAAGAATCGCAATTTCCTTCGGCGATCAAGTAAATTGTCGTTATAATAACGCCAATACAAACCGAGGACCTCGATATCCACTAACAATCGATTCGTATTAAGCCTACGTGATTATACGTCCCAGAACTAATAAAGCAATTTTGTCGAGTCTCAATAGAATGTTGACAGAGTGAAGACTAAGCACCGACGGAATCGCTAAGTATCAGAATCCATCGATCATTGCCGATACGTCGGTGTACTTCGCTTTTTACGTGTAATTGATTGGCTCAGCGAGCCAATTGCCTTAAGAGAAAAGTAAGAAGTCACACTGAAATATTAAAAAAGTTTCAGTAGAAGCGTAAGGCGACAGTTAACAATGCGTGTATAAACCAAAGGAAATTCGGTATTTATCATCGCACCGGTGACTTGTAAAACAAAATACTATGCTAAATCAGCCTCCTTTGTTCGGCTCGCCTCGTCTTCATAGACGCGAACGGGGCGAATCGTTTTTGTAAGTATCGTAGCCTTTGTTACGTTCAACTTGTGTAATGTGGTAGAAATATCCTACTTTGCTATTCAGCTCCCTTCAGGCATAATTGTTTGTTTGTTACAAATTCTGTATTTAACAGAATTCGAGCGGTCGCAAATTGCTAAATACACAATAACCACGTAAGCTGCGAACCGTATTAAAGCTAGAAGGAAAACTGGCTGCGGAGTTATTTATTTACAAGAAAGCAACAAAAATACGATAGCAATGTTCTTGTAAATACTTAGTCGGAAATAATTCTATATATAATACAGTTTCAGTCATGAAACTTTTATATCTATCTGAGCCAGCCGTTAGCAAGTGAGCACAAAAACTATTGTCTGGCTGATACATTTCTCTGAATAGAAGAAAATTGCACTTCGTCGTTGTAGGAATCTGGCGTATTACAATACTTTCTGAATAATAGAGGAAGCAAGGCGTTATGCGATTTGAACACCGGTTCGGTCCAAGTCCAAAAAATAATTATAGGCATATTTGATGTCTTCGTCACTTAATTGTTGCTTTGCTAGAATTAAACCTAATAATTGCATTGAGAAATAAATGAAACTGACCTCCATGATCGGAAATCGATCAACCGGGATGCCTTATTAAGGCATTGCTTTGCGTAACCAACTTATATTTCTAAATACTTTTATTTGTTTCAGGAATTGATAACTACACTATACATAGGATTTCTGGGACTGATTTTCGCTTCGTTTCTAGTTTATTTAGCAGAAAAAGACGTTGCTGATACAAAGTTTAAGAATTTCGCGGAGGCACTTTGGTGGGGTGTTGTAAGTCTTATTCCAATTAATCATGAATCGGATACACTGAATAATAAACTGATGAAGACGTAATTGCGTTACGTGGACAAATAAGACAGAAAATAATTATTTTCCTTAGATCACGCTGTGCACAGTTGGATACGGCGACATGGTACCACAGACCTGGCAAGGGAAGCTTATAGCCTCGTTCTGTGCTTTACTCGGAATTTCGTTCTTCGCTCTGCCTGCTGTGAGTGTCCCATTTTATTTCAGACGCATAAAAATGAACACGCCAATAAAGGCATTTCAGATTTATCAAAATTCAGCAGGTGCTTTTCTTGTATTTCATAATTTTTTCCTTCGCAGGGCATTTTAGGATCTGGTTTTGCTCTGAAAGTGCAACAACAACAAAGGCAGAAACACATGATCCGGCGACGACAACCGGCAGCGACTCTCATTCAAGCTCTTTGGCGCTGTTATGCTGCCGATGAACATTCCATGAGCGTAGCCACTTGGAAGATACACCAAATACCCCTGCCTAGTCCACAAATAAGGTGTGTATTATTTACGTCAGACCACAAACACAATCAGTGCTCATTGCATTTTAAATACATTATAAGTTCTACGAAACTGCTCGTGGGCGGGTAGTTCCGTGCAACGGCCCGTACAAGAAAGAAGAATAGTTCGTAACAATATTTCCTCTGAAGCTACTTAAACGTACGCCTGACGCTCGTTATTTCTAAGCCTTTCGAGCGAATTAATGAGATCCGTATACGTTTGACAGTCGGGTCATGAGTGCATCATTCAAGAACAATGCCTCCTTTGTGTCGCGGTTGCCGACAATTCGTAGACACAAAAGTACTTCTCTGCATTCCCCCGCACCGCACTCGAAGCCGGCACATCGATACGAAGTCAACGCCAGCGCTGAAAACCTCGGTGAGTGTTTACCATTTGTTACTTGAGTTCACAGTGACGAATACTCCACCCGGCGCTCACACATTTGTTCCGTTGTCAGACTCTATCTATTGCGTTAACGTTTACACAGAGATTTCGAATAGGATAAGGCACCACTGACTACTTTCTAAAATACGTAAGTAATGTACGTGTACTAACATATTAATAACATCGCATTGCACTTACTATAGCGACGTCCTCGCGGATTCACTCGATTCGTAAAAGTTATTTGAAAAAAGAAGTCTCATACGAGAACTAAAGGAGGAAACATCGAACTAACTTCAAGGAGCATTTAAAACAAATTTAATTAAAAAACAAAGATTACACGAGTTAGAATCTTGATAGCGGCGTGTTTTGGCACAAATAAATACAGCTCTTAACGAATACTCCGTTGCCACAGCGACAGTCAGACGCGACAAACAGGTACACACATGTCACAGATTATTATACTAATATCTTTGTTGTGCTGAAGTGGAGGGTGACACGATATTACCCTGTTTCATAGATACTCGCACTTCGGGCGGGGACCGTGCGTGTTGTCTACTTCATTGTTGGAAAAGCTGCTTCCAAGGTTTCGTTCTCCATCTCTTAGAGGGCACTATGGCATGAAAGTTCAATTCGAGAGAGCTGCGTTTCTTATATCCTTATTTAGTGAATCCTTTCAAAATGTGTATACACCCAAACGATTCGTCGAATAGTAGCGCCGGCACCGGACTCTGTGCTCCGGCCGCGGCTACTGCATCTATTAGATCGAAACACTGTTGCTGGTACTTTCTTTCTTTCTCACCTTTTGAAATCAAATGCACCCGCGTAGATACGTAACGCTTCGAAATATCTAACCAGAGTCGCAACCATGAGCTTATAATTCATTTGAGAGAGAGCCTTCTGCGAGCTGAGCGCTTTAGCTACTGCTCGAGTAGCCCCGTAGGAAATGGGACCCGATATCTCGCTACGTACAATTATTAGCTAGGTCTGTCTCGCATCATAGAACGCAGTTCACACACTGATTTTCCTGATTGTTTACGACTTATAAATACCAGATAAGCTAATCTTGTTACTGGAATGGCTTCAACAATTAAGCTTAAAAGAGCCTTTACAATAACACCGCTTTGCATTTGTTTTGCATGCCAGGTAGACCATTAGGAATTATATGACTTAAATATTTACATTATGTACTGATAATTTAGTGCCATAATGGCCTCGTAATAATTCCCTTTAAATAGTTTAAGGATGATTTATTATTTACGTATAATTAAACATTCTCTTATCCTGTAGTTACTAATTTTCAAGTGAGAACTCTCGTTAAGAGTACGTTCAGAGAGAGGTAAAGTAAGAGGAAGAAACTAGCTTCAGATTAAATTAATACCCACCACTAGTCTAGAAAACATGGTTCATATTTAATAAAGGGCAGATGATATCAAAAAGCACTGTGTTATGTTGCATTGTTGGATTTCCCGAGAGACAAACTAGGTCTATCCCAGGGTGGAAAATATTTACGCGCACAAACAATTTATATCTTCTCTATGTCCCACTGAGTTTCTATTTTATAAGGCTCTTCCAATGAATCTATTCTTGTAGCTGACTAAAGCTAAGTGGGTTATATTATATAAAAAACTTATTTAACTTAGAAATGTAACCTTGCTAATAATCATAATTGAAAAGCATCGTGAATTCTAGGCTATGCCATATGTGCGTGTTTTACGCAGAGCTACGGCGGAACCGCGTAGCCGACGTAGCAGACGTCTACGACATTAGTATTTTAACCTAATAACAAAATGTTATCATTAAAATAAAATAAATTAGTTGTTCTAACTTTTTAATGAACTTACCTATCTTTTACATGTTAATTACTAATTAAAACTGGTTTCTTTGCCCCAATAGAGATGCAGCATCAACGATTTTAAATAAATCATTATTCAATGACGGAGTAAAATGTATTCGATTTAATTTAACCCTGGATCAATAATAACCCTTTACAAATAATAACAGTAACACCTGGGTAAGAAAGAGATAACAAATGGATCGATAGTTTGCTTAGACATTAACAACCACTGCATTGACCTCATTATTTAGGTGGTATTTTTATGCAGCATTAGAAACTCCCTCATTTGTATATAATATAATATAGACGGGGAAAGATTAGATATTCAACTAAGTAGACGATGGTCGGGAGCATTATGTTGTTTAAATAAAAATTTCGGTCAGACCTATCGGCACAGCTTATGTCCCGTGTCAATTAGCATTGATATTTTTCGATCGATTGTAACATTGTAAAATACGGGATTTAGAGTGAGCGTATGTATGTGTGGGTTGACAGGGGCGACGGATGGCTCAGGGCACCCTCGACCCGTCAACCCTGCCCGTAGCGACGATTCGGTGACCGAGACGGCGCTCTCCAACAAAAACTCCAACGGTAAGCTCAAAGGAGTCTGGAAGATTCTCTCTAAATCTCAAAAAAAAATAATTATATTGAAACGTACAATAGATATGGCAATTTTAGGAGTAGAAAACAATGTGTGAACTGCGTTTGTGTAATACCATAAAGGTATTTAGCGGCCGGAAGTTTTATAATTGAAACCTATTTTAACTGAAAAAAAAATGAGTTAGTTTAAAAAAAGAAACGGTTAAAAACTTTCACAAGTCGCTCTGAGAACAGTTGAGTATGTTTGAAGTGATGAGAATTTCATTTTCAAGAATTAAACAATGCTCTAAGCTAATTTGATATGTTGTTGAGTTAGCATAAGAAACAACTTTTTTTAAATAAATACAAATCATAATTAAAATAGTAATTCTGATCATAGGAAAATGTAAACTTAGAAATAATAATTATTTATTAGGTGGCAAGAATAAAATATCGTAATGTTCGACGATCCTCAATAAAAACAAGGTGTGTCCATAAACCCCCTTCTTCAATTAATTAATTACAAACAGTAATTACCAATTATCATGATAGATATAAATTTCATGTTTCAATTACTTAAACATTTTGAGTATTTGCGGATGATAAAATCCTAGTAGATAGGTTTTTATGAAACTGCAATCTCTCGCAAATGTAGGTCATCATGTTATGCCTTTTAAATTATAATTATAGTTGATCAAGTTCGGCATTTCCAAACCAATTTATATTAATTTTGAAAAAGGGTGGGTATTATAAACGGGTAGAATGTTTGTTAACTTTGTTGGACATAAACCGACGAGACACGCTTATGTAAAACTAAAAAAAGGATGGTTTATTTCTTAACATTTTACTCAACAATATTTTCTCCAGAATAAGTGTTCATATGAGATTTTTTTATGTACAGATGAAGATGAAGAACCTCGTTGTGTGACACTTACTCCTCGGCACAAAGCAGCTATTAGATTTATAAGAAAGGTAACTTTATTTCCATCTTATTAGATTATTAGATACGAAAAAATTCAATTCTAATAGTTATTAATAATATTGTTACATAGAATTGAAAGTATTAAATTATCAGTTTATTTGTTAAATTACTATAGATCCGAAATCTATTATAAGTATTAAGTAGGTATCAATTAACAGTGTAACCTTTGATGAACATTACAAACACACCCTAAACATCATTGTCATCGTTGAACGTGCCAGATAAGACAACTCTTTGACTCATTCTAACCAAAGCGACATCTTGAAAGTGCCCCATTCTTCTGAAAATAAGATTCGGAAAATTCGGAACCGTGCACAACGTACCTTTTACTCTGCAGCTAAGTTTATTATAATATTTATGAAAAAGAAGGAATAACGAAGCGCAGCGAACCTAATCAGGGAGGATCTTGAATAGTTAAATAATGTTTACTGTGTCCAACTCACTGCTTAACCTACGGCCTGTTTCGATTCTCGAGTTCCTTTTAGGCGCTTTAATAAATTATACCAACCTTAAAATCGCCCCGCTCCGACCGATGCGTTGCGGAGCTCGTTTCCGATTCTATTTTATCGTTTCTTCGATGCAGACCGCACAAATCTTTTATGGGTACCTCAAGTAATACGAGCGGTGTTCTAGAGTTTTACTTTATTTCTATGAATTGCTCTAGCAGCTACATAAATAAAATGATTCGCGCGTGAACAAAAAACAGTGTTCCTTATTCCATTACGAACGTCTATAATTTATTCGCCGCTAGATGTAGAGCCTCGAAAGAATACTGATTTTAAAAGCGTCTTCTAAAATTCTAACAGATGAAGTATTTTGTGGCTCGACGTAAATTTAAAGAAGCTTTAAAACCGTACGACGTTAAGGACGTAATAGAACAATATTCCGCGGGCCACGTCGATCTGCTGAGCCGAGTGAAAAACGTCCAGACTAGGTACTGACACTTAGGTCTGTGAACGCATTGCATACACACACACGCATAAATGTCGACACACGATCGACGACGACATTGGCTACTATTGCGGGACGAGAGTCCGGCCACACAAGTGCGCCCGTTTTGCGTAGAATTAGTTGTGAGTGTGAATGCAATGTGTTGATAATTGATATTCCCCTAAACTCTAAATACGCATCTGCACATTAATTCACTAAGTTTTTTCTACTCTGTATCCTTCCATGGTTTGGGCTCTACACCGTTGCGAACTCAACTTTGTAGTGAAGTTAGCTAAAATATGTAGTTTGTGTTTTGCTCGATATCTAATAAGTTTTCTACTAGGTAACCGCAACATCTTTTAATAGAGACATTGACTTTCACTGAATAAGTTTTATGACGTCAATGCAGCAAAATAGGAAACTCAGTGTCTTTAGAAAAGAACCCTCCTTGTGTTTGTGTGGTTTTTCAAAACTATACAAATAGTGATACAATTTTATTACCTTCAACTCATAACCATAACCTAAATATCTACGATACCCACATGAGCATGATAAACTCTTAGCTTGACCTTTGTGATATAATCTCAAATTTTAAAATCATACTGTTTGCGTTTCCTATATTTACACATTTTCAGCGCATTGTATGTATACACATAAAAGGACAAACAGTCGAACTTACTTACGCTAGGAAATCCCACAATTGACTTTCATAAAAGGCGGAAACGAACAAACAAATCGCTATAGGATTCTAAAACACGCCAGCGATTACTCTTCAAAGAGACGCTAAGTTGTATGTCAGTATGACGCCCTGTTTCTCATAAAAGCCCTGAAGATGTTTTGTTTCCGTGTAGCTCAAGTATTTTGTCGCGCGCAAGAGATTTAGAGAAGCTTTGAAACCGTACGACGTAAAAGACGTGATCGAACAGTACTCGTCTGGCCACGCCGATCTCCTTAACCGAACCAAGAACCTCCAATACAGGTGAGCTGCAACACGATTAATGTTTTCGCGGGAGTAGAACAACGCACCCAGTAACTTGTCACTCCCTTCATTCATGGCTCGAGTGCTCATCAGCCAGCTCTCGCGGCCTCTTCTCCGTGTATGCAGATACGAGCTCGTTATTTTTACACATAACTAAAATTTACTAAAGAACGTAAAAATTACGGCAAAACAATAATACTCTAACTTCGTGTCCCACTCGATTTATGTCTTAATAGAAAATACAGAAGTATTCAATTCATAGTATTCTCGATTCCAATTACAGGTTTTTGCTGCAATAACCATGTTTAAGAAGTTGGTGAAAAACATTTTCAACGGTTTAAAATGCTTAATTTTTAAAAGAAGTTAAAAATAAGCTTACACTTAACATAAAACATTTAGCGTTTTCAACGTCTTAAGGAAATTTATTTTTAATGTGAACTACTTGCGTTAACTACAGACAATACTTAGGTTCAAAACTTTTCATTTAGATGTTGGATTGTAGCACGCGATTCTTCCACCTGTATTATTATGTAGATTACCACGTCGTATTTATATAGATATTTACTTTTACGTAGCTTGATGCTTTTTTGCCTATATGGAGGTAAGTTATTTTTTAGAACAATGCATGATTACATCCAAATCTAAGACTATATAATTGTTTCACAAATTTATTCGATGTGATAACAGAAGTATCGAGAGCCTTTTGAGCGGCATAGAAGTAGGTACAAGTCAAGTGTCTTCAAAGTGCTACATCTGTAAAGAGCGCCATCGAGAGAGACGATTTTCTCTCTAGAACACTTACTAAGTAAATGGCAATAACTTTTTCATTGTTGGGAACGAACAAGAATGTCAGTCGAATAAATTTCATAGTATCATGACATCATGATATTAATTCCATTTCCAAAGAAATAAGCATGCCTTATAAGTGACCTTAGTGAAATGCTTGTCTCGATGTTTTCAGATTTGCTATAGTTGAAATAACAATATTTCGTTTGTCGTTATATTTTTGAGTTACATATTTGTAGAAATTATATTATGTTTCTATCATGCTTTATGCGCATTGGCTTTAACTAACCTTAGTTGTAAATCGAATTATTACTTTTTTCTACTATGGCGACATATACCAAGTTCAAGTGTAAAGTTTTAATATCATTGAGTCAGTATTGTGATAACAACTTTTTATTTTTATAGGTTAGATCAAATTCTCGGCAAACAAGGTTCCAAAGCGAAAGACGTCTACGCATCTAAAATTAGTTTAGCTTCCAGAGTCGTTAAAATTGAAAGACAAGTTAGTACTCCCTAAAATATTCAAATATATTTCATTCTCAGGAATTTTTTTCTAAATTTCATATGTTTTTAGGTGGATGATATAGAAAGTAAGTTAGACCATTTATTAGAATTGTACGAAGAAGACAGACGAGGGGCGAGGAGAATATGCAACGATACAAATAGCAGGGGTGGGACCTCCGGAGACATACACGGAACGTCGCGGCCAGCTCTCACTGAAAAACAGTGTTCGGAACCAAACTCACCGCTGTCTCGAACCTTCGAACCACCGATTCTCAAGAATCCTCCACCGGCAGCCCTGAAGAGACCGATGAATAGGGGCTACTCCGATTTAGGAGCCAGGTTTATGCGCAAGAAAGTAATTGTTAAGTAAGTAAAAGAGTATTTTAGCTTAAGACGGGGTGAAATCAATGGCAGATCCAGGGGGTGAGCCAGGGTCCCCCGAGCTGGTTCCTGGCATTAGATGGACCACTAATTGAACATATTGATTTTGTTTTCAAATTATTACGTGTTAAATTCTTTAAGTGTATAATTTAGAATAAAAACTTAGAATTACTGTAAGATTACGTTTGTACATTAATAGAACTTTTTACTTTTATCTATTCTTATCAAAATTTAATTAAAATCCTTGACTTGACCACTACTATGTGACCCCACTCCACCACTCCTGGCACCAAAGCTAGATCCGCCCTTGGGTGAAATTAAGTGAAATGTTTATATTGTTTGCTTATCTCATTTCACGCCGTTAACGAATGTGATGGGTTTTAATTCTAGAACGTCGTCGGCTCGAAACGGGGAATCGCCGAGGGATGATGAAGTAGTCATCGTAGTGCCTACAGATCGCGAAGACACGCCGCCGAGACTCATCACTGACAGTTCGGGTAAATCTATTAGTTCCGACCAAAATAAATCAATATCAAACCGTATCTCTAAACTGGAGTTAAGTGATTATTCATATGTGACATTAATAGTTAGCGGCAGTACTCATTATAAAGCATCCGATGCGTTGAATACTTTATGTAAAGTACTCTTTGAAGGTTTGTATTGAGTGCCCTGTAATCAGTGAAACGTCATTATCATTGCCTCAGGTGTAACTTTGCGAATATTAAAAAATTGCAGCATCTTATGAAGACTATTCGTCGTCGACCTCCCTCTGACCGACACCTTGGGCCAGTCCCATTCTTTTGGACCGTCGGCTGCGTGAGTCCCTTACCTTGCCGTATCGATGTGGAATGTGGAAACGTTTTATAGTCTCATTCTGTAACTCCCACTCGTTTTTGTCTCGTGAATGAATTCAATTAAGTGTTGTATGTAGATATACCTATAAGTGTTCTATAGTGCGAACTAAATAATTTTTATTCTTAGAAAACTTTTTATTTCTTGATAAAATCTCGTCAATTAAAAGCGCTTAGGTTTAGATTATATTACATATTTTCATTATGGTTTGTACTTTTAAAATAGATTATTATTTTGGATAATGTTTTTGGCATGACTGTGATTAGTTTCGAGTAGTTCCTCAAATGTCGTCTCTCTCTTGGTGTATGCTGGATTAATTACGAAATGTTAATTCACTATTTCGCGAAGGCTGTTCTCGCGTATTTCATAAAATAAATATCTATTACAGTTTCGCAAATAAACTACTCCGTTCTTCTTCTGCGGTTAAGAACCGAGTCTAGTGCATTTGCTTAAAATATCTAATATTACGTAATTACTTTTTCTTACACTGTGTTCGTAGGAAGAGAACTGTATGATCACGTCGATATTGGACGTGTCAGCAGTAATCCCAGACTTGCGTTTCAGACGTGTGCGCGAGTTGTTCCGTGGACGTCGAAACAGAGGCGGAGGCGGGCGGAACGCGCTCGGATACTTCCGGGTCCCCGTCTTGGTGCGAGGGCGAAGCGGCCGATGAACGCGACTACGGCTCCGGAGACTCGCTCGCCGAAGACACCGCTTTACTCGGTGACGCAGTCCAACAGGCTCACCAGCCGCGCATTCTCCGCCCGAGTAACCAGAGGCGCGATGTAGCCGTGGATCTTCATTTGCTTCGCCCAGACGTATAAAAAACAAACTGTACCCTCAGTGAAACGAACCATAAAACCGAACCCTTAAATTTCAGCTGGATAGTGCCTCTAGCTTATATAGATATCCCCTCTTAGTCCCGTAGCCTCATGAAGTGCTTTTATTACGTATATTATATGATATGCAACGACGATTACAATAATTATGGCTATTCGTGATGCAACTTAATGAAAAAGACTAGTTCGTCTCGTTTAACTTACGTAAACAAAGTTATCGGTCGCTTTTATTATGTTGAAAGTAACGCAAGTAAGCGCATTTCAACCGTACTTTTTAAGGTACGCGAAATAAAATTAGTAATGGACAAGTGTCACTTTTGCTTTAAACCAAACTCGAATAATATACTGAAGGTAAACGACAAAGAAATTGTATACATTTTCTTTTATTACCTTTAGTTAACTGCGTAATGAAACTATAGCATAATTTATTGAGCTGTGATAGTGAATATTATTTATAGATTGTCGCTTACAAAATGCATTCGTCCTAAATACGTCGTAATTGTAAAACATATGATTAAGAATATACTTACATAGAGTGATCGAGTAGAAGCTAAACGTTAATTTCCCTTTTCCCTACATTCGTTTCGATTAATTGGTGTTTAGTTTTTATTCTTCCTGGGTTTGGGAACTTAATACTTACGAATTTACAAACCGGTTAGTCTTAGTTCCTATCGTCTATTACTATTCCTAGCAGTAACGGTACCTACCTACCTAGAAGATGTAAATATTGAATCAATTAAAAATAGGTTATCTAAGACAATATTTGAGCCCTGTAAAGATAGAATGCTAAGCAATATAAATAAATATACCTAAAAATGTTAACCCTTCTGTTTGCAATAAAACGGCAGTAAATAATACTCGGAGGATAGATTAACTCACTAGGCGTAGCTAGCCACGATCTAACACTATACTTATGACTTTAAAATTTTACGACAAAAAATAAATCTAAGCAAATTCGGATTAAGAATTGGAAAAGAGAGTCCTTACCTGTTTATTATATTAAGAAAATAACTATAATTAGGCGTTGCGTAAGAACCTAACTGTAACAATATTGTAAGTACCACCTGCGGGACCAAAACCTTTGCAATGATTTTATACAAAGAGACATATTTCAAGAAGAAAATACGCCCCCTATCTACACGTTTAATGTAGACTTCCAGCACTTCTTCGTAGTTGGTTGTCGATACTGCTGTTTTATTGCAAATATTCCTTACCGTATAAAATTGTAGTATAACATAGCTAGTCCTATGATTGAACCAACATTACAGATCATCTACGTGATCGTAATCGAAGCAGGGTAAACATTTGCCTAACATTCAATATGTAACATTAGTATATAATATAAACTAATGTCTTTTCATATAAGTGTCTAAACTTAACTCTTTGTAGCGCGACATTGGCCATCCAAAGGAATAGACCATGATTTTCATTCTCCACCAAATATTGTAAACCTGAAGAGTTTTTTTAATGGGTTAAAGGATCTCGGAAACTACTGGTTCGAATTTAACAATCGTTTGAGTGTTAGGTAGGCCAATTATATAGTAAGAGGCAAAGGATTATTCCTCTTTACTTTACGACGATACCGATTTCCAAAGGACTTACTAGTTACCGAGATTACAACCTTCAGGATAAGATTTCTCATTTAATTAAATTGACTAGGTGCCTAACTACTTACCAAAAGCTACGTTGCTAACGATATATGTGCTACTTGGGATCTAGATTTACCTTAAAAATACTTAATAATATTTTTACTAACTGGACCCACATAAAATTGAGACCGCTTTATATTATATGTTGTAATATATTTTATATTACACTCCCTATATATATGTACATCAATGTTATATAGTCACAATTGTTGTTCAGACAGATACATGTATTATCTCAATAACGACGAATATTGGCGCTAAAAGTTACTATCTATCCGGAGTGGAATCATTATTTAAACATAACTAAGACAAGGATAGATTTAGCGTTCGTAGAAATTATTAGTTGTCACTCTCATTTCCAGCAAACTACTATCTCCTTTATAGTTAAGTATTTAATGGCCTTTCACAGTTTGATATAAAATTTAGTAGGTATGTAATACTTATTTAATTGTAAATAATGTAGAATTATACAATATAAGGCAAGGCTTTTATTATATTTAGCACTTAATATCCATTTAAAATACTTTTTAATTAATATTAGATAAGTAAACTAAAGCCTGATTCGATTGCACACGTGCTTACGTATTGTGCTCTGCAAGATTGTATTTTTTTTAATTTATGGTTATGGTCATTACCTGAATATGCCAAACAAATAATGTGTATCGCGCAAATGAAGGCTCCAATTTATTTAAAGATAAATATAGTTTTAAGGCGACTTCATCTAAATGACCCGACCACTGTGTTTTAACCCTGGCATTCATCATTCGCACTGGATCGCATTTCACATATTATATATTATACACAATTTATTAATTTTAAAGGCAAAGACGAGCAATCATTTACCGTCAAAGAAAATCGGTCCTCTAGTTTGGAAACTGTAAATGTTTTAATAAAAACTAAATTAAGTAGAACAAGTAATGAGTTTCAAATAGTCCTTGTTGTGATTTGAGCTCGAATATTCCTCATAAAAGAGATTTTAGACATTTCGATTCACATTGAAATATACATATACATAGTGCGATTCTGTTCTTGTTTATCTGTTTCGTTTTTATTTCAATGCCTTTATTCGGTATGTTTTTAGTAGCATACTCATATTGATATGTAATGTAAACACGATATTGTAAAAATACAGAATAAAAATTGACCGAGAATAACTTAATTTTTTTACAGACTGAAAGCTAATAAAAAATAATTAATCACCAATTTTAAGACGATCGTCACTACATCTCACGATGAGAATATATTTGCTGAAAACGTAATTAAATTCAAATTATGCCTTGCTACGGTTTTCGGTATAAAAAAATCGCAGTACGCCGTTGAATAGGATAGTATGTAAAAAAATTATCGAAACATGTAGTGAGTACTACTACGTACAATCTGTACATTCTATTGACTATTGAAGCTAACCTGTGACGAATACTAAGACTATTTTTTTGTCTAGTGATGCGAACTTAGGGCGGTTAAAAATGAGTTGAGATTTGATCGATGAATTATGTATTTTGTTCTATCCCTTTAAAATGGAAAATACGTAAAGTATACAAAGCCCCCACAAAAGTACGACAGCTAATGTATTGTACTACTAAAGGATTGAATAAATCTTGCTAACTGTATGTATTTCTACCTAAGAAGAAAACTATATAGTTAGTGACGTCACTGACATCGACCTCTCCGACACTCTGTGCTCTTGCTACAGACTAAAACATTAATACTTCTATTTGTAAGTATCTGTGGAAAGAAGTCTTTGTGTATATTTGTGAGTTTTGGTTTTGACTTTTGAGCAAAGAATGTGTAAAGAGTATTGTTTTGAGTAAAGTTTTTTTAATAAATTGATCATATTAGATAGATATAATTACATAATTTATACTTGAATTATGTCAAATAAAAAGCAGTGAGTATACAAAAAGTTATGGTTTATTAACGCTAAAAGGGATTTCTAAGCTTTTTGATTAAATTTTTCATGCTGCTTTTAGATATGGCTTAATTTTATCGGAAAAAGCCAAACCTCAGCTAACTTTTCAAGCTTCACGTAATGTTTTTGGAAATGATTCTGATTCGGACGACGAATCAAAGAAAAAGGCGATACCTCTACAACAAAGTGATAATTCAAGAAGACAGGTAAAATCTTTTTTATTTAATTATTTTTATCTATCAAAGCCTAGCTGTCAAATATATTTCTGACTTTTTAATTTAATAAATTTATTGTACATTTGTATTTTAAGGCAAAAAAAACGCAGGAGAAGGTTGCATTAGAAGATCCAACTGTTTATCAATATGACGAAATTTATGATACCATAGTAACACAAAAGGAAAGTAAAAAAGTAAAAAGTAAAGAAGAGAAAAAACCCAAATATATTGAAAATCTTTTAAAAACAGCAAACAAAAGAAAAATTGAAAATGAACGAAGGATTGAGAGACAGGTAATGCAATAAGAAATAAGGTTTTATTTACCTTTATTGTGATATAGACTAACTTTCTGAAATACAGACATAGTATAGGGTCATTTTGCCTATGAGTGTCCTATTAGGGCAGTTGGCGAGTTTGAGTGTGACACTAAGTGTCCCAGCACTTATTTCTATATTAAATATCTGTAATGTGATAATTTTATTATCCATTTAAAGATAAACTTTCAGTTTTTTGTGAAGCATTTTATGCTATTTTCTTAAATAGATAAACCCTAGAATTAGGCATATTACCCACTCTGAATTCATAAAATTCTTGCTGTGCCCACCAGTGGAGCATTTAGCGTCCACCACCTTACCAAATATTAGCTGTAGCTTTTCAATTAAAATTGAAAGAATTTGTAAAGAAAGATTGTATTTTTACAAATTCTTTATTTTAGAATAGGACTATTAAACATCAACATTATTATAAAAAAATAAAAAATACCTTTTAGAAAAAAAAAATATTCTTCTCAACATTGATTCAAATATGTATAAAATTTATGTGGATAGAGATCTTTATTTCCACCAAAAAATTTTCATATCACTTTTGATCTGGGAAATAATTTTAAAACTTTCCATCTCAAAGTATTTTTGCTTTTTGACTGGAAGCCCACATTTGGAGTTACTAAGAAGCCATTCAACTATTTTTTTTCACCATCTACTTGTAGTGCTGGTTCTAGTCCAGGTTTATTCAGGCTACTCTAACACAAGTTAGTGAGTAAACTTACTGGTATAGCCCCAATACTAGTTATAATTTTATTATTAAGAGAGAGACAATAAACATATATGTTTTTTCATTCTTTATTTCTTCTTGGGAATATTATTTCTTTACATATTTGTATTACTATGTTATTCTTCTCTCGAATTTAATTTAAGTAAAAAACAAGAATAAAGGAAATTACTAATTTTATTTACAAATATAATTAACAATACATTTCAATTTATCTTCCCAAGAGGAAATAATATAAATTTGATGTAGTAATACGAGTCCTAATTCGACCTCGTTTTAATTGTTAAATAGAACAAAAATAAACAAATTTATAATTAATACCACCTTCTTTATAAAAGTCTAGAAATAGCTGTGTACATGAAGATTTCACATATACATTGGTTTGGCGCACGGTCCTTTTGTCCATTAGTCCATGCCTTTTATAGATTAAAATAATATACAAGTCACTGACTCTTCTTGATTGGTGTGTTAGTTTGCTTATTTTAAAGGAAATCCCCAAAATGCATGCGAAAAGGCGAACTTAAGTATACCTATAAGTTTTGCAACTCAGACTTACAACTTTTAATAAGTATGAACATGTGATAAGTTTCTAATTAGTTAAGTGCACCTCACTATTTCAGATACAAAAGGAAAGAGAACAGGAAGGTGAAGAATTTGCAGATAAGGAAGTATTTGTAACATCAGCATACAAAAAGAAGTTAGAGGAATTACGTTTAGAAGAGGAAAAGGAAAAATATGAAGAATATTTAGAAAAAATAGGAGATGTAACGAAGCAACGGGACTTAGGTAGTCATAAATTCATTATAGTTAAAATAGTTTTGATTCGATATTAACTTATAGCATTAATTCCTTTGTAAAACTTGTATAAAATCATTTCAACTTTCAGGAGGATTTTATCGTCATCTCTATGAACAAAAATTGGGGTCTGATAAGCTAGTAAATGAAAACGTAAATGACAGTCAAAAAGAAAATGAAACTTGTGGCACTGAAGTGAAGCAGATAGAAGTGAGCACAGATGGCAAGACAAATTCTAGGAAACGGAATTATAGAAAACGGCAATCATCCTGCGATATGAATGTCTCAGGAGAAATCAAAAATTCCGATGATGAAATAAATACTGTTACATACAGTAAAAAGAGGACTAAGCAAACTGAGGAAAATATTGATGCAGATTCAGACTTTTCAATTGATGATTCTAGTGATGATGAACAAAAACCGAACACGGTAGACCCTGAAACAACACCTGAATTCAAAAAACCGGAATTAATTTCAAAGAATGAGGATCCAGTAGTGGAAGTGCCTAAAACTATTATTAAAGAGGTGAAACCTAAAGTCGACATATGGAAAAAGAGAACCGTAGGTGAAGTATTGGAAAATGCATTAAAACGGTTCTATGAAAGAAAAGCAGCAAGAGGTTCATGATAGAATAAAAATGTTAAATAGTTGGTTTATTACACTTTAATGATTATTATGAGCTATGCAACATGAAAATATATAATTACCGTAATGAAATATATTTCTGTATTTTACTTTTGCCTCTTATCTACTTTTGTTGTATGCTTTTCTGCAGCTAATAATGCGCCTTACAGTGGACTGAAAGAAAAAAAAAATATTTTGATATTATGTAGCATAAAATAGTTGTACCTAATTAATATGACATATACGGACCGATGAACTCCGAAACTGGGTCATTTTCACCTTCAGCCCTCATGGTACCTGTGATTTCTTCATTTTCAACCATAGGCAAAACTAATTGGACAAATTCAGGTGTAAATGGTGGTGCAATAGCATCCAACACCTGCAACGACAAAGTCATGCTATGCTATTTGGATTGGAATTAAAACCAATAGAAATTACTTAAGACAAAAATTAGGAAAACGTATGAATAATAAAATTTTCCATAATCATATTTTTTCAGGACAAACCTCGGTTAAAAAGTATCTTATTAACGAAAGGTCGACGTCCCCGCGACTAGTACAGTTCTTAATGTAAAGCAATACTGGGACTACACAGCCTCTGCTTAATAAGTTCACCATTCGATCGAGAAGCATTTTTCGCAATTCCAACTGAAATAATAAATTAATAAGATGATCTATATATTGATTTTAATAAAGTATAATTACGTAACAGTAACAAAAAAGTTAATTTACTTGTACTAAAATTTCCAAATCTTCCTGCTTTGACTCAAACAGCCTTATCAACAATTTTAAAAGCCTGTGATGCAATAAAGGATGACACGAAGCGACCTCATCGAGCAACGCTAAATGTACGGGACAATGTTCTGTGCAAAGTTTGAAGTAAGACGGTTCGGTGACTACACATTCAACCCATACTAGCACCCCCATGCCGACGACTGGGAATCTGAAACAGTCAATCGTTACCAATAAACTCATTATCACTCATTTATCATGTCACTAAAACTCTATTTATGTTTAGAATTGAGCTGAAAAATCAGTAAAAAGACACACCTTATACAGTGATAGAGCGAAGGCAGTTCTGCAAGTAGCTCGCTTGAGCTGACAGAACTACTACACACTGCATGTATCTTTTCAATTGCTTGTAAAGTTGCTTTTAATTCATCTTTTATTGGTTTACCAGGTGTGATTCCTTCACAAACGCTCGCAGAATAGGCAAGTAGATATGTATATTTGGATTTATGCTCTGGATTTAGTTTGCTACCCAATTTAAATAATGAATCCACAAGCAATTCTGTAAAATCAATAAAAATTGACGATTATATACCATTTTTCAGGCACATGCAGTCAAAGATGGTAGTATTTTCAGGTTTCTGAATTACTTTCATATTCAAAATACAGAACCACTATACCTAAAAACTGTGGAATCCTTAGCAAATGTACGGGTGGTGGCTCTGGCTGATTATATGCTCTATAGAGGACTGATATATCAGCTGGGTTAAGAGCTCCACGGGACAACATTGCAGCAAGGGCTGTGCGAGCGCCGCGCCATGACTCTCCTGGCGTCAGTGCCAATGTAATTGGTGTGACATCATGACCACTGTATTTATTTTTAGTGTAAATGAGTTTACATATTAGTACAATACATTTACACCCATCTTGAAAGGAAATCATGAGACTATTGTTTGTGGAATAAACTTGTAAATTATAACTAAAGGGTCTCTGTGCTGTGCCAGGACACAAAGGCATTGGTATGTATGTCATATAAATTTTGACAAGTATGAAATAATCCTTCCTATGCTATGGAACAATTAAAGTTAAGCATTTGGCATTTATAATTTCAACAACTATCAGAAAGAACTACAGTTTTGGTAGTAAAATTTTGAATTACCTTTGTTGGGCACATTTTGTAATCTCCTGACTTAGTCTTTTCATAATTGAGCCTCCTCTAGGTTCTTGTGATAGAATGTGAACAATAACTTGACTGTATACATATGTATGTGCACCATGGCAGACCATTTTCTGTAAAACGTAATTGAAATGATATATGCAATGAATGAGTAAGCAGAATATATAATTGGAGTAAAACTTACGGCACATTCGTTGACATTATTTTGCCAATCGTCTGAACTTTGTAAAAATCCTACAATAGCTGACTTTAGAACTCTTGAAAATACTTCAATTTGTTGGGCTGCTGTTGAAATGCTGGTAATTTCTCCTTGAAACCCAGCATCAGAGATGAGCTTAAAAAATATTACAAAAAAAAAATTTCAGGATGTTTCTAATTATTTATCATTTTAAATAAAATAACATTATATTTTACCTTTATTGTAAAATTCAACATGAGACAATCTGGGTAATCTTCTGCTAATCTATAAATTAAAGATCTCCATGTAGGATGTTCTATCATTTCTGTAAGCCAGGCTGGAGTCTAAAACATTTAGTTGTTTACTTGTCAGAAGCATTGGAAAGAATCTGTGATGATAACACCAAGAATCATAAACTAAATTCTATTTAAATAGATTTACAATAATATAACTACTTACTTCTCCTTCCTCAGTAAAGATTGTATCAGCTTTCTTTGGATCAAACGTCTTTATTATCATTTCCTTTAAATGATTTTCAACCATTGCTTGGACTTCAGTAACTTTAACTTCTAAAATTTATTATATTACTTTAAAATTATGGACTTTGTTAAGTTGATAATGGAGAACTTACATTTATGAACTTTTCATTATATATTCCTGGGCACTGGACAAATAACTTTTGTATCCCTTATGCTAATTGGATTTATACCAAGAAAAGCACAAATTTCTAGGCACCAAGATCAAACTTTAGTAGTCAACTTATATACATTGTCACATTTCCCACTAATTTGAACCCAGAACTCTGTAAACTCATATGCAATGCAAAGGCAACATGTTCTAAAACTGAGCAGTTCTTTCTGTGAGTCCAATAATGTAATACCTACCAGCGAGAATCAGCCACTCAGCTAACAAATTAGCCATTTGAGCTACAGCACTATAATTATTGGATAGCTGTTCTATAACTTGTTCAGGATTTCCTCCGGCTTGAAAGTATCGTTTTAATTGCCCAAATATGCCTGGTTCCATAATGTAGTCGGGTGTTTTAAATTTTTCAAGACACTCTTGGAGAACTTCTTCTGGATTATCGATAACGTCCTCACCATTTTCGTCCTACGATCAACAAAACTCATTAGGTATATTATTTAGTACCAAAGTGCAGCATGATAAATATTCTTCTTGTATTTAATTTGAAGTAAATAGATTAAATTCATAGTAAATTACGAAACTGTACACTTACATCATATTGAGCGCTAGGTGCTTCCCATGATCTCTCTTCTTCATATTGTGAAGGCATATTAACTAAGGTTAATATTTTAGATTGCAATAAAAGTTATAACTATGGCCTAAAGTAAAAAAGCAATCTTATGGAATTTTATATAGTAAACAAACTAAAAGGCCATATATTCCTAATTCTATATTATCATTTTGATGTTTGGTTTAATTTGTAGATTATATATGTAGACTACAGTCACAGATTCACTGACACAGATGACAGAACGTTCGGAGTCCTTATGATCTTTTTTAATTGCCAGAAAATTTATGCTTAAAACTGTACATGTAGTCCTTACAGTGATTACTCCCAACGTTTTATTGTAAAAAACAACAAACTGACAAAGATTGCATAAAGTGCCTAAATTAAATGAGCAAAAATGCACTACCATTTTAGTACTGATGTATTCAGATAATCTGTGACTGTACAGATAAAGCTTATATGCATATTTTATAGATTATTATTATAATTCTGTGGTTTATAAAAACTTTTCAATATATATCCTATATTATATATAAATATTATTAAAAACATGGTCTAAACTCTAAACCTTTAAACCATTATCCTACTTTATGCGATTATTTAACAATAACAATGGAATGGAATGAATTTCCTAAGTCAGTTGTACATTTTTACGTACAGTTATATTCTAAAAAAAAACTGAAAGCTAATGATATAAAGATAATAAATAAGGTACGGTATGCGATAAGTCTGCATTGTTTAAAAAATAAAACGATTTTTTAAATAACAACATATATAACCTATTTGATTATAAACTAAAATAAGGTCATACATACGCTTTTTATTTAGAAAGATCTTATAGCTGAAGCCACTAAATCGTGGACAAATTTAAACGAGCGACGGAAACAAATCATTAAAACTAAGTATAACTGCCATCGTCTAAAATTACGAAAACAATATGCCAATAAACTCGCAGGTCCCTTATCAAAGGGCAGGTCACCAAAAGAAGCAGATATCAAGTAAATACTATGATGCTATGTATATATTAAATTTAATTCATAACGATTTAATAATTTGAATATCTTAAAATTTTACAGAACAACTTCTTACCTTGATGGAAATGGCTCCGATGTTTGTAAAGAAGCATCTCAAAATACCTCAAGACCAAATGATAGCATAGGGTAAGTTGATAACTATGTTTTATCTTTGAACATTTAGAAAATCAGCTTAATATACATTATTACATTTGCAGGAACAACCTGTTGGCTAGAAATGATGTTCTTGATGTATCTCTACAACAAAGTAATGAATTTAGAGTAATAAGTCCTACTAATGGAAGTATGAAAGTAGACACCGAGGACTGGTAAAAAGTGTTCTTTTAAAGTATAATAAACATTTACTGTTGCAATAGATTTAGAATACTATTCTTATGCATAGTTATAATCTCATCTTCAATATTCACCAGACCAGTTTCAGTTTTTACCATATATTTTCAGCATATTGGATCCTCCAGTAAATACATTGCAGCTCCAAATTAAATATCCTGCACTTTTACTAGAACCAACTCCACCAAAATTTCGGTAATTTTTTACTACTATAAAAAAATGTTAATTTACAAATCTCAGGGTCTACTGTTCGAATTGAAAAAAATATTTTTGTGTTGGTTAGACCTTTTATTGAGGAAGGCTTTAGGTCATAAAAGATCACCCTGTGACAAATAGATGGGAATGGGAAGAATTATTAATCTTTGTAGGCTTTCATTGCATGCTCTGTAAAAACGGTCAGATATCTAGAATATGTGTGAACGAATTATTCCTCTATAAAAGACGGGAAGCAAACGCCGTCGTGGATAACAGCTGTAATTAATTTTCATGCCCAAAATACACTAGTAGATAGCACAGCTAGTTTAAAAAATGATTTTTTTTTGCAGGTCTAATAAAGATTTTTACTATTTAATAAATGCAGAAAGTAAAGATGTTCCTAAATGGGAAGATATTACAAGAGGTGAAAAGGGTCATTACGAAAGAGCAGCTACACATATAAGAAGAAATTACCTCACATCTTACACAAATTTTCTAGAAAGTTTAACACTAACTGAACTTTCTGCTTACTACACAAATGTCACTAATAATAACTAACTAAAGGAAACATTTAATAGTGTATTATGAGACTTGTAATTTTTTTAAATTACTGCGCAAACTCATGTTCAAACATTATATTTTTGTTTTGTCTCATCATATATGATTATTTAAAAATTAGATTGGATGGTAATAAAAGATGTCTACTTTAAAACATTTTATTTTAAATGGTTCCTAAAATCTATAGAATAGCTGCAAGGAATAATACTTTGACATAATATGATGAGAAAACCTAGGTTAAAACATAACTGAGAATGTCCTTAGCAGCCGATCTCCTAATTAAATAAACATTATAATAAAGAATAATTACAATTTATATATTTATTGGCCACAAAGCAGACCTAATGCCATACCAGCAGCAAAGGAAGCTAAAAATACATGAGTCTCAGTGGCATTATATTGTTCCTCACCTACAAAGTTACTGTACCAATGCTTAGCCTTTTTCTCTTTTTTCTTTAACAGTTCTTCTGCTTTATCAAGTTTACGGTCCACAAAACGTTCCATCTGAAAAAAACAGTAATATATACTGTGTTAATATTTACGAATCCATTAAATCTGCTTGGGTTGTTGTTACTTTGGAATTTGACTTTGTAAAAGTATTTGTATCGATAGGGTCTCGTGTATATAACTACAGAAGTAGAATTTATCAAAATAATTATAAAAATTATGAGATATATATATTGAGAATGGTTTTTTTATACTTGACTGCATCATTAATAATTTATAATAGTATTATTAACAATATTGTAACTCACTTAACATAAAAATGTATCATGAAGATGCAATTCCAAAAAAGAAACCTCCTGCGAAGCCTGCAGAATAATATGAATTATCTTTGACAAATAAAAACACCTGTAACAAAAATGATGAGCATGTATAATCCAATTAAGGTGTTGAGGCAGTCAAGTACAAAACAAACTAGGTAGTTGTAACCAAGCCCCATTAATCTTACTTTTTCGAACCAATCGGGCGATTTTCCAGTAGTTTCTTTTTCGATTTTGTCAGTAATTTTATCTACTTTCTTGTTTATTTTGTCCCAGTTAATGTCAATGTAGCCTTTTTGACTAGCAATGTGTAGCAAAATAACACCACCTCCCAAGCCAACCGCTGCAATTTTTCCAATTTTCATGGACATAAAACCAGTTATCCTGGAAATCAATAAGTATATATGTAAGAAAAATTCAAAAATTGTATGGCTAATGCGCATTGTACTCTTACCATCCTGACGCAGTTCCTAAAATAAGTTGCTTTGTCGCAGATGTTTTTCCAATATCGGCTATCGCCTTCTCAATGAAGTTCTTTGCATCGTCCACAATTTTTTTAGCTTCCTCAGAAGCATCATCGTTCTTCGGTTTAGCCATAATTTTAATAATTTAGGACAAAGACAGCTTTAATAAAACGTCTACCAGAGAAATATTTATTTTATTAGTCACTTTTTTTTTTTTTTTGGGGCAAGAGATAACTATTTATTTTATTAGTCACTTATTAGTATTGATATTTCACACAGACCACAGATTACTATTGGAGCCGTTAGTAAAAATACAACACAGATAAACAGCGAAAGTATACCTAGTAAGGTTATGCTAAAGTCTACCACAGTCCACAGATTCTATATTCTAGACATTTTTGTGGCGAAATCGAATTTGAATCTCAAAAACAGGCTAGGCTTAATAGACCTATTAATTATTATACATTATATCACCATTATTATTTAAATTAAAATGGTTGCACACTGATATGAAGATAGTCCTTTCTACTACTAAGTAAACTAAAATAAAGTAGTTTTCGTTGTTTCAATGTTAGGTGATTTTTATAATTGTATGAGCAAATCATATCTATCTGTACCATTTATTAAAGGTTAATCTCGCATCAAACCCCTTTGTTAATTAATAAGATTAAAAAATAGTTCAGCTAAAATTTAGATAACATAACAGTTACATCCATTTAATCACATTCATTATAGCTTTTCCCTTTAAACAGCAGATCCAGCTTGCTCCATTTTATCACTTTTTGTTGCATTTTGTATCGTAAAAATATGAAGAATTGCACGACAATCTGGATATAATTCGTATTTTATCCTTTTAATATCCCTTCTTAATCTTTTATTTACTGGTTCCTCCTTCATAACCATTTCTAAAGCCTTCTCTTTTGTTATGTAAGGTAACTCTGTGGCCAGAATTTTCAGATCACAAATAGGTGCACCATCAACCTGTAATAATGATTACTATAGTTTCATTATTTATTTTCAATATAATGCCATATATATATAATGAATAATCTAAAATACTAGACTTTGGGGTTTAGTCTTAGGAGTAAGGAGCATCAAAAATGTTTCAATTTTTAGCAATATTGATTCAACATTTAACTCTAGATCTTACTTTGCACCGTAACGATAATTTAAAGTGGTCGTCCACAATTGGCCATCTCTGACATGTTATATCTTTGTCCCAAGCAATTAGTCCCGAGTCATTCGATATACGATTAGGAGCAGAGGTTAATCCTGCCCAGAGTTCTGCACAGAAATGTGGTGTAATGGGTGACAGCATTATAATTAACGATGCTAATGCTAATTCAAACTCTTTGCTTTTCACTATAATTTCCGCTGGCACATTGTTCTGAAAAGGATTGCTTTCTTTAACCTTAATTCCTATATACATTCTTATAAACCATGTAGATATAAGGATTTGATGGTACACTTACTCTTAAGGTATTTGTTAAACTTTGTAGCTGTGAAATTCCCACACTTAATTTTTGTGTATATTTAAAATGGTATGTAGATGTTGCAGTAAAATAGTTTCTTGCATCACATATTTTACTCTCAAGTTTATTGAATGCTTCAGGTGATAAGCTCTTATTATTTATTAAGGCCGAGTTACGACGATTCGTCAAGAATTCCCTTAAAGTTATCCAAAGTCTATGTTGCCAATTCAAAACACCAGGTAGAGCTAAAAAATAAATTATTTTAAGAATATACATAAAGTTTTAGAAATAAATGAAATGCTAGAGTTCCTCACTTGCATCAGACCAATTTCTAGTAGTGGCTGGTGGTACATCTGCTAATATGAGAAGACGTGTTGTGTCACATCCATAGGTTGATAGTAATCTTAAAGGACTTTCACCATTATGTTTTGATTTACTCATTTTCTCCCACTGTACTCTAACAGCTTCACCTGAACTTTTCTCTCTATATACTTTGCCCGTCTTTTCTACATCTTCTTTAGGAATGTATTTACCAGAAGATTTAACTTTATATGATTGACCCATAACCATTCCTTGAACCAGAAGCCTTTTGAATGGTTCCTTCGTTGGAGTCCATCCAAGTGAATGTAGAAAGTAACTCATAAAACGTGCATAGTATAAATGTAGAACAGCATGTTCTTTGCCTCCAATATAACAATCAACTGGGGTTTTACCAATCAATGCACTTTTTTCAAACGGCACATTTCTATTTGAAGGGTCCAAAAATCTATAATAATACCATGAAGAATCTACAAATGTGTCCATTGTATCAGTTTCACGCAATCCTTTTCCTTTACATATTGGGCATTCACAATTCAACCAGTCCTCAAATTTAGAAAGTGTAAAAATATTCTTTTCTTGAAATGAATGTTGAGGTAATTCTACTGGAAGATCTGTATATGGCACAGGAACTGTTCCACATTTTTCACAATGAATAATAGGTATTGGTGTTCCCCAATATCTCTGCCTTGATATTAACCAGTCTCTTAACTTTGAACTAACAAAATAACCACCACAATTTTTCTCTTGTGCTTTTTGAATAGCTCTTTTATTTTCTTTATTAATATCAATTGTTTTGTACTGATTGCAAGGTATATTTAATAGTTCTGATATTTTTCTATCTTTAGGGTCCATTGTAGGACAGGCTAAATATATCTCTCTTCCCTCTGGATAAGATATATTATCATAAATATATACGTTCATTTCACCATTTGTCAGGGGGTTGTAACATTTTAAATTAATCTGTTCTTCTTCTGTAAGATCTTTTAAAATGACATTATTACTGTTTATAACTACATATTCTGCATGTAAAAATTTGTAAGGGTCTGCTGTCCAAATGTCTAAAGGTCTCAATACTGAATTCAATTTAATTTGGAATGTAACCACAGAGCCATCACAGTCACCAATCCAATGTTTTTGTAAATTTATGATATCTCTCCAATTTTCTAAATATTCTTCATCCAGACCATCATAAAGATCTTTAGCAAACTGTGTTGTTTTAATAAACCATTGTGTAAGTACCTTCTTTTGTACTTTAGCTCCTGACCTCCAGGAACAGCCATTATCATCAACTTGTTCATCTGCTAAAACTGTCTTGTCAATTGGATCCCAGTTAACAATAGCCTAAAAGGAAAAAAAATAAATTAAGAAATAAATTTACATGATTTACTAATAACTAAAATAGCCAGAATTCCTTACCTCGTTTTGATATGCTAAACCTCTTTCAAATAATTTTAAGAATATATACTGAGTCCATTTATAATAGCTTGGATCACATGTGGATAACTCTCTATCCAAGTCAAAATTATATCCTAGTTCAATGAGTTGCTTTTTCATTGAATCAATGTTACTCTTTGTCCAAATGTGAGGTTTGACATTTCTTTCCAAAGCAGCATTTTCAGCAGGTAAACCAAATGCATCCCAACCAATGGGATGTATTACATTAAAACCATTTAGCTTATGAAACCTGGCAATAGTATCAGAAATGGAGTAAACCCTTACATGTCCCATGTGTAAATTACCTGAGGGGTATGGAAACATAGGGAGAATATAAACATTTTTATCTCCTTTATTTTCATTTTGTTGAACAGTAGAATTCCAATGCTTTTCTATTTCTAATTTTATTTCTGTTGATATATTGCTGTCCTAGAACGACGAAATTATGTCAGTTATTATTTTTAGTTTTAATTCAATGTTCAACCTTAGAATTAAATATAAACTAACCCATAATTCTAGACTACTTTTATTTCTAAGTAGGAAGATATTATACGGCGATATATTACAAACACGAACATACTGCCTTAACATAATGACTATTATCAAGAGATAAAGAGGATTGTAATTCTAATACAAAATCGCAAAAATTATATTATTGATTGTATTAGAAATTTTTTGAACATTATATGTACAGTGTACACGAGTACTTATAATTTAACTAATTTCTGTAGTCAAGTATAATTGAGTCAGTAACTATTGACAGATGTATATGCATATGACAAATGGTAGCATTGAGTCGATTAACACAGATTGCTAAGTGCTTAGATCTGTGTGCTGAATATGTTTTAATCTGTATTATCAAAATTACAAATCTGTCATTCATCAATTTGTTGTATTTTGTTATTACATCTTACTCTGTGTTTATGTACATGTTATTATTTTTATTATAATGCTATATGTACGCACGTTATAAATATTAATTAATATTTACTACTTATCGACCCCTACAAGCTAGCTCGTAGTGTACGCACTACGAAATATATATGTTCAATAATATTCCTGTGAAAGCGTAAATAAACTCAGGTTTCACTCATTTGGTCATGAAGTTTAAATATAGGTACCATAATCCTAAAGGGAAAACGAAATTTCCTACACTGTAAATGTAATATTGCAAAAATGATCTTGCAAGTATCTACATAATGAATGTGTACCTAGAATTGCATTGTTAATAACGTTGGTATGTTAAATCTTTGAATGCTTACAGAGAAAGTTACAATGCAAGCAAAGAAACGTTATATTCTACTAACGCTGTTGTGTGTAGTTTTATTGTATTTCTATTTTGCTCGACATGGAATGAAATCGAAACGTTTGGATACCAATTATCGCAATAACTTGCCATCTTTTGCCACCATAGAAGAATTATCCGAATCCCCATCTCGTCTAAAACGAAATCCTAATTCAAAAAGCAAGGCCTGTCGTATGGAAACGTGTTTCAATTTTGAAAATTGTGGAAACGATCCAAAAGTCTATGTGTATCCAACAGATGGGCCAGTCAGTGCCACTTACAGAAAAGTTTTGTCAGTTATACGGGAGTCCAGATATGCGACACGAGATCCATTGGAGGCATGCTTATTTGTTCCAGCTGTTGATACTTTAGATGCAGATCCCTTATCGTCAGAGCATATAGCAGATGTAGCGTCTCGACTGTCTCGCTTACCACATTGGAAAAATGGACGCAATCATTTGATATTCAACTTGTATGCAGGGACATGGCCAGATTATTCTGAGGGATCCTTAGGATTTGATCCTGGTGAAGCTATTTTAGCTCGAGCAAGTGTCTCAGAAGCGTTATTTAGAGAAGGGTTTGATATCTCACTTCCATTATTTCATAAAGAACATCCTGAGCGAGGTGGCACACCTCCTTCCGCAACTGCTAATCCCTTTCCTGCCTCTCGGCATCACTTACTAGCGTTTAAGGGGAAACGCTATGTTCATGGAATAGGCAGTGAGACACGAAATTCCCTCTGGCATCTCCATGACGGTAGTAACTTAGTTTTAGTTACTACTTGTCGACATGGAAAGTCATGGAAAGACCTTAGAGATGAACGGTGTGATGAAGATAATAAAGAATATGATAAGTATGTAAATAACTGTTTTGTTGTTATTTTGGGGTACTTGTGGCATTAGTTTTCTAATCATCAATATTTTTTATGTGTAATATGTATATGTTTTAGATTTGACTATGAACAACTATTGGCAAATTCAACGTTTTGTCTAGTCGCTAGAGGAAGGCGTCTCGGTTCATATCGTTTCCTTGAAGCTTTAGCATCCGGCTGTGTGCCTGTCCTTCTTAGTAATGGATGGAGGCTTCCCTTCGACGAACGTATTGATTGGCGTCGTGCAGTTATATGGGCTGATGAACGACTTCTGTTGCAAGTGAGTGATATACTGATGATATTTTGATCCCTTATTTTCATTCGTTTGACAATATTTGTAATGCAGGTGCCCGAGCTGGTACGCTCCGTACCCCCTGAGCGTGTGCTCGCTCTAAGACAACAGACACAACTTCTATGGGAACAATATTTTTCTTCGATTGAAAAAATTGTTTTTACTACAATTGAGGTGAGTTTAATATTTTAACTTTTTCATATTACTTTTCTATTGATGCCAGATTATGTTGTATATAGAACGCTGCAAAAAAAAAATCACATTTTTTTAGATAATACTGGAAAGAATAACGATGCACAGAACGTCGCGGCACCGCGAAGCGTTAATATGGAACACGGCCCCTGGTGCTTTGGGAACATTAGCGAATTATGGTGACTCTCGCGCACACCTGCCCTTGGGTGTATGTGCGCCAGATCCTCCCGTGGCTCCTTCCTCACCCCCTATTCTTTTGCCAGCTCCATCTGTGCCTCTCATCGCACCGCCGGTCACCCCGGGTAATACGTTTACAGCTCTGCTTTACGTACAAGCTACATCACCCGCACTACATAAACTACTAGCCAACATTGCCAGCAGCGAATTCTGTGAAAAGGTACTTTTTCAACTCTGCTATTGTTACTTTAATAGCAATTTCCACTACTTGTGTGACTTTTCAAATAAAATCAAAATGCTAGGTGGTTCTGGTCTGGGACAGCGAGCGTGCCGCACCGTCTTTGAAATCGCTGTCACGGATGGCTGGTGATCTCCGTGATCCATTGCCTGTTACAGTTGTTGATGCTACAACTCACTATCCAGGGTAAGTCTTTCATTATCCTCCTCCGCCTTGAAATAAGTTTATTATAATATATCATGCAGGAACTTAACTTATGACTGTTTTCTACAGTCCTTTTAATAATCTTTAATTTTTTTTCTAATTTGGCAGACGCCGTTCGGCTGCAGTAGACAAAAAGTCGATTCATAATATAAGGTTATACTTATGCATTGCGTATGGCTAGGTATGTCTAGTCAAATGATTTTGCAATGCCTAATAGGAAGTACTAAGCTTAAAGAGTGAAAGTTACTTTTCCGATTCTAGCGGCAAGCCTCTTGTTTGGGTGGTAAAACTTCAATCAAGTAAACGATGTTTTAGATTAATCTAAGTAGGCGCAACTTAAAGGTATATCAAGGATTTACTGCGACATCTCAAACAGTAGTAAAAGTAAGTCTGCGTTTAATACTAGTATAAAAAATGGTTATTATAGTTTGGTTTTCTTAAACAGGGGGGGCGTATCAGCTCGGTGGCAGCCGTTGTGGGCAATTCCGACCGCCGCTGTATTTTCGCTGGACGGCGACGCGCCCCTTCTGGCGGAAGAGCTAGATTTCGCTTTTCGAGTGTGGCAGCAATTTCCCGAACGCATTGTCGGGTACCCCGCACGAAATCATTATTGGGACGAGTCCAAGGTTGTCACCTCTGACCACTGTTATCGATATAATCGCATCCGATCTTGACTTTGTTGAACGCGTTCTGTTGTGCGCAGGGAGCGTGGGGCTACAGTAGCAAATGGGGTGGCTCGTACTCGATGGTGTTGCCCGGTGCGGCGCTCGTCCATCGCGCTGCCTTGGCGCTGTACGCGGCCGCGGCGCCCGCTCTGCGTCTCGCGGTGCGTCGCGCCGACAACTGCGAAGATATTCTGCTGAACTGCCTCGTGGCGCATCTCACGCGACGTCCTCCTCTTAAATTGGCACAGCGCAGGCGATATAAAACTGCCCACCACAGATATAAGTATGTGAATGACTATTTCAAAGTGATAAGTTGAAGAGCAGTTTTTATGTTACTTTAGGCCCGCTTCAATACATCTTTCACTCTCTTATCCAATTATATTGGCATTAAAATTAATATTTTCAATCTGTTGTTTAAAAGACAGTTTTAGAACAGGATGGATAATTGTGAATTGTTGGTTTTAGATCGTCATGGAGTGATCCTGAACACTTCGTCCAGAGACAGTCGTGCTTAAACACATTCGCGGCCGCTTGGGGCTATATGCCACTGGTACGCTCTGTTTTGCGACTGGATCCCATACTATTTAAGGACCCAGTCTCTACGCTGCGAAAAAAATATAGGAAAATGGAATTAGTCACTTCATAGTTAGAAAATGATACTGCAAGCCATAATTCGGTTGATCTGTTACTCGTTGTTTTATTTAATAATTTTTAAATTATCAAATGTTTACACTTACACAGTTACACAATAATCAATCGGGTTTTCTAGTCGTAGTGTGCATTTTCTTTGCAATTAAATGAATGTCATTTTTAGTGTTTTTTTTTTTTTTCCTCCCTTCAGTAAAATTTAACGTAAAATAACAAAAAAGAATTTCATCCATTTTGACGGAATCGTTGGTAATAATTAAGAAATAGGTCGAGGATCCTGTCCCACTAGTAGTACAAAGGTGGTGGAATATTGAAATTTCGTCCACACACATATGAAAAAGCCGTCAAATTTAAATACGTCTCGATGTCAGTCTGTGGATTTCTGAATATCCAAAGCCAAAATAAGTCGACAGTGCAAAAGTTTCTTGTTGAAATGTAATATGGCTGGGCTGTTTTACATTCGATCAAGTGAACTTCATACTCGCCTCTTATTACTTTTAGGAATGATTAATTGTTATCGCTGTAAATACCTTTCTATTGTAATACGCTAACGAGCTTGTCATTATATTGTTAATTAGGAAATTAAGTGAAAGAACCGGATAATCTTTTAGGGTAGGCGAGGGGTCATCTAAGTGCATTGAATTGGTAAACGTTGCACAAGTAGAACGCGGCTGACATAACACTTCGCAACACGAGTGGCCTTGGCCCGAATGCTGTGTTGTGTACCGGCGGGAAAATAACTAGTGATCGTCGACCACTAGCGTAGCGCAGGGCAGAACCGCCTCTCGTACGACTGGACACGGTTCCTTACGTTCGAGTGTGTGAAAAATATTTATTTCGGCGAGTTTTAAGAACTGTGACATTTGTTGAATGAATTAATTATTGAAATTTATTTCCTCCGACAGAAATGGTAAGAATATTTGAAAGAAACGATTCCCGCCGTTGCTTAAAAATTAAAGTGTTTTATATTAATTTGTTATTCGTAGGTTATACCTACATAGTGCGATTCTGTTCTAATTAAAATACAGAGTTTACTCATTCTTGGCGAAATGCTCAATATCTGAGTGAGGACGTAAAAACGTTGTTAACAAACTATCTGCAATCTCTAGTGAATGGTAAGTTAAGACCTTCAATATGTGTATAATATGTGGCCTTTTGAGAAAAGTAATAACTTGAAGTATCGCTTAATCGATTCGAAAAAATTAAATAATAATTTTGTGTGAAAGAAACTTTAAATTATTCAAACAAACTATAGATAGGTTAAAATGCAAGTTTATGGAAATGAATAAGTTTTATTTACTTGCGTAATAATGAAGAACATACCTAGTTACGTATGTTTAATGTATTAATACGTTATAATAAGTTTAACTTCTAGAGAAAGCTTAACAACAAATAGTAATCATTTTGTTCTCTTTGTGTACGGCGAGAAGCGATCCAGAATATTGAAAATGCAGTTACGAGGTATTGATTACATCTTAGGAAGGCTGCTGGTAGTGGCTATTATTGCAACTCTGGTCAACGCGCAGCCGGTTTGTACACTTGTGATATAAGCGCTGAACTTATCCCACCTTTACCACTGACTGTTTCCTTATACACTCACTTCTTAATCAGACCAAACCTTTTCAAGTCTAATGGAGAGATCTGTGCACATTTATTTCGAGGAGTAATTAAAATAAATAAAACTATAGTCCATATAACATTTAAATTAAATTTGACAACGAGAAATTCACATTCAGTGCAGTTTTTTGTCACAAAAATCGTTTCAGCAAAATTACTTCCTACTACGAGGAACAACTAGTTCTGCTCTCCTATATTAAGACCTCATACACCTTTAAAAAAACTCTCATGAATCTCATTTAAATAAAACACACGCAGCAGCCAAAACGTCGGGTCGAAGTTAAAAAATAAATTTTCAAATAAGTTTAAGTAATATTTCGCATTATGAACCGTTAAAGTGTTTTATTTAAATGTGTACTACTCGCGTAAACTATAGACAGTATCTCATGAACCTCGTTTTTTGCATCGATACTTAGATTTAAGCTTAAAATTGTTTTTCTTTTTCAATGTTTCTTGCCTTAACTAGCCCACGGCAGATGCGTCAATTGGAAAAGATCGTTCACTGAGGCAGTCGTCAATAAAAGCAGGAAGAAGTGTAGCAGTTAAACCAAAATGGGGTTTCTTTGGAACCATATTTAATGTGATTTTGGAGGTCAGTACCTACACGGAATCCTACAGCCACTGCGATTACACATTTTTTTATTAACTATTACCACTAAATTGAATTATTATAAATGTTCGTTTTTGTTGCAGCAAATCAATGACACAAAAAGTGCTTATAATCAAATATCTGAATTGGTTAATAATCAATTTGCTGATGATAAGGTAATGTATTGCGTCGGAAAGACATTTTGCAACACATTGAACGGTACTTTTTAAAACAATATAAATAATTTTACATCCTACTGGAATTTGATGCTAGGCATTTTCACTGATCAAAGTGATGTATTTTGTTTTTTGTACACAGAATACTCGAGGTTCTTATTCAGTTAATTATTTAATCAAGGTAAAATTTGTCCTTACATATTTCCTGGTAAGAATTAATGTGGAGATTTTATTTCATTTCCTCTTGAAAAACATTATTAAATCTTTCTATGATATGTTATATTGGCGTAAAAAAAATGTAGTTTAAGACCTTACTTTTGCTAACAGACAAGTTGTTAATTTCGCATTTTATTTTATATACTTATGTATGTTAATATTATTAATCAATTATGAGGGCAGATTTTGGAATAAATTTACAGGTGGTTACTACAACCCCGAGCAGTGGCAATGGAACTACTCCATCACCTAAGATTACAAGACAAGAATTTTTAAATATACTTGACAGGAATCTAAAGGGTTTGGCGCGACTTCGTAATTTGGAATGGAGAGAAGCAAAGAAGGTAAACTACCTACATTACCTATCTACATTTCGTATTATAATGTTTTAACCGACTGATGATTATTTTTTTATCGACTTATTACGATTACTAAAATTTGCAATGCAAAATCGAATTTGCAATGCACTTCTTGCCTGTTAGACATATATTCAATACATAGTGTATAATGTTTTTAACAGGCAACTTTTATTATTAAGTCAATAAATATTTTACAATTTTTCAAATTATTTTAAGGATTCGTGGAACAACTTACAAGGATATTGGAATGAATTATTCGGCAGCCAAAAACGCAATAGAAGAACAGCGAGTGATTTTACGTGATTTAATTTAACGACACTTAATAACATAAACATACCGTAAGATTTAAGTCGTAGTTTAAGGGAGAAGTAGCGGTTCTTATTATAACTGTGATGAAATAAATAACTGTTTTGTTCTAATATTATTACTTACTATTAAATTTACAAATATTGTGTTCGTCTGTACTTTAATATATAAAATGATTCTATAAATGAAATCAGATAATGTATACAAAATATTTTGTATCAAAATGAGCCATGTCTTTTAAAACTCAATTTAGTATTAAAAACAATTTTTGGAACTATACTAATTTATCAAGGTGCAATCTATAGCTTTAGTTTCTATTTGGTGTAGGTGTGACTAGGAGCCATTAAATAAACTTATTTATTCAATGATCTCTGAGTTATTTGAGAAATTAAATGCTCGATGCTCCATGCAGTTTCATAAAAAAAGATAGCTTTTGTATATTAAATTTATAAGATCTTGTTGCCACATTAATGCATCGAACCCAATTAATCCGTTAGTAGTCAGCCAGTAACCCTTAAGATGAGTCTAAAAGCTTTAAAAAATAAAGATCGGTTTAGTTTATTACTTAAAGACAATGATGTTGGTCTAGTATATTATCATCTATAATACCTTTTTCTTATTCATACCACATCTGTGGTATATTTGCTGTTGCTTACAGTAATCCATATTGCATCTGTGGTTTAATCGTTCATATTCTCTTTCTTCGGTGCCGTATTTTAATTGAATCCTCATTCTTTCTATCATTATATAGACTTTACTTTTAGTGATATTAAATTTTTTTGGGTCATCAAGTTTTAGTAAAAGTAAGGTAAGTAATAATTAGGTTTAAAGTTCTTGACAATCAAAAGACAAGTAAAATTATTTTCAACAAGACGCCATTTTATCGCGTTGCCGGGTCCTGTGGCCATTGCTCTTTCATCCCGTTAGTGAAGTGGTCGTTCTATAATTTCCCTGTAATTTGTATAGATGTCTTCTCGGGGTCGTGGGTATGGTGGTAGAGGTTATGTGGGCCGCGGTGGAGGCTACAGAGGTTCATATCGCGGTAATAGTCACCGAGGCAGCTATGATAACCGAGGAGGTCGAGGTGGCTATTCTTCATACGGCAGTGAATCGCGGTACAATTCTGGAAGCAGCAATAGGTACTCATCCAGCCGCGACCGAATGGATGACTCTTATAAAAAATCATATAGAGTAAGTGTAGATAATATGTTTTCCTTTACTTAGTAAAATATGTTCTTGTATTTCACAATGATAGTTATTATTTGAGAATGAGAAATTCTTAAATATTTTCTTCTCTTTATGCAACTATAATATATAATATTATACTAGATCTTATTATTATTATTACTAAAATGTAGGTAGGATAATAATGTACCTTAATTTTTTTATATGTATATTGGCTTATTTGTAAAGATAATTACTTCTATGGAAGCTTCTACATTCATAGTGATAACATGTGTTTTTCACAATTGCAGGAATCTGCAACTTATTCAAATCGAGAGTTTGTTAGCCGTTCTGGATCGCCTGAGCGCAAAAGAATGAGAATGGAGGTTAGTAAATAAATAACAAATAGAAAAAGAATTATTTAACATGTCTTCCAGTTATTGTTAAATCTCTTCAGGATATAGTACAGGTGTCTGTATTAAAAGTCACACAGACTTAAACATGTGAATAATAACTCACTCAAATGTTAATTGAAGAATAGTAATATAAATAAATATGACCATTGCATAACAAAATAATTTTGATAATAATTGACAGATGGACTCGGAAAAGATTCACAGAAATGGATATCTATAAACTGATGGACCATGCCTACTGTTACATATATAATAACATACTGCTTTCAAATATGAGAATTTTAAATTTGTTCAAATATTATGATATACTGTTGGCTTAATTACCATATTTGATATAGAGTACCAGTAAAAACGTTTAAGGCTAGAAAATAGATCATTAACTGTGAGCAACAATGAGAAGTTATGGTGAAGATTGGTGTGAGAATATTAATACCAAAATCCAAACCACTCAAATAGATGCTAATTTCTGTTGGCATTCATCTATATCTGAGGAACTATGTAAAAATTGAACAAACATAAGTCTACCATTTTGTGGTCACTTCTCTTGTAGGATACATAACCAGAATAAAATATTGAGCAACTATATATCTGAGACTAGAGGAAGCGATTGGTTCAAATAATGTATGTTTTTAAAAAAATAACCCAATATTTGACCAGAAGACAGGTCTTCACTTTAATCATTTTACGACTACAAGTGTGATATTCTTAAAGAAAGTTCAATATCCAAACAGAGTTATGTACAGGGCTCCTCGAGTGAAAGACGTAGCCATGACGGCGGACACTATGGCGGATCGTACGGCGGTAGACAAGAGAGTTACGGTGGCGAGAGAAGGTCATTCGGTGGGGAAGATAGAAGACGATCGCCGGCTCGCGAAAGCTTTCGCAAGTCTAGCGGCATGGGGCCGCCGCGCGAGCCGGTGCGTCCTACCCCCCGTCTGCGTGCCCCTCGTCGCTCTTTTCGAGGACGCTCGTTACGATCACGCGCCTCCTACCGCGGAGCCCCAAGATCACGCGCCTCTTTCTCCAATAGGCGCTATTCGGAGGGGTCACAAACTTATGCACGCGTGATGAGATCAATCAAAGGTCGAAGGTAATTTGACAATGATTAGTTACGCGATTTCACCTACAACTCTGTTATCAAATCGCATGGTCCATAGTGAGCCACGGTGACCTTAGTTAACGTTTAGTGATTCTGCCAGTTGTACCACGAGATACATACAAGACAAATAAAATAGCACTTTTAAAAAAGAGTATCTGAGGGCATATGGACAGGTTGCTGCCAGATTTCTTCATAATCTTTCTCTAAAGACCAAATTTGGATGAACTGTTATATAAACCAATATGATATGAATAATGCCAAAATGGAGGTCTGAAATCAATGCTCTATTGTCAAGTAAAATGTATTTCTTTAAATTGCTAAAAACCATGCATAATTTTAAAACTCTTGTAATTGGAGTATTCTTCTGGTAGCCCTGTAAAATCAAAAGAAGAGGCCTCATCGACGGAAGAAGACTGGGAAGCAGAGGAAAAGGAGGAAGTCATGGAAGACACAAAGGAGTCAAAAAGCAAGTCACCAAAGGTATGATTTCATATGGAACAATGTTTATAATGGCTGACGACATATGTTCATATTGTACAAGTTAAATACATTAAAGCCTGAAGAAGACCAGTCGGAGGGAGATGGAGAAATTGATGCTGGAGAAGAAACTGAGAAGGAAGAAGACGCGACATCTGATGCACCGGCCGCCAAACGCTACGTGCAACTGATATGCGTCCACTGTAAAGAGAAGTGTCCTAACTTTGGTGTAAGTAGTCATTCTATACACATTGCATGAAAGAAATTGAATAGCAAATTTTCAGTAATGAATAGATCTCAAGTTTCAAACTAATACAAGATTGAATTTTCAATTAGTCTTCAGAAATATATGCCTTATTGTCCACTGTGATGGCATTGAGGGTTTAATTAAATTTATAACATAATTTTGGTAAATTAAAAATACCATAATGGTTTACACTTACGATAGCTAACGTTGCAGTATAGTTATAATTGCTCTTAATTATTTTGAATATCCAATTTAAAACACAAACTTGAGGGTGAAAGTGTATCTTTGAAACGTAGCCAGTAAATCGAATTTCTTTTTATTTTCATAAAGTAGAATTCGTAATAATCGCATTCAATAAGTTGCATATGGAGTAAAGATTTAGATAGGTTTTTTTTTTCGGGCAGGTATATGCAAAACATTTATTGTCACTGAAACACCGAGCAGCGATGAGTGCGGTCGCGAGGCGCCACAAGGCGCAACTGCTAAGAATGCGAGTGGCTCAGCGAGGAGCCCAACGGGAGTTGGAGGCCTCCGTTGGGGCTGAGCTAGCACCGCGAACGACCTTCTGCCTCGTGTGCAGATTGAATCACCGTACTACACGACACGCCCACAATCTTACCGACACGCATCGTGCTATGAAGCGCTTCCTTACACCATTCTGCCGAATTTGCGGCATCACATTCCGCTCACCCATGATTTATGAGCATCACATTTCTTCGATTGAACATCTAAAGGTGATTTATTAACTAAACATATACGTTCTATAAAAGTAAACGTTTGATTTATTTTAAATTTTCATCTTTAGAGAAAGGCTCTTCAGAGGGCTCGGCCTGCTGCTAGTCCAAAAGCGGAGCAAAGCGGCGATGAAGCGATGGATGTGGATTTGGACAATTTCATGACATTAGATTCTGTGGGAGATGTTGACGGTGAGATATAGCTTCTTTTTTGCATATTTCGTAAGTTATTGGAATTTTAAAAACAAGCATTAATTTACAGAAGTAGAAGATGATGATTCTGGAGCAGAAAAGAAAGAAGAGGAGAAGCCCAAGAAGGCAAAAGTAGAAATTAATATTGGCAGTGAACACATAAAGAAAATTGAAGTAAGTTGTTTTTCTTCCATTTTAAATTTACAAACAGTTATTTAAATAAGCACTGGAACGCCATTGGTGCACTCTGCTGTGATACGATCTCTATCTTCTTATTGAATACCTTTTCACACATTATCCAATCAGGTCTGGTGGTGTAGTCTATGCCGTACGTACCTGCCTCGCGCCGAAGCGGGTAGCACTGAGGAGGCTGAGGCGATGCGTCGTCACTGCCGCCTCCGTATTCATCTGCGTCACTACGTGCAGCATCGAGATACGCGCACTCTTCGCAAGCAGGCTGAACGAATTCATCGCCAACTTCATCGCCACGCGGGTAAGGACAAAACTACTTTGACGAAAGCTGTCATACTTTTCCAGTTCTTGATGATAAGCCAAAAAATATTTTTTTAGAGGAAGAAAAAGAGAATGTGACAGAGGAAACTTCTGAACCAAAGGTTAAAGAAGAAAAAATAGAGGCGAACGCTGAGAAAAACTGTGAAAAGATGGAAAATGGTACTGACACAATGAATGCTTCAGGTATTTTATTATTCATTAATTTAACTTTTTTGTTAAATTTCCCATTATAGTGTGTAACTATGATGTATTCTATTACAGGTAATGAAGAGAAACTTTGGGCAGATGTAGATAAAGATATCGGAGAGTTGTTACGTGAAGTAGCTCCTAAAGGGAATGAAGCAAGTGATGATGAGGAGGATCTCGGAAGGTGCAGTTTTATTAATTTAACTTAGTGCAGTTAATTAGCCAATTTACATTAGTGACTTGCACAGGCTGTGACATACAAATTCATTTTGAGAATTTTTAAACAAATAATTAATTCTTTACAGGGCACTTATTATCCGTATAAACTATAACTAAAGGAATATAAATCTTGAAATGTGATTTTTTATTTCTTTCCAGATATGACAAATTTCGTAAAAGCGATAAGACTAAGCCCGGCGATGAAGAGAAGAAATCGAAAGTTGAAGTGGCGAATGAAGAAAAAGTAACTATTGAAGCAAATTCTTCTGCTTAATTTATGTAGTTTGTTTAAATACTATCTTAATATAATAAGTTGTAGGTGTAGATGAAAAGCTACTACTGAGTACATAGTTTGTATTATTCCTCATAGGGGTAAAAAGGGGTGAATAGGTAAGCCACATATAACTGAAATTAATGTTGCATATCTTACTAACAAGTCTAGTCAGAGCCTTAAAATATAGGCCTATTGAAGGTACTGATAGACAGCCAGTAGGATTTTGGGTTATCTACTGTCGCACTGTATGATGAAGATGAATACTTGTTTCCTCTCTCATTGCACTCGAGACTAAAAGGAATGTTGTCGACTTCCGGTATAGTGGTTTCTGTTTTTAACGAAAATTTCTTGTTACTATGAGTCGAATATATGCTTTCTTTAATCTCCAGGTGTTTTGTCTTTTCTTCTATAGCCCTCTGAAAGTTTTCGACTCTTATCCGAATGTCGATAATTTCGATGTCTAGTTGTTTATTCTTTGATACTATGCTCTATGCTCGTATTACGTTAGATAACAATTATGATGATCATTCTTTACCCTACATTGTCTGTCTATTCGCCCCGTTTTACAGTATAAAATTAATATTGTTCTACTTCAAAGCAATAAACGTTTAATTTAATCAGGTTGTTTTATTAAGAGTATATCCATCCAACAGGTTGTCGAAAATTATCCTACTAGATTATTTTCTAGCTCGCTTCCGAAACTGCTGCATTAGAGAGCATATTAATTTTGTAGTAATATTGTGATAAAGTATTTCGTAATTTATTGGAAGAGTTTTCTAAATATTCCCTTGAAACTTAATTATTTTAGGATTTAAAATTTCTAGTTCAGTGTTTTGGTTAAATTTTAACATTTCTTTATATTAATCATCACAAGACTCTGTTTTAATATTGTTCTACACACACAATAAAATGTACATACTTTGTACCCTAAAAAGTAGTTACCTTTTATGGGCATTGGATTAGAATAAAACATTGTATTCTAAAACACCATAAAAAGATCTGTGCACTTCTATCAAGTATTGAGCAAAGAGGACTGTATCCTTTTTTTGTAATTTGTATAAAATCCACAATATATATCTTATGTATATGCAATATCGAGAAATTTCGTACATTGAATGAAGTATTATACAATACAAATTATACCAACTTAATAAGAATACCAAATTTGTGCTAATTGAAACAATTATATTTTAGAGACAAAAGTTTATTCTTCACTTTTTACTTTTCGGTTCTTTAGGAGCTGCTGGTGCCTTGGTAACATCATCTGGATTCTCAGCAGCATCCTTTAATCTCTTAGCCCTAATGCCAACAAGCTTAGCTATTGACCGAGCCTGAAAAAGATACGAACATTTTAATATTAATGTATGCTTAGATAAAAATACGTTAATTTATCCTTTCTTTGCATGAATGTATACTTACACCCCTGAGGTATTGGTAAGCCTTGAAGTCTTTTTCCTCTTCAGTGATAACGCGTGCTACGGACTTTGGAGCAGGTTGACGCACTGGCATTAGAGAACCATGAAGTTGTTTAGCCAATTTACGTTCTTCTTCATTAGCCTCGCCCTTGAGGACCTATACATAAATATTTTATTTTGATGACTGTTAATAATTTAAGTTAGTCATATATATCTAATCACTAAATTCTGTTGGTATTCTATCTTCTGTAGTATTAAGTTAACAACGAATTAAATTAAAACTAACACACTGATATGAATATGATAGTGAACATGAATTTTATGTGTTCACTATCATATTACAATACTGAGTGGCTTTTCTAATTTTTATTTAACGAAAAAAAAAATGGACCCATAACTAACATAGTGCCTTTAACACTAACAATGTAAAACGCGATATTGAAAATGAATTTCAAATATGATCCTCTCTCACTGCTCTCCCCGTGTTTTAATTGTGTCAAAAAAATCAAAGTAATACTAGGAACATACATAACTACATAAGAAGTTATCAATTTTAAGTACCTTAGATTTATTGATATAAAGAATAATTAATATGCCGTAAACTTTTTATTTTAATTTTCAGAATTAACATATTTAGAATATATCAAATGCCAACATGATGCCATTTATCAATATGGACTAAAAACATAGTTGTTTTGTGTTCATACTACTTGCTGTATGAGAGCATTTTGGTAAAGCTTATCCAGATTAACTAAGCACCCTTTTGAAGGAATAAAAAAAAACATTCATACCTTCTTTCCCTTAGGGAATAAGATCAGGCGTGCCCTGTATTCTTTTAGCCGCTGGACATTAATCTGTAGGCTCTCTACTGACTTATTACGACGACGTGGGTCCACAGCAATTCCAATAGTCCTAGCAAAAGCTGGATTCAATCCAGAAGCCTGAAATTTTTTTTAATTGTTTTACTATTGAAAGTGCCTATAAATGTAAATGGTATTTATTAATTGGTTATTCAAGATCATAAACAATATTTGGTAAGCAATTAGTATCACTAAAGATTCAGATTGAATGAAGGAAATTCTTATTTGTGCTTACCCTAATTTCCCTCAGAGTAAATCCTCGGCCAGCACGGACTTTAGTGTGATAACGTACTGTAGGGCATCTGACTACCGGTCTAAGAGGGCCTGCTGCCGGACGCGGAGCAATTGCCTTGGCTTTCTTGATGCGATTTTGCTTTCTGCGGTGTCTTCTAGCAGGTTGGTTAAACCAAGTTTTTACAAATCTTTGCCAATCCTTATGGAAATGGCCATTCGGCACCATATTATTACCTTTCCCCATCTTGGTTATGATCCCTTATCACCTAGAAGAAAATTGTCCAGAAATATATTTTTAAGTAAAAACCATCACAGCTCTACTTTATTCAACAAGACAGCACTTTATAAATGATTATATGATCACAAAAATAATTTAGGATAACCATTTAACTAACCACAGGGAGGGACGTCAATAACAAAAAGAATAATATTTTAGTGATGTTCGTAGTCTGTAACCTAGATTCACAATCGACAATACAATAATCGATTGATAGAAAATGCTATCGATATCACCAAAAAAAGTTCAGTTTTAGATAAATTTCCGTCATATTATAAAGTCCAGATTGGTGTGATCAGTGCACCTCATCATTACCACGTTTAATGTTATAAAGTCAGGTTTTTGATGAGCTTCAATCGAAAACTAGCGTTTTGATATTAAAACTGAAAAACGTCATTAAAAAATAGTACAATAATGAAGAATGAACACGGGTGATGGAAGGTTGATAAAATAGCTGTGCACTGAAATGTACTATCGATGATTTACATATACAATTTATCGGACAATATAGCACTAATAAAGTATGGTAGGTATTATCAATTATGTAGTACTTGTAGGACAGCCATGCCATTCCTATAGTTGTTCTAGTACGATTTCGATATATTACGTAGTCGCATTCTACGATGTTTGACAGATTTTTAAAGAATCGATTTATTGCGTCGTCCACAGATGTTGTAGAAATTCATAATTATTTTTCTACAGTATCGGTGTATCAGTGCCTTGAGTCTGTGTTTGCGATTAAAATCCGTGAATTGCGTTCCTAGTCCACCCTAAAGTACCTTAATTTGATAAAAAAAACTTATAAACTATAATGGAAGATAATAAAAACACGCAAGTTGAAAATCAAAATATTAACGATGAGAAAAATACTAAAAAAAAGAACAAGAACAAGAAAAAACGTAGCGGTGATGGGGATCATCGGGCACCGGGTTCTGCAGATGGTACAGTCGCTCTACCGACCTCTACAGACGGACAACAAAATATTTACGTTAAAGACCTTAAAATTGCAATGGAAGTGTTAAATTTACAACAAAAACCTGCTAAAACGACCGAAGAAGCCTTGCATAAGTCATACCAATTTTGGTCTACTCAACCAGTACCGAAAATGGATGAAAAAATTATCACCAATGAACCCATAGAAGGACCTAAAACAGCAGAGGAAATAAGACAAGAGCCATATACTTTGCCTGATGGATTTCAATGGGATACATTAAATCTAAATGATCCTCTTGTACTAAAGGAATTGTATACATTGCTAAATGAGAACTATGTTGAAGATGATGACTGCATGTTTCGTTTCGATTATCAAACAGAGTTTTTAAAGTGGGCTTTACAGCCTCCAGGCTGGAAAATGGAATGGCATTGTGGAGTGAGAGTTGTAAAATCAGGGCGTTTAGTTGGTTTTATTTCAGCTATTCCAGCCCAATTGAGAATTTATGATAAGGTAGAAACAGTTGTAGAAATAAATTTTTTATGTGTTCATAAAAAGCTCCGTGCTAAAAGAGTTGCCCCTGTACTTATTAGGGAGATAACGCGCAGAGTTAACTTAACAGGTATCTTTCAAGGAGTGTACACAGCAGGAATAGTGTTACCGAAGCCAATTGGAACATGCAGATACTGGCATAGATCTTTAAATCCAAAGAAGTTAATTGACATTAAATTTAGTCATCTATCTAGAAATATGACCATGCAAAGAACTCTTAAACTTTTTAAACTACCGGACTTACCTAAAACGCCTGGCTTTCGTAAATTGGAACCTAATGATTGTGACCAAGCTGTTAAACTACTGAATAGTTACTTGGAGAAGTTTGATTTGGTGCCAATATTTTCAGACGTGGATTTTAAACATTGGTTTATGCCTATACCGGGTATTGTAGATAGTTTTGTTGTGGAGGCGGAGGATGGTTCTATTACAGATTTTGTTAGCTACTATACTCTTCCCTCGACCGTTGTCTATCATCCGGTTCATAAAACACTTAAAGCCGCTTATTCCTTTTACAATGTGTCTACTAAAACCCCTTGGGTCGATTTGATGCTTGATGCTTTAATAACTGCTAGAAATTTAGGATTTGATGTGTTTAATGCATTAGATCTGATGGAGAACAAGGAATTCTTAGAACCTCTAAAGTTTGGTATTGGTGATGGAAATTTGCAATACTATTTGTATAACTGGAGATGTCCAAGTTTACCCCCAAACAAAATTGGCTTGGTTCTCCAATAACATTGGTTATGGAATAATTTACATATGTATTATTAAAATGGTTTTATTTATAATTTCTTTATTTGTTAGCAATTGCTTTATTTTTCCACTGTAGTGTTTTTATTGATTAAAAATATAGCTTTAGTTAACAAGAAATCTTTTTTATTTTCTTTACATGTTAAGAATGTCTTGTAAAGGAATATTTATTTAAAAAAAAAAAATCAAATTGTAACAGACATCTCTGAATAGTTTTTACTCATACTTTTATTATAGGAGTCGGGAAGACATCGACATTATTTTGTGTATCTGTGCCTTAAATTATATGTATTTTTGAATAAATAATAATTCATGAAAAAAGAGGCCAACAGCACATCGCAAACAAGTGTTTTATAATTGAGCTCTCAAGCATTTCTGCTATCAAATAAACTTGTCTTTACTGTTTTGATACGATTAGAATTTAAAACAATAAGAGCCACATGCTGCTACAATTTGTACTGAGTAATCAAATGAAGTTTATACGTTCCCTTGTGTTACAATGGTGTGGTTCTTCTGACTAAACTAGATTACTCATTAACGTTATGTATAACTATGAGTTCGTCTATGACTGAATGTACAGATCCCGTAATTTTAATAAAACAATTCTTTAAGGCTTTAATAATACAATATTAGCAGTTTGCAAACTCAGACGTTCCTTGCAAGTACAAAATTAATAACAATATTAAACATAAGTCTGCTGTTACTTGTATGACAAAATCAATGGAGAACTCTAGGATTTGTTCCCAGGGCATCAATGTTATAATAGGATAGCAAATAAAAACGCCATATTTATTTCGTATAATATAATATGTAATAACAGAATACATACAGTCAGTTACATTGGCGACCATGTTTTCAATACAAGGTAGATAAATTATCCAATGCATATCTGACGAAAAAAGGAAAAATACATTGCAAGAACAAAAGCCAACTCCATATTAGAAAAATCAAAGTGAACTTAAATTAACTTCTTGATCAAAGTAGAAAGTCTAAATTGCCCAGTACTTATTTTGGAATAATATATATATATATTATAAATGTTGACAGTTGCAATGTTTTTGTCTGCAGAAGCACCTCCAATACACTGTTATAAGTAAATTATATCTTGGAGCTGTGCGATCTACATTTTTTATGTTTTACAATTTTTATTTAGGTTTTTTTTTAAAAAGAGGGTCTCTCTACATTGAAATGTAAAAAGCGAAATAAAAAGAAGTTACAAGAGAAAAAAGCTCTAGATGAGCAACAAATTATTCTTTTTTAGTGGCCTGCTGTTTCGCCTGGTGAGCTTGCAAAACAGCAACAGCCTCGTCCACCTTTGCCTTTAGAGACTCTGCATGTTCTAACATGTGAAGAAGTTCAGAGTTATCTATCTCCAATAACATACCAGTAATTTTACCAGCTAGATCTGGGTGCATTCGTTGAATTAAGGGGAAAAGACGTTCACCTAACATTTGTTTTTGTTCCTGCAAGGGAGCTGCAGCCAACATAGTAGCAGTAAGTGGTTCTTGACCCTGAATGTGGACAGCGGGTTGAGGAGCTGGAGGATTACGCATATTTGATGTGTATTTGTATCCTGCTGGACGACTACTTGTTATTATGGGGCGAATTGATGTTGCTGCAGGAACTCCTTGCTGGCCTGTGATAGGTCTAGCGCCTAAAGATGTACGCAACGTAGTTTGAGTGGGACCGCGCGGTGCTGGACGGAACGGAGCTTGCATGTTCGGATAAGCAGAAGCAGCAGATTGAGTGCTTGGTCTCACAGGCTGTTGAGTCCAGCGAGGAGATGGTCTAATTTGAGTCATTTGGGCTGGACCATAGAATCTCTGAGTGGGTGGTATAGTTGGAACAAAGTAACCTCCAGCACTTCCAGGTTGGAATATTTGTCCCATTTGCTGCATTCTCATACTAGCCATCCGTTGCATATATTGTGAAGTCAAGTGAGCTTTACGATCTTCTTTCCTTTGGGCTAAAGCAACGTAAAGGGGCTTAGTAACAACTATGCGGCCATTCATATCAGTGACAGCCTTAGTAGCTTCTTCTGGTGAAGAAAAGCAAACAAAACCAAATCCTTTGCTACGCCCATCTTCAAGCATTACCTGTGCAAAGAGTATTTAAATTAATGTCTGGCTGTATTTACATATACCAAATTCTTATCAATAGCTTTAGCTAATCATAAGGCAGCTTATAAGATTTCTCTGAAATATAATACCAGTGAAAAAAAGTAATTTGAAAAAAAAAATTGGTGAGGCCTTACAGCAGACAGGAAATAAAAACTTATTTTGAAATTAATATTAACTATAATTTATATCAATACCTTAGCAGATGTTATAGTTCCAAATGCAGTGAACTCGTTACGTAGACGCTCGTCATCAATACTGTCATCCAAATTTTTTACATATAAGTTTACCCCTTGATAGCGGGTGAGTCTTTCAGCCTTCAGCTGTTCAAATTTACGTTTTAATTCTTTTTGGCGTTCAGCTTTCTTTTGAGCACGCCCAACGTACAATGGCTTGCCTTCAACAAGTTCTTTGCCATTTAGCTCCATACAAGCTCTTTCAGCAGCATCAGGATCTTCAAAAGCAACAAATCCAAAACCTCTAGATGATCCATCATCTTTAAACATCACTTTGTGGCTAGTGATACGACCATATTTTTCAAACATGTCTTTCAACATCTCGTCATTAAAATCTTCACCAAAGTTCTTTACATAGACATTGGTGAACAGCTTGGCTTTTTCTCCTAATTCCTTTTCACGTTCCTTACGAGGAATAAATCTGCCCACATATACTTTCTTGCCATTGAGCAACATTCCATTTACTTTGTCAATAGACTTATTAGCTGCTTCTTCAGTTTCAAAGTGTACGAAACCGTATCCTTTAGAAGCCCCATTTTCATCTTGGGCCACTTTACAGCTCAATATATTACCAAAGGCAGTAAAGGTGTCATACATAGCCTTATTGTCTATGGATTTATCAAGATTCTTAATGAATACATTGCCCACACCAGACTTACGCAGTGAGGGATCTCGCTGAGACCACATTATCCTAATAGGTCTTCCTTTGATCATATCAAAATTCATAGTATCCAAGGCTCTCTCAGCTATAACAAAAAGTTTTTATTACTATAAGTTATTGTATAAAAAAAGGATTGTGAATCAGATTGGTACATTGTTGAGTAACATGTTTGCAATAGTCAATTAAGTAATATACCTATTTGCTACTATTGCAAACCATTCTTGAACTAATGACATTACAGTTTTGCTGTTCACTTAATTAAACTTTGTCGGTATTTCCATGGTCATAAAGAAAAAAATGACTTCATACTTATAAATTGATAAAAGTTTTTTTCATCTCTAGAGGTGTAATAGACAAGAATGAGCCGTATGACGTGTGCATGTGATAGGTACTATATTGGAATGCAACACAAGTGATATAACCAAAATTGTACTTACCATCTGCAGGTTGCTGGAAATTTACGTAAGCGTAGCCAAGAGACCTACGAGTAATAACATCGCGACATACACGAATGGATAGGACTGGACCAGCAGTAGAGAATTTTTCAAACAACATGGCCTCAGTTATATCTGAATGTAAATCCCCGACATACAGAGATGCCATTGGGTAGTTAGGTGGCCCAGGATTCATTTTAATTGTTTATTTGAACCGTTGTAACATTAATAAGTTATAATTGTTTAGAGCAACTCCACTTTCTCTTTATGATTATCTATCGCATTCCTTAGGACCACGTTGCACGCTTACGTACACTAAACTTATAACTGAACGATTCTCGTTAATTTTATATATTTTTTCTATTTTTTTGGGTTTTTGTTAATTTTGTATTTTTTTTTTTATATTTTAGAACACTATTTCACGAAATTGTGATGATTGTGTGACCTATATGCAGGATCTACACAACCTCACGTGAACGCACCTTGCTCACCAAAGGAAAGGTGACGTTTTCGTTGGGTTAAACAAAATGGCCACATATTTTTTTTTTAAATTTCGAAATAGTTTGGATACAAATCTGTTCGTCGGAAAATTGTTTTTGTGATTTACACAGCTTAATATAACAACCTAAAAATATACTTTTAATCAATGATTTTAGTACTAAAATACAATTTACAAAAAGGATTTTAGTTGTTAGTGTCTAAGAGAGTATACAAATTTAAGTATGGAAATTGAAGTCGTCCATGATTTATACCACACAGTTACACACTTTGTTGTGGGCTCGGTCTATGTATGCTATCTCACATGTTTTTACGCTAAGCGTGTGACATAAAACCACTATGCTTTATTTTATTTTATATAATTAAATAGAACAATCTTTACAGGCGGTGACATTGGATAATCTGCATCTGGCAACACTGATAGTCAATGCTGTATTCCCCAATTATATACATTAAGTAAAAAAAAATTGTGAAATTATGCGCCGTGTCAACTAAGTGTCAAAGAAATTCCTTGCAAAAACGAATTAAGGTTTAACTTTACTAGTTGCTTTTACTTGTAATTTGCTGAATACGTAAAGTAATTAGGTAAATTGTTTATAAAGTTTAGGAATTCAACTATATTATTTTAGATTTTATAACTAACACGTCTTAATGAACAAAGTGTATATAATTATTGTAGAACATTATATTAGATATGTTACACGAATTATATAGTTATCTATTTTCAGATATTCACAGGTACACTTTTTATAAATAGTTTACAAAAATCGGTTACCGTCATGTGAGTTTTTTTAATATCGGCGAAAGTTGTGCAAAGCAAAACTTTAAGTAAAGGTAAGAAGACTTTATTTATTACCGTGTTTTTAAACAACAAAATAAAAAAAGAGAGAGTATAGAGTTTGATACTTCTGCAAATAAAGTGTAACTGCAAGAAGGTTTTAATGTAATGTTCTTTGTTGACATAATCAAAGACCTAAACATTGGTGTTACATATTTTTTTCGTGATTATATTTTGATTTACCTTAATTGCTACTTTATTAGTTAGATTTACTGAAAACTCCTATATTCTCACAAACATAGTTAGCAAATTGACAATTGTTATTGCTCTTCAATTTAGATAATTCTATATTTATGTTTACAGGAATGAGCAATGTCTGAGAAAGAGCAGGTCATCCAGGCTTTACGTGCAACTTTAATTTCAGTTAAGGGAGCACTCACACTGAAGCAATGTAACCGTTAGTAATTTTATATGTTGTGTACTTTATTTTAATGAATCTTCTTTCTCCCTTTAGTCTAATTGTAGATATTATGATTGTTTATGAAACTATGGACCATGTCATATATAGGTGACTACAAGGAGTTGCAAGGGGAATGGATTCCCTACAAAAAAATAGGATATCCTACCCTTGAGAAATTATTTCAAGAAGTACCTGGTTTTAAAATAAAAGAAATAAATGGCGAATGGTATGTTGATGCTATAGCCAGTCAAGAGACTCAACACATTGCTTCAATGGTAGCTCGTCAAAAGTCTAATAAAAAACCAGCAAAACTTAGCACACCAGTAAGTTACAGTTGTAAACTTTGAATGAGCAAATGAAACACTAACTTATTCTTATAATATACTTATAAATTTTATATGGTTTTGTAGAGTCGCTTTCCAAAGACTAAACAAGGTTCATGGAGGAAGCCATCATCACTGACGAGTTACGATAACCAATACTCCAAACAATATTACAGAGCTAAAACAAACACTTCCCATAATAACAATAATAATGGTTATAATGGCAAGGTATGTGTATTTTTGTTAATATAATTTAAACATATCTTTGTAGTTATTGTATACAGGTGGTTGTATGTTATAGGCTAACATGAACAAATATTATAAATCGAATGATGCTAAACTGAACACATATCCGAACACGAAACAAACTGTAACGAAATCAAACGAAATTGTAGAAAATGTTGCGGGAAATATTAAAAACTCATCATCATCACAAGCTGCACGCAATTTTTATGGTGAAGAGGTAAAATTGTAAAACCATAGTGTTTCAACTGCACATGTCTGTTAGGAGGTAGTTAAATTAAGTTATGTTATAGTTTCAGACCAAGCATTCCACAAAAAATGAGAAAAAGACTGAGATCAATAGTTCCAACAAAATTTCAGCTTCACAGAGGCTTTCTAACTTCAGAGATAGGCTTAACACTGTTGATGTAATGATACCGCTGCAGCTACCAGCTCATGATAATGAGCTCTATGATAAGAGTGGATACAAGGTAATAAAAACTTTTGTACGTATTTTTCTTATAAATCTACAGACACTGTATTGGAATTTGCTGTTATATTTCAGAAAAATGCGGATCCTGTATCTTACGCCGTGCCAGCATATAATTTAGAACCTCCACCAGATACAACTTCTAGTATTATAAAACTAGAATGGACTTGTAAGAAGTTAGGACTTCCTCTGCCAGTGTATAAAACTCAGGATTGTAGACCTACAAATGGTCCAGTGACATATGATTGTACTGTCAGAGTAAGGAGTTATTACTCTTTTTTACATGTTAATTTTTTTTTCAACGCTTATCTCGACGAATGCTGTTCCAATAGGTCGGAAGTTCGTACAAAGCGTCATCGTATCCCAACTCGTCACCAACAGAGGAGTTGGCGAAGGAAGTGGCTTCAGAAAAATTGCTGCACATCATACAGAGCTCAGAAGCTTCTGGACTACCTACTTCCTCAAATAGTAAAGCCATAAGCGGTCTTACGGAATTAGTATCGGAGCACGAAGCTGGTGTTTGGGCTAACACTGTTCCATGCTTATATAGGTACCACTGTATCTTGCATTGTCAAATGTTTATATATCATTGCTGCATACTTAATGGCTGCTAAATGTGTTTTAGGGAAAAATATAAAGAAAATTTACCAAAAAATTGGTTGGAATTAATAGAAACGTGCCCACTAATCAAGAAGGAGAAAGTAGTCAATGGACTTCTAGTTCTATTGCTCAACATTGAGGTACAATGACTTACATCATATACGATTCATGAAGTTTTTCTTTTCTTTAATGTTGTTGGAATGTCAATAGGACCGCAGTAACGTGACTTTGATGGAGAATCTCATTTTGGACGACACCATAGATAGTGATCTTCCGCCTTTGCAATTTCCTGAAGATGACTTTTGGAATGTGTACATAACAGTTGCAAACTCAACAATCGAAATTTGGCTGCGAATTATCGGGGTGCAATATAGCGTGAGTTTATATCTATGTTCTAAGGTTTTTGCAGCGTACGCCTCGAAAACCCATAGTGATGAATTTCCCAACATAATTCACATTTTCCGCAGTTCCTTCGTTCACATCGCGAAATTTTATACATACCTAACACAAAATAATTTTCAATTCGAACCCGTAGTTCATGAGATTAGCACGTTTAAACATACAAACAAACTTTTCAGCTTTATATATTTGTATTGTTATGGATAAAAGTTTCTGTTCACTACACTGTACTTTGTAACATGTATTGAGTATGGACACTAGACTGTGGTCGACAAATGTCAGTGGTGTTACGCTCCGCTCATGGTACGCAACGGTTTTGGTGTTGTCAACTTGTTCTATCCCCTTTCATGAGCATATCAGATTTTCGCGTCTGAAACGATCGCGTCCCGGTCATGATAAGTCACAGTATAGCGAGCCTTTTATTAATGTACCCCCAATTTTAGGATGCATTTGAAAATCTTCTCGCGGACATGACGCAATATTATGACTACTCCGGCGCAACGGTGGACAAATCTATGCTCATTGTGAACGCTTGGTAAGTTTAAGAGTTGAGTGTAATTTTACAATGAAACGAATCGCCATTATTGCCTACAAAGGGTCACGTTGGCTTTCAACAATCTACAGAAAGAAACCAATTTGTGGATGCACTTCTCACTATCTATGACGAGTAAAAAGAACAGGGGTAAAAAGAAGAAGCTCTCTTTTACACACTGTCTTCCTCTTATCTTTGCAAGGTACGCAGTGAATCTGGACGACGGCGGCTGGCAACGCGCTAAAGTGCTCGAGATATACGACGATACGGCCTCTGTGTTTCTCGGTGATCACGGAGACGACGACATTGTTGTTTTAGATAATATTAAGATTCTGGAACCACAATTCCGTCGGCTGCCAGCACAGGTGAGTTCCAACCTACCGATGACCCACTGCTGAGACGGGAGAGGATATCGGAGCTTAAGTACATAACTCTGTTCTGGTGTGACGACTGAGGCCACAAAATTAATGACGATAACTAAGACTGACGGCCTAACGTAACGGGTCGGTAATAGTAAATAAATTATTTTAGCATTTTCCGCCCGACCCTAGAAACGAACTCGGGACCACGTAATCGGGAATGAAAGTACACTAAGCACAAGATCAACGAGGCAGTCAAGTACGGGTTAGTGTTGTTGCTATATCCATCAGGTTTTTTAAGTGGGGTAGAGAAAATGCGATGATCTTGGATTATATTCTCCATACCTAATGTAATAAGTGAAGCTAATCTAGGAAGCCATTCTCATGTTGGATTCCAATTGCCGCAACAAATGTAAAACGTTTAAAAGTAAAATTCTGATATCTCTAACATTTCTAACTGGTCGATAGCCAGAATTCTGCGCTCTCACGAAACCATTATGTTTAATTTGAACCCGTGACCCATTTTGCAACGCAATTCTAGGTCATGCGTTTTGCGATAAATTAGTAATACTTAACTTTGCAACACAAAACTGAAGAGACTCCACTAACTATTACGTTCAACGATTAATATGTTAGATAGATGTTTTCCGTGTTTATCACAACTGTCATATAGGCAATCCTGTGTCGTCTGGAAGGCGCGGAGGAACTTTCCGAGACTGAGATAGGTGCGGAGCTGGTGGCTAGGCGGCTCCCCGGTGAGGTGCTGGTCGCAGCCCCGGGGCCCCGAACGGACCCCACCGACCCCTCCGTCTCGGTGGTCCTATTCGATACCTCTACGCAGCGCGACTTAAACCTCAACAAGGAGATCATCCACGACTTCTGCATAGCCGGCGCGTTCAACATCACTCAGGTTTTTGACTCTACGTTCTCATTATTTCAAAACTTTGGCGGTCTACGAACAACTAATAATTGACGGTTCGATAAGATCCACACCGAATCGACATGTTTCTAATGAATTTATTTTGTTTTTATTTATTTATTTTGCGCATCTTGATTTGATGTTTCACCGTCCATCCTTCTGTCCTCTTCTAACATAAAAAATATAATACCGTGTGTATACAGGATACTCTTTTCTATTCTTTAAAAAGTCGTTAGAAAAAGGGAGAAAAAATTTCGCTAGCCTATTTGATGATTTGTTACAGAAACTGTGTGAAGTGGAAGTCCGTTGTGTGACCGACGAGGGTCGAGTGTGGGTGTCACGCGCTGGTGGGGCGGACTTGGTCCGCAAAGCGCTGGCGCTGCTCACAGCGGGGCCTTTCCGTCGCCCGTTGCCTGCGGCACCTCAAGCGCCGCCTCCCCAAGCTGGCACCCTCTATATCGTGCGGACCATCGCGGGAGACTGGTTTGAACCATATTTTTTTATACATAAATTTTATATTATTAATTTGTATAAAAAATATTTGTGAATACAATATCATGTTAAAATTAACAATTACTTAAATACTGATTGGAATCTAAATGATGCGTTTTTGTAAATCATGATGGTATTTAGATACCTTTAGCATTGCCAGGTTTTCTGGCTGAAGCTGGAAGTAGCTTCTTTTAGTGAGTAGTCAGTTGTTTATTCGAGGTTTTACACCAGGGTGCGGTGTACGATAATCAGCGGTCTGGACGGCGAGGGCACGGTTCGCACCCAGCTCGTCGACAGCGGTCAGATACTTCGAGCGCCGCTCTCTTCGCTCATTCCTCTTCAGACCTTCTCGCAAGCGCTCAATGAATACCCCTATCAGGTCCGTTATACTACTGATTCGTATAAGGATGAAGGAAAACTATGCGATTTATCACGATTTATTAAGTAGGTTTTGTTATGAACAGTTATTGCCATTATTAAATATTCTACCCGCTGTCGACCGAAATAATTAGCCTTTGCGATCATAAGATGACGTCATAACTGGGTCTTTGAAACTTTTTTGGACTATCACAAAAGATTATACTCTATCCTAGCAAGTATTAAAAAAAGCGAAGGCATATTTCGCCAAGGGTTGAAGCGTTCAAACATTGTCAATGAGTTGGATCGTGTGTGCAGGCAATGCAAGTGCGGTTGGGCCCTGCAGCGGAGAGCGTGGCCAGCTCGATGGTGGATCGGCTGCGCGACTTGCTGCTAGGCGAGCGCGTGCTGTGTCGCGCTGCGGCGTCCTCTCCCGCGTTCGTGTCCACTTCTGCACCGCACGTCGAGCTTTACGTACGCCCTGGACCTCAAACTCCCCTCGTACCAGTCAACCATTCCATAGTTGGGGAATATGAGTACCTTCAGCTGTAGGTGTTTTTTTTTTTACTTTAAATCTTTAGTAATTATAATAAGCCGGATGTGTTATTGTGCCAATATTAAGAGCATATATACAGTCGAATTCAGTCCTCCTTCTTTGTACTTGGCTACAAAACTATGGATCTAATCACTACTAATATTATAAATCCGAAAGTAACTCTGTCTGTCCGGCTTTCACGCCGAAACTAATGAACCGATTTAAATGAAATTTCGTACACAGGTATTTTAGACTTTAAGAAAGGACATACTTTTGATTCTAAAAAGGGTTGAAAAGGGGGATGAAAGTTTGTATGGAAATTCGTGATTTATGAAGCTAGAACAATGAAACTTCTTTAATTTTTTTGGGAATGAGAGTGAGAGTGGGACTGAGTGTAGGAGTGGGAGTTAGAGTCGGAGTGAGAGTGGGGGTGTTGCGGAAAAGTAACACTTACGACACAGATTGGCTGCCTTGAATGTGCCTTTTTCAATGACATGCGTCAAGGGGTATGAAAAGTTATGTAGATGTATCGTAATAAATTTTTATAGAACTAACTAATTTGATAATGCAAAAGTAGCTATAAAAGTGTACTCAAATAAGCCTTACTATAAAAATACACAGTACCATGGATATACTTAGGAGTCATCCATAAAGTACGTCACACGAATCTCATGATTTTTTGTTGGGTTCCCACCGAAAAAAAACCCCAACCCCCCCCCCCCCCCCCCCCCCCCCCCCCCCCCCCCCCCCCCCCCCCCCCCCCCCCCCCCCCCCCCCCCCACAAACCCCCCTCCTCCTCCCCTCCCCCCCCCCCCCCCCCCCCCCCCCCCCCCCCCCCCCCCCCCCCCCCCCCCCCCCCCCCCCCCCCCCCCCCCCCCCCCCCCCCCCCCCCCCCCCCCCCCCCCCCCCCCCCCCCCCCGCGGGGGGGGGGGGGCGCCTCCCCCCTTCTCCTCTCTTCCCCCCCCCCCCCCCCCCCCCCCCCCCCCCCCCCCCCCCCCCCCCCCCCCCCCCCCCCCCCCCCCCCCCCCCCCCCCCCCCCCCCCCCCCCCCCCCCCCCCCCCCCCCCCCCCCCCTCCCCCCTCTTTTTTTTTTTTTCTTTTTTTTTTTTTCCTTTTCTTTTTTTTTTCTTTTCTTTTTTTTTTTTTTTTTTTTTTTTTTTTTTTTTTTTTTTTTTTTTTTTTTTTGAGCATGTTTTGCAATTTCCCCCCGAAAAAACCCCAAAAACCGGGGGGGGGGGCTTTTTTCCTTTTCCCCCCGCCCGGGGGGGGGGGGGGGGGTTTTTTTTTTTTTTTTTTTTTTTTTTTTTTTTTTTTTTTTTGGGCCCCCCCGTTTTTAAAAAGAACCCCCCCCCCGGGGGGCCCCCCCCCATTTTTTTTTGTTTTTTTTTTCCCCCCCCCCCCTTTGTGTTTTTTTTTTCCTTTTTTTTTTTGGGGGGGGGGGGGGGGGGGGGTTTTTTTTTTTTTTTTTTTTTTTTTTTTTTTTTGGGGCCCCCCCGCCCCCCCCCCCCCCCCCCCCCCGGGGCCCCCCCCCCCCCCCCCCCCCCCCCCCCCCCCCCCCCCCCCCCCCCCCCCCCCCCCCCCCCCCCCCCCCCCCTCTTTTTTTTTTTTTTTTTTTTTTTTTTTTTTTTTTTTTTTTTTTTTTTTTTTTTTTTTTTTTTTTTTTTTTTTTTTTTTTTTTTTTTTTTTTTTTTTTTTTTTTTTTTACTTTAGTATGTGTATGTACTGATGTAATCACGTCTACATTAAAATAATGTCATTTATGAGTAACAATTGTTACGTTGTAAGTCAAAGGCTTGCCCGACAACCGTATAAAACTCGTGTATGATTTCTGGGAATCGTATATGTATATGAGAGACTCATACATTTTCTCTATTTTTTATATTTATTAATGGTATGGTTTAAAATGCTATCTTCCTAAACACGACAATTGCAGTAGCAAATCGCAAGAGGCAGTCAAAGAGAAAGAGCCAACGAGTCATGTAGAGGCCTTGAACAAGAAGAAGGAGCGACTCTATCGCACCGGTTCCAGCGGTGGCGTCACCGCGCCCCCGGTCGACAAGTCCCGTCCCCTGCCCCCACCTGTGCTGCCGTACGTCGGCCAATGCATTGATGTCCGCATCTCAATAGCTGCTAATCCTTGGAATTTTGTTGTAAGTTACTTTTAGGTCCACTTAAAAAATCTCTCCGTTCTTCCAAAACCTCACTCTTCAAATATTACCTTTCAAGTACTTAATAGCTCTTCGTCATATTCCCCTTAGCACCACCTACCCATAGTCCTCTTTTTATTTTTACCTTCACTTCAGGTTGCCTGGAAGAGTTCGCTGTTCAGCGATAAGGCTGCCTTTTATTTATAAGCTAGTTTACAAGTTTTTTTTTTTTGTATTCATGGAATAAGACCTGTGATGTTTATCTATACTAATATATAAATCTGAAGGGTTTGTTTGTTTGAACGCCCTAATCTCAGGAAGAACTGGCTCAAATTGAAAAATCCCTATTGTGTTAGAGCATTTATCGATTATCAAGGCTACATGCTATAAAAACATCGCCCTGTATTAGTTACAGGGCGATGTTTTTATAGCATAAAAGCGAAGATACAGCGGGAAATGTGAAAAAATTTCGGAAAGTTATTCATCATTATGGGTTTCCGCAGCGTAAGCTGCAAAAACGGTTTAAGCTACCCAAAAAAATAAGTATAAAAGAATGATTTCTCTTTTAATGGTCTAAGTCCGCAACGCTATATGTCTGTTTTTGAAGTTTAACTTGCAAGACCGATGGCGTAGGTTAGGAAAGTTTTAAAAAACAAATTTGGAGACCCAAAATAACTATTCTACGCGGAGGAAGTCGCTTAGTCAGCTAGTAACTAATAAAGTTAAAAAAATACAAAATAAATACGTATTAACTAACTCTATATGTCCTAAGTGTCATCCAGAGTTCTGCCATATTTAAATTTGCCTTACTGAAAACATTGCACAGATACAACCGAACAGATCTAGACTCACACTAAAAGAGATGATGGCATCACTGCAAGAGGAATGTCCAAAGATTCCAGAGGAAGATGCACCGGTGAATCCAGTGAGCGGAGAGCTTTACACGGCGTATTATGATAAGGATTCGTCATGGTATAGGTATGGTGCAACTTTACCTTCCTTTACTATTGTTATTCAACTAGAATTTTACAATAAAAAAGTAAGACCAAATGTCAGAACAGATATAATTGTGTCTCTCCGTAAATACAAAGCATATTTAACAACATTTTTAACTTCCGTTACGTTAGACAGAAACTGCAGTACATTTGACTATTCCCTACTGCTTGTCTTCACCAGGGTCACTGTAGCAAACAGCGTATCGTCGGAGTTGCTCTCGGTGTACTTCTGTGATTTCGGAGACCTGGCGGTGTGCTCGAAGCGCGTGTTGCGGCCCGTCCCCGCCTCTGTTCCGCTGGCGCGTACTTTGCCGCCACAGGCCATCAAGGCGCGCCTATACGGTCGGTAAAAGTTGTGTAGCATGGACATGACTATAAGCTAGTCAATCTTTCTTCTCTCAAGTCTTTTATCTCTTCTTGTCGAATTATCTATACTAATATATAAGTTGAAGTTAGTTTGTTTGTTGGTTAGAGCATTTATCGAGGAAGGTTATAAAACATTGATAGAGACAGCGGGAAATGTGAAAAAAAGGGAGGAAAACTATTAATCTTTATAAAATATGTGTATAAAAGAATAGTTTCTCTTTAAATAATCTAAAAAAATGTCCGTAACACTATGTGTCGATCTTTTAAGAGTAACTTGCTAGAACGACGGGACGCGACCGATGTCTGGGTAATAGTTTAAACTTATAAAGATGAAAAGGAGGTTGCAAAAACAGTTTTTGATGCCCAAAATAACTATACTACGCGGACGAAGTCCCTGAGACATTTAGTTATTAATAATCTTATGTTTAAGTGTCTTGTACTTCAGTGATTTATAACTATAAGATCTATTGCTGTAAAATTTTCAGACGTTTGGCCGCTTCATCAAGACTGGAGTGTAGAAGACTGTATTAGATTTCAAGAATTGTGCGTAGAACAAGAATTTGTCGCTGTGTGCAAGGAAGTAGGTAAAGATCCTCTTAATCCGAGCGAGACGCTGCTCACGCTCGACCTGATAGACACCTCGACAGACGAGGACATTTACTTAAATAAACAACTCGTAGCTGAGGAAAGAGCACGTCTTGGCTCTGCATCAATACCTGACAATTAGTGCTCGAGTATTTCAAACAAATTATAACTTCCACTGTAGACTTGATTATGCTTTGGTTTTAGATCAAGGCATATCATCCATTCTGATTCATAACTATATTAATCATAATCATATAAAGGAAATCACTATATCATTTTAGTTATAACGGAAATAGCTACATATCTGACTTGACATGTATAAGTTATATTCCACACAATTGTGTAACTGTGTATCATCTCAAAGTTTGTCTATTTAAATATTAAGAAATGTTCTAAAGTCACTGGTTCTATCTTGTTGCTGTTTTAACATATTATTTAATTATTAGTTATAATATGATGGAGTGAAGAAAAGAAATGTATTCCACTACAGGGTTAAATGAGAGCTGGATGAAGTATTTACTTTCCCTAAGTAGACTAAATGCATGAAATGTATTTCTTACTTGAAGTGATATATAAAAAGTAATACTCATTACTTACATCTAATTTGTGTCTAGGTTTATGGCTAGCAATCAAATTCTTGATTTCAATAAAAGATATGATATGAGTAGTATCCCCCAAGCAGGAATTAAGAATACAAGAACACAAATCAGGGAATTTCCAGGTTCTAATTGATTTCTTTCATAATTTTCCCCAACTTAAAATCTTTAATGCATATAATTGGCATCAAATTATTTAGCATTTTATTACTGCTACACCTCAACTTTAGTTCCTAATAATTTTTATTTAATAATCGTTTATCCTCTGCCTGCTAAGATGGGTACAGCTATATTATTATTAAACAATTGTCACCCTGATGTCCAGAAAATAACACCCATAATTTCCAATGTTACACTATTACAAATATTTGTTTAAAGTTTTAAATAAAGGCAAAAATTAATTGAAATGTGCTTTATTTATATGTCCTTAAAAGTACTCTTTGAATAGAATTTATTTCCGTAAATCATCAGAAGATATTCCATATTTCTTCTTCAATGTGTCTAATTCCTCTTGTTTCTTTTCTATATCCATACCCTTGAATGCCTTGTTAGACCTGTAGTACAAAACTACCAAGTATCTGTTGCACACATTAAAGCCAGACAAGTGATCACAAGCATTCTTTGCATCAAATATATCTTCGTACACTACAAAAGCAGTTCCTCTCGTTTCTGGTGTGTTGCCACTGAAATAAAATACAAAAAAATACATTACATTACCTTTGTAAATGTTTTACAATGATTAAATAAAGGAAATCAAAGTGCCATTTTTGTTATTTCTCTAACTAAAGCAAGCTTTCAGAAAACATTGTTTATTTGCTGAAATTTTAACTTGCATGAAAAGATAAGGAAAATATTATTTTTTTGTTAGGTTACAATGTCTACATAATTCAAAATACTGCATATGATGGGGTTTAATGGAAGGGAATGGCATTTCTTAAACTTCTATGGATCAAACAAAGGTCAAGATATGGGGAGAGTTCTGTTTACCAAATGTTATTATTAAGAACAACAATTTCAAAGTATTAAATAAAGAGAAAATCATAATAATACGTTCATTACTTACGCTCTGATTTGTCTTATAGCTCCGTATTTGCCAAATATATCATACATTTCCTCCGCTGATATTTTATAAGGCAGATTACGTATATAAAGAATTCTATTAACTTCAGGCGGGAGACGCACCTGTAACAATTAAAGATTTAATAACATTTTAAACCAAAAAAGTTAATTATGACGCATTGTTTGTACTTACATTTGCTCGTCTCTGTAGAGCTAAAGCCATGATTTTATAATTGAAAAGGCGAAAAAATTGTAATAATTATATTTTGGAGCTTGCAAAACAGAATAGAATAGCAAAAATATAAGTGTTAGCAGAAAAGTCTTGTTTTAGTTTTGTACAAGTTTTTAAATATTTATTTCTAGCACTGTATAGTGTTTTTTGTCACAATAGCTGTAAAAGTTAAATCACAGTATTTTGCAAATTATACTCGACGAGAATTAAGATACGTCTTTGCGAGTTCCTTGATTGTTTAGAAATTAGATTCATCCATAGATTGATGTAGATCAAGCAATATATAACCTTATACCTCTGTACTCTGAGGAATATACTATAACTATTACTACAACAAGCTTAGGTCACAGATGCTACAAATTTGATTGCATTTTATTTTATCAAGCTTTCTGAGCTTAATAACGGGCTTAAAACGCGTACACACTATATGTATATAGATGAAGATAGAAACATCCCATGATTTATTAAGTTAGTTTATAGTTTAAGTGCTAATAAATAATAAAAATTATGGTAGAATAATAAAAAAAATGTATCACATTAACAGTGTTGAGCATAGCAACACTGACAAACGACATGTCATCTCCTTACATGAAAATGGCGCTTGTGTTGTGTTGAAAAATTAAAAACATTCGTAGAACTGTGCTCTTATATAGTATAATTTTGGCTAGTGTTTTTGTATTATATTACATTAAAGTTAATGAAACGTGGACTGATGAGTGTACTGACCCATGTCTGCCGTGGCTCCCACTATCCCCGGTTGGTGTTATTTTACTTGTTGCAGTTATAAATTCATTTCTCAAATTATTTGGTTTGCAATTACAAGCTAAGGTACTGTATTGTAAAATAAGAGTTTGTGTTATATCGTATATTTACATTAATTAATATATTCTCATAGATTCCCTGTCTTTATACAATTATTGACGTTGCTTACATCTTACACTAATTCCGCGTGACGCGTTGTAAAAAATCGGAATACCAAGAATTGCGACGACAGTAAAGTCGCTTGTTAAGTTTGATACCTGTTAATATGCATTTATATATATATATTATTAGTCAATCCATGTAAGTATCTCAAAATTATTAGATCCTCTAAATGTTCATAAATTATTTCTATTGGTACTAGTTGTATGGCCTATTTTTTTAATGCTGTTTTAAATTAGTTTCTCGGTTAATAAATAAATACTTGGAAAATAAATGTCAGCTTATTATAATGTATAAATATATTATTTCTGATCTTACTCATATTAAGAAGGGTTATTGAGGAAATTAGGTTAATACCTAAACTTTATATAATTGTTTTTACAACTGTTTGATGATGTACTACTCTTTGAGTTATCAATAAAATTTTGTTCCTAGGGGTTGACCCAGCAAAGGAAATACAAAAACGTCGAGGTGGTAGTGTTGGGTAAGTGTTTCTTTATAAGGATATACCTATAATATGCTGTTTAACTTCAATGTTTTAAAGATAATAAATATGATTTATTGCATTTAAATATGACACCATAGTTTTAGTGACCAAAATTACAATGAGATTTCAGTAAGAGCTAATATATATTAATAATTGAATAGGCAGGAGAAAAAGCTCAGGAAGATACAATAATTTGTTTTGTTTGACCAGGACAGAGAAGTAATCATCTGCCTGTTTGTAATAAAATCCATTACCTTAGAAGAGTAAATGAGTCTTTATCTGGCAAAGACAAAAGAGTTTTACTTTATGTGAGAAGGTTAAATTGGTACATATAGATGTTATTAATCATTTTTATAACTAAATTTTGTTCTTAGGTCCGATGACGACGACGCAAGTGGTGGAAAATATACAAGGATGGAGGAGGACAATATTCAAGATAAGGAGAGATTTGCAAGGTATAGTATTTATCACAACATAAGAATTGCTAAAGGAACTGAATTATCATTTTTTGGCTTTATTTCGAAGCCATTGTGTTTCTAATAGTGTGCTTTGTATTTTTTTATTTCTAACACAAAGAAACTCTTCCCTATAGAAATTTGAAATTGTGATTTTATCCTTAATTTGTCATGTCAACAAGCAACAACATGTAGATGAATTCATATTCATGTCTGATTCCTACAGAGCCTATCTTATTGAAGGAATATAAATTTATTCTAAGTAATATATTTACATAAATTCTACCACCTATTTATCTGCATAGCTCAATAGTTACCTAGCATTCCATTGTGAGAGGTCCATTTCAAATCCTGGGGAACCAATAAATTGTTTTGGTCAGCAGGGCGCATAGTCAACGATGGTTAAAATAAAATTGATTAGTGCAATGGTCCCCCCAATGATGTCAACCCCCTGGCCCACTAAACATTTTACACCTAAAATGTACATTTCTCTTTTTTTTGTCACCAAATGCAAGGTTTGTAATATTTAGAAGCATAATGGGATAGTCATATCTAAAAGAACTTTTTTTATCAATGGTATAATTATGTGAATAAATTACAAATATAGTAGCTCCCACCTATTGTTTTGATTGAAAACGTGTCTTATCACGCAAAGCGTTTCCTTCGATATTAACTTTTTCGTTTATGATAATTTGACGCTTAGCTTTTTATGGCTAAAGCCGGTGAAATGAAAGATCCTCAGGACATTATGTATGCTTCTGAGATAAATGAAGATTGTAAATTCATTTCGTTACTTGTATTTTGTAGAGTTTTATTTATTTCAGCCGCGAAAATCATTGCGAGATCGAACGGCGCAGAAGGAACAAGATGACGGCTTACATTACGGAACTGTCTGATATGGTTCCAACATGCTCCGCTTTAGCGAGGAAACCCGACAAACTGACCATACTGCGTATGGCAGTAGCGCATATGAAGGCTTTGAGAGGTATTAAATACGATCGTTTTCAATCAACTTTTACATTTTATGATATCTTTGACGTGGTATATGTATGACTGAGAATAATCAACAGGGTTTTTTAAATTTTTGTATCTCAAATATAACTGTTTGACTTCATCTTGAAATCTGGATTTTAAATAGGTCTTTAATTTAATTGGGGAATTTAAGTACATGAAAAAAGGCAGTGAAGTGTAATCATGCGTTCCTTCTGAGGATTTCTTAACGTCCTAAACTCAAAATAAGTCAAATTTGGATCTAGTTTCGCCGTTATATTTTTGAAATTTTTAGCTACTTAAATAACTTTTCTTGTTACAGGTACAGGCAATACCTCGACGGATGGTACATACAAACCATCCTTTTTGACTGACCAAGAACTAAAACATTTAATTCTGGAAGCCGCTGATGGTTTCCTTTTTGTTGTCAGTTGCGACACAGGTCGCATTATATACGTTAGTGATAGTATAGCGCCCGTACTGAATTATTCTCAGGTATGTACTGCGTTAGCCGGATAAGCTTTAAGTTCCCTTGTTTGATTGCAACAAAAACCTATTTTTTCAAAATCAAAATCATTATATTGGTTTATAAAAATATTGTGTGAACTGAGAATCATTGTTTACACACAGGGTGAATGGTATTCCTCGTGTTTGTATGACCAAGTGCACCCCGACGATGTGGAGAAGGTGCGAGAGCAATTAAGCACCCAAGAACCACAAAACACTGGCCGTATATTAGATCTGAAAACTGGGACTGTAAAGAAAGAGGGCCATCAGTGTACGTATATTACTGTTTAAAGAAGAAATAATAACAAGTCTTCTTTAAGGTAGATGCATTGAAAAATGACATTTTTAATATTGTAGCGTCCATGCGGCAAGTCATGGGTTCCCGTCGTGGTTTTATCTGCCGCATGCGCGTGGGCGGGACGGCCGAGAGCGCTCACCTCGGAAGACTGCGCGCGCGCAACTCTTTAGGCCCCTCGCACGACGGGCACAACTACGCCGTGGTGCATTGCACTGGATACATTAAGAACTGGCCCCCCACAGGTCTGTTGCATGTTTTGGGCTCCTTTATCAGTTATAATCGAAACATTATAACAAATTAAAATTCAAAATTTTATGCGTTTTGGGAAATCAGATCTGTTTCCAGGTATGCAGATGGATCGACCAGTCGAAGATGAACTGCACGCGTCTCATTGTTGTTTGGTGGCTATTGGTAGATTACAGGTTAGTAGTAGTCTTAGGTAATAAATTATAAAATCTACCACCTGACTACCTGTTAAGCATAAGATACTCTGGGTTCGAACTCTAGAGAACCAATCGATCGTATTCGTTATCAAGACACTAGTCAAACTAAAGACTTGCCTAAAATAAAATCGATAGACCACAGAGAAAATAGGATCTAAATAAATAAAATGTAAATTGTAAAAGCCTTTCTCGGTCAGTTTTTTGCATTTTTTGGTCAAGTCCTTTTCGTTGGAATCATTCTCGAAGATTTGCCACCTCGAATGGATCATTTTCAGGAGACATTGGACACCTGAATATCGAACCGTTCTCTACTAACACCACAAAGTAGAATCACATTTCGACTTCTTTTCGAGACCTGCACAAATAGTATCGTGTACCACTTATTATTGTAACACATATTTCTGATATCAACGGTCCACATACAAACTCCAACTCTTTAATAGGTAACGTCAACACCCAATGCGAGTGAAGGCAGTCTCTGTAGCGGCGGCGTAGAGTTCGTCTCTCGCCACTCTGTCGATGGGCGTTTCACGTTTGCGGATCAGCGAGCCGCACAAGTCATCGGCTACGCGCCGGCTGACCTCCTGGGCAAGCTGTGCTACGAATTCTACCATCCGGAGGACCAGCAACACATGCGAGACAACTTCGATCAAGGTTTCCTTATATGATACTTTGTCTGTGATGATAACCGTTTATACTGTAACAACCAACAATATATTATTATTATTGTTAATGTATATATAATACTATTAATGTACTATTTATTTCAGTTCTGAAACTGAAAGGACAAATAATCTCGCTGATGTACCGGTTTCGGACCAAAAGCAGAGAGTGGGTATGGTTGCGTACATCTGCTTTCGCCTTTTTGAATCCGTACAACGACGACGTCGAATACATCGTGTGCACCAACACGTTAGCGAAGTGAGTTCATAGCAAATTCACTTTGTGCTAGTGCGTAGAAACAATACCAAAGCTAAGAGATTTTTATTGACTGCCCTGGACAAGCGCTGTGTTCGTGACACGCATAAAATTTCCAAATGAAGTATAACATGTTAAATAAAATAAATAAATTGGGTTGTAGACTGGTCGGTATTGAACTAGCCAGTCCGTCAAAAGCAAGTTAACACGGGTATGGGTTTTCAATAGGAATGCTCCCATGATTTAGAAATACTGATGCAAAGTTTGTTTCGTTCAGTCGTTCTTTGGGCAGCGCGACCGGTGAAAGCGTCTCGGAGGAAAGCTACGACTACCACTTGCGGCAGCGCGACGTGTACCAGGCACCTCCGCCGACGTTGCACCAGCACCATCACGCCCCTGCGCCTGCGCCATTACATAGTACGTCTTGGTTTTTTATTTTCTTACATTATTATTGTTTTTACGCTTAATATTGGTGGATTGTGCCTCTTTGTCGCTCGTTCCGCGTTCTCACTTGCACTTCACCTCAGAGCGAGGTAACGCCACTTTCTTTATGTTTTTTTAGTACGTTTAGCTCCTTCAAATTTATAACGTTGTTACGTCGATAATATATTTATGTATTCTGGCTCATTTCTAACTTCTTTATTTTCCAAGGTGGGGCCGGTACTGTTGGAGGAGTAGGTGCGAGGTCACCGGCCGAGGCAGTTGCGGGCGCGACGGGTGCAGCCTACGCAGCGCACTATGCACCCGAATACTCGCCGCATCGACCCGCTAACACTCCACCGCACACCACGTGGACCACACTCAGGCCGGTTAGCATAAAGACTGCAAAATAAAAAATAAATCTTGTCTTCCCACCGTGAGCCAATCATGGGTAGCGACAGAAGGTCGTTTTTGGCTAAACCGAGGACATGGGACAGCCGCTGTAATATGTCTGTTTCACCTATCGATTTATGAAGAGGCATGAAGTGATTTATACTTTGTTGCCCTACCCGGTAAAAACGCTATACTTGCGTTTCAGGGATTTGAACCTGGGATAACTTGTTTTTTTATAACAGAGGCAGTGCAAACTAAAGATCGACTAAGTCATTGTTTTCTTTTAGAGCGGTAGTGGTGGAGGTGGGGGCGCAGGCGAGGCCTACGCGTACGCGGCAGGTGCTGCGCCCGGTTCTGGAACGGAAGGAGCTGGCACTGGGGGAAGTCCTACACGTTCTCCCCCGGCGCCTCCCTATCTGCCACCGGCACACTACCATCACAACCACCATCCACACCCTACACACGGTATTGCATCGAGTTATTTTCTGTTAATATTACACCTATATATGTAAAAAAAAACAAGAATTCTATCTTGTCTAATTCCATAATGCCTAGCAATTTAATGTCAAGTGCTCTTCTTTCTAAACAGACTACTTATTATTCCATATTGTTGGTTGTGTAGCAGGCATGTGGGCATGGCAGGGTGGGGCGGGTGCGGGCGGAGCCACCGGCGCAAGCGCAGCCGGTACGGAGGGCGGACATGCTCCGCACGAATTATCGGAAATGCTGCAGATACTCGACCAGAGCGGGACGGCCACCTTCGAGGACCTCAACATTAACATGTTCAACTCTAACTTCGAATAGTCCTAGCCTTGCACTGTCCACCGTTCTGACGTGTCGACAGGCCCAACTGTATACAATGTATAGATCGGTTAAGTTTATCGAAATAAGGGATATAAAAATAAATATTTCATTTTTAAGTAAAAGATGTTCTTTAACCGAGTTTTGCACTTGAAACAAAAATGGAACCAATTCTGCTTCTATCAAGAACTATTATATAGTTGAGTGTTTGTTATTATCGGTAAAGATTACAGAAAGTATTATTTACTGTTAGTGACATCGAAAAAAGAAGCGTATGCAATTTGCTATTAAATGAAGCAACTATTAAATCGTGTACATAATATTTCCAAATAGTACACGAAACGAAAAAGCAATCGAACATTTGTACTCACGCTTCTGTAACTCGTCTTCGGTAGCTTATTATTTCATTACTTGACGTTTGACTCGCGATAACAAGTGTATGATATAAACTATTTTTCTAGTTCACCGTCGTATTTAGACTTAAAAAGTGTTAATTATAAATATGTTATTTTTTTTAACTCTCTTGTGCATTCCAAATTGTAATACTCGAAAGGAAGTACGACCTTAATAAATTGTAATATACTTTCGCGGCCATCTTTTCTTGGGATATTCGGGTGGCGTACCTGAAAACAATTTCTGAGACGTCGGCCTAATAGCCTGCAGCGACTACGTTAATTTTCCGTTATTGTTTATGTCTTTATGGTCATGGGCGTATTCAGATTCTGGTCTAGGAGAGAGCCAAACCAAATTGCTGTTTACAATCTGTATACAAAGCGTTAAGTGGCGATCTTTAAGTAGTTGGGTCATTGAAATTTCCTGTCCTTTTTCAATTGGGTTTTCAGGGGGTGATAGCTGTCCTCCCCCTCCCCCGGGTACGCCCATTATTGTGGTTTTTATCATTATCAATATTTATACATTATTATTGAACGGTAGGATTGTTTAGGTTATGTTAAGTGAAAAGTCCGAGAGATCCGTGTTCTTTGAAAAACAAAATTCGGTTGCAAAAAATCACGCTGCACCGTGGATTTGTGCCTCGTATCTCGACTTGGTTTTTATAATTAGTTTTTAATGACAATAGCAAATTTATGGTATTATCTTGACGCCGCGAAGACCGGGCCGCGTGGCACGCGAATAACGCTGTCAATAGTAATTAATTGTTTATTACGTTAATTTTAAGAAAATGAAAATACGTCTAACGACCGGCAGATTCATTTGGCTAATGTGTTCCGTATTTTTTTGTTAGATCTTCCTCGTATACATATATCATTTATATTGCAAAGTGTGAACGGCTAATAATAGCTTTACAATGCTGTTAAACGCCTCTGAACCGACCCGTTACCGTTATCGAGCCTTAATTAAGCTGTTCGCACACAGCGATGAGGTAGAAGCTAAGCTATCAGTTTCAATCTTAATTTTTTTAAAGGAAAAAATAGTATTGCATTTATGAAATGTCTCATTTGCAAATTTATATTATTTTAATTGATGAAAATATACTTTTTATTGATATACACATTATTTGTTTTACTAAATCATTTCATATAAAAAACAAGGTACAATTAGATTTATATATTTACAATAACGAGACTGAGTTGGTAACGAGAGCATTAAGCCAAGTTTTATTTTTGAAGAGCGTTGCTCGACCATCTACAATTAACATAAAAAAAAATAGATACAAAACCTAGTTTAAAATTATAAATCTAATTTTTAACTCGCTCTCATTAAATATAGTCCTCATTAAGAAACCTGGTTCACTATTACACAGTCAGTACTGAATATTTATTGCTAAATGTTCGCCTCCCATGTCAATTGTGAATTATCTATATAAACTACTGGTTTGAGCGTTCTTATTTTTAAAAATTGACAGTTTTACATAACAGACATTCCCATTATCAAAACCCAAATATTTTCATCGCAACCAAAATTCTTAAAAATTATGTCATTTGCTCTAACACAGGTTCATTTGTGAAGTTATTGGTCAAATATGGATGGAGAACCTGAGGCATTATCAGATACGGCCACCAACTGCAATCTCGCGTCCGCTTCCGAGACCTTGTCTGACAATAACCAAGCGAGGCTCGATTCGCTAGAAAAGAAAGCCGTCCACTTAAGGTTTGTAAATGGCCTTATATGCAACGACGAAGCCGTGCTAAACGAAACAGCGATGTACAATACCATACATTTTCCAGGCTAGTATTGGAAAAAGACTTCAAAGCTGCCGACATAAAGTGGAGCCTTTTTGTGGCAGCGGCGTTCAGTTTTCGATACGAAAGTTGTTTGAGACCATTTCCACCGGCATTTATGAAAAATGGTGTTAAAGATATGGATGAATTAGTTCGTATTTTATTTACCATTCGCCGAATTAAAAAATTCCACCGTTCCAAAAATGTTTATTCTCTTCTAGTTGAGCGTCATTACGGATGTTCCGGCGTTAGATTTGGTCTTACAACAACTGGACAATTTGGATAATCTGGAACACATTAGTGATATCGTCGATTTATTATTCTATGTTCTGGTTAGATTAAAGGAGCCGAGTTTAAAAACTGTGCTTCCAGAGTCGGTGTGTATTCGGCTTTTTGTGTTTACGTAAATCTATTAGTAATTTTGGTTCTGTAGCAAGGTAAGTATTCAATCACCCTTTCAGCATGAAGCAATTCTGATAAATGCACATTCTACGAAGCCAGCTCCGAAACCGCAATTTATTTTTCAAGTGGTGTATTCTTCCAAGTCGAATTCGGAAATAAAATGGAAAGAGTTGTCCAAAAACCATAAAGTATTTTATGCTTACCACGGCAATCGTTTGGAACACTTTTACACGATTCTCAACTTTGGAATCCAGCAGCATTTGAACAAGGTATGTATTTATAAAAAGAAAAATAAAGAAGAAATCTAAATGACGCAGACCAAACCTCTAATCGGTGACGTTGAAATATTCACTTCACTTGGTCCAATTGATTTATTTGTTTTTCTTAACAGACAGTTACAATAGTTCAATAAAAATAATAATTACGCAGTAATATTCCAACATTAATATTTTTTTATTTATTTTTATCAGACCACATTGCTGGGTAACGGAGTTTATCTTTCGCCCGAGCTCAGCATCAGCATGCCTCATAGCCATGGTGGTTTTGGATGGGGGGCTAGTTGTATCGGGGGGCACTTGTCGTGTGTCGCCCTATGTGAAGTAATCGATGCCCCTGACGGAATAAATTATCAGAGACCCGTCTCCAATGAAGGTATCAATGTTAACCTTATTAGGATGACCTTTGGGCGTAGTCAGTATGAGTCCTAGTTGAGGATGTAAGTTAATTTTTTTTATCCTATGGGGTCTCGTTTATGAGCATACAAACTCCTTTAAGCCTGTCTTTAATTATCCCTTTAGTAGGATAAGAAACTTCGGCTTTTTGGTTTTCCAGGGGGCGACTGCCCTCCCTTTTTATCTGGGTACGCCCATGGGTAGTTCTCCTTGAAAAATAGTAGAAGAATGAATGTTTGCTATTCATAGGAGATGGCCACTACAAAGAAGACAGTGAAGGACCTTCAGAGCAGACCTTTGATCCAAAGACGGCGCATTATGTGGTTACCAATTGTGATTTAGTTCGCGTGCGATATTTACTCGTTTACGCCAAGCAACCTGCGTCCATGAGATTTCCTACCTCGAACCCGAATAGAAACGGTATTTATACGATAATATATCTAATTTAAGATAAATAGGGAAATCCTGGTTTTTCCTGAGAGGTATGTGGCAGACGCACTGTGCCTATATGTGGCTTGTTCCCCGAGATTCGAACTATGGACGTCTCACTAACCAAGCAACAAATTTAATCATTGCGCTATAGAGGCGGTCTTTAAAACACTCAGTTGGTAACTGCAAGAAAACGCAATGCTCGTATAGTCGGCTTTAATTCTATCTAGAAAGTTTTTTAACAAATGCTTATGAAATACTGTCTATAGTTTACGCGAGTAGTACACATTTAAATAAAACACTTTAACGGTTTAAAACGCGATATATCATTTTCAAATAAGTTTAACTAATATATCGCGTTTTAAACCGTTAAAGTGTTTTATTTAAATGTAAGCTACTTAGGTTTTTGAGCCTCTTGGTAACAGGCGACGCTGAAGATCTATTGTCAACCACTCGTGATAAGGAAATGTCGAGAATCACTCCTCAGTTACAACGGCCATTTTAAATAAACCAAGTAGTTTTACAAAATGGCCGCGAAACACTTATACAAATGGTTTATGAAGGATACTGAAATTGCAGCTGGCGGTCTGCGAGATTGGGTCACGAGACACAAGTTGTTTTCTATTCTCCTCGGTTACGGATTACTCCTAGCGACCATTGGGTTTGCCAGTAACCAACCCGTTAACTACTACTACAAAATGATACTAAAGAAACTAGATGTAGCCCTTAGTAACGTTAAAGCGTAAACGACACTTTTGATTTTGTACAAATTTTTTGTTCTCTTTGTTTTATATTATAGACTTACATATCATGTTTGAAATAAAACTGTTGTTTAAGAAATCCATTACTCGTTTTAATTTGTTACAGAACATATTTCGTATAATAAGTCCTCACTAATTATACGAAATATGTTAGCAACAGCACGGAACGCTGACGCCGATTCAAGTCCTGCCCGAGTCGAAAATTTTTTCAATTTATTTTCGATTTTTAAAATCTTGTAATTGTCTCGGGATATATTTTTTTAAAGAAATACTTTGTGCATTTCCATAGTTTTACTTAAATTCTATTAAAAACGATTTATGAAACTACATATTAAATTTTCATTGTATAAGTAATTACATAAAACACATTTTTTAAACTATGACCTGACAATAGGCAGTATGGTATCGTTTTTTTTAGGGGGCAATACAATAAACTAAAATCTAGTACTATCTGAGTGAATTAAACAGGAGTCAAATAATGTGGAGATATATACGATTAATATAGAGTAGTGAGGGCTATAAATTGTTTTAGAACAATAGATGGCCATTATTTTCACGCGTCGGAGCATTTGTCCATTGTACGTCCTTTCATGATTTTGTCGAAGCGGATGTCCACCGCCAACAATCACTTTCATATTAGAGGCACACGTTATTTACGCAACTTGCACTTTGGTCGATCGAAACGTTCAGAAACGTAGCCTAACATGTTTAATTTATGTATTTAACTTGTGCCTTCTAGAAGTAAACATGTTAATTATCTTCTTATTCTATTCCGTAAATGTTGTGTTCAGCCAAGATCCTGTCGCGAATTTAATACAAGGACGTGTTGTGGGTGTAAGTATTTGTGTTATATATAAGTGTAAACCTCACACTGACTGCAACTTTCAAGCTTTCTTCCAGATAAAAGTATTTCAAGAAAGTTCTCTTACTCCTATTGAAATATATTTTGGAATACCATACGCCGCCCCACCGACTGGAAGACTTAGATTCTCTGTAAGTATACACTACATAGAGTACATTTATGTATACGTTTGACTAATCGAATAGGCAAATAGTTTTGTGCCATATCCGACCGAAACAGTTTATCCGGGAATGGAACTCCGCACCAATTGTTTTCCCAATGCAATTTGAATAGTAACCGTTGATCTTCGGAGATGGCCAAAACGTTAGATACTGAATATTGCTATACTTATTCAAAATTTTTGCAGCCACCAGAGCGACACAGCGGCTGGAAAAGAACTTATTTTGCACATCGCGTAGCACCAAGTTGTCCGCAGCATAATCAGACGGAAAACGATTCGAGTGAAAATTGTCTTTACTTGAATATTTGGACCAGTCGGGTTAGAAAATATTGATCAAACGTAATCTAACATTTCAAAAAGCTTGCACCATTTGAAAAATTGATATCGAAAGTAGTTTATAGGTAGCGGGTGGACGGACGGCCGCAGCCAGTTATCGTTATCCTCTATAGTGAGTCTTGGACTGGTGGGGCTCTAAATCTGCCATGCCAGGAATTGGCTTCGGAAGGCGTCGTAGTCGTTACCGTGTCGTACCGGCTCCACTTTCTATCGTTCTTTACGTTGAAATCTGCGAAAGCACGAGGCAACCTAGCTCTACTGGATCAATATCTAGCATTACTATGGGTGCACGAAAACATATCTGCTTTTGGAGGAGACCCGTCATCGGTCACGTTGTTGGGTCACTCAGCTGGTGCGGACAGTGTTTTACATCACATTATATCACCGCGAGCGACTGGTAAGTTTCGAAAGTGGAACAGTCAACAATTAGAACATTCGATTAGAAATCTAATAGATTATTTAAAAACCTAAAATTAATTGAAAAAAATTTCGACTCAGGCAGTACTTGAACCGGCATCATCAGCGTTCCGTGCTGTTGCTCTACCAATTGAGCTACTGAGTCAACAACAAGTTGGAGAGCAATAGCTACGCTGACGATGCCAGTTCAAGTCCTGCCTGAGTCGAAATTTTTTTCAATTTATTTTCAATTTTTAAATTATATACTTAGTGCCTTCATGTGCAATAACATGAAAAAATAAGAAAGTTTTCAATGTATAGATTTATTATTTAGTAACTTGTTTATGTTTTTTAACTATAGGTCTCTTTCATAAGGCCATAATTATGTCTCCTCATAATACCTGGCAAGGAATCTCCGGGGACAAAACTGTCACAGCGGATGAAATCGCTAGAGTGTCGCGCGAGGTTGCTCAATCTGTAGGATGCTTAAATTACACCTCTAGAGATGAAGACGTTTTGTATTGTATGCAAAATAAGCCGCTGAAAGATTTTACAATTTCCTTTACGGTTAGATTTTAAACTATATAGTTTTAAAAATGGTCAAAATTACTTTTGCATACTAAGTAAGCTTTTCTAATATTTTCAGAACAAAACTTTGGAAAAATATATGCAACCGATATCTGACGATTTCCTACCAGAATCCATACAATATTTACCACTTTCAATTGTAAAAGTGTTAAAAAATCCGACTAACTTTTATGTCCCGATAGATATTATGCTGGGCACTACAGATCTTGATAGCGTGAAGCCCCTCGGTAAATACTTGTGATATTTATATAATGCAGAGACGTTTTCCTAAGACCACTTAAATTTGATAGTAAACTTAAAAATGTTTATACAATTTCAGATAGTCGCTTTAAAAGTCTTATCACGAAGAGCTACAAACAAATCTATGATTTTTCGCTAGAGAAAATAATCCCAGACATATTACATGCCCTTTCATTGAATAATCCTGAAACACTTCAGACCGTGAGTACCTAATTGTGTGTAACTCAACAAACCAAACATATGGATGGGCCCGTTGGTCTAAAGGTCTGGAATATCCGATTCTATGAATTGTCGAAAGCGGATCTCGCTAAGATATTTCACCTTCCACCCAGTGAACGTCACGCCAGTCTGCCTTTGTCATAGTCAATTTAGTCCTTTTTAATGTAAACATACTGTTAAAAATGAAGGTAGTGTTGAACTTTTGTTTTTTTAATGATAGAGGAAAACAGACAAGCATCGGGTTAATTTGATGGTAGGGGAAATACTCCAGCCAATAGCATCTAGCAAGATGCACTGTCTACCTAACTTGTCTTTGAATGCAATTTCAGTATTTATTTCAGTTAGTAAATGCCGTGGTCTGGGAATACTGGGATCCCGAAAGGGACGCGTTAACGAGTTACAAAGCTGTAACTTCTTTAGCTGCAATGGATACAGCAGTTAATTCAGCCGTTGGAAGCTATTATCTTGCTGAAAAATTGTCAAACCATGTGTCGAAAACTTTCGTTTACCGATATTCTCAGCCAACTAAGGTTGATCTTCAGGGTAATCGCCTTAATTTTACAGGTGAATAGATTAGTATTTTTCTTGGCATTACTCGTTTAATTAAGGTTTTTATTTGGAAGCTACAAATCCTACTTATTAATTAGTTGTTTGTTTCAAAGCCAAAAATATATTTTAAGCTTTTTTTAACGGTTTAAAACGCGATATATTTTACCTAAATTAATTTTAATTTAATTTAACCACGGCTCGACGATTTTGATGTTTTACAACAGGTCACGGTGGAGACTAGTTAAATTAAAAATAAGTAAACTTTTATATTACACGTTTTGAACCGTTAAACTGTTTATATTTAAATTTGTACTACTCGCTTAAACTTCAATACTTAGTTTATAGCTATATTTTACCGATAATGAAATATTAACGTTTTGTTTATTGTGAAAATAGGAGCCGTTAATGGAGCCGATCTCATTGCACTATTGGGAGATGCAATTACCTTGCAAGTGGCGAGAAGGCCCAGTACGATGGAAGAAAAGCAGATATCTAAAACATTTAGTCAATATATTTTTAATTTCATCAAATTTGGGTGTGTGGTTATTCATTGATATAGGTACTAGAGTGTAGCCAAGTTGAATATACTAGTACTTTTTTATTTCAGATCACCTACGACCGAGGTAAATTGGCCACGCTTCACAAGGAACGACAAGTTCATATTTGAGATTTGCGACGACGAAATTAATAAATATTGCACTTTGAAAAACGTCAACAGAGACATACGTTTTTGGTTACAATACTTGCCAAGTCTTGCGAATACAACGCGCGGTCACAATGGTTTTTCCGACAGGATTGTTGGCGACGGAGGTTTGAGCCTGTTTCTCGTTATACCTACCAACATATTATGTCTTATATTGTTTAATTCCGCTTGCTTACTACGTGTAAATTTAGTCTTATAAATGATACTAGCTGTGCCAGCCACTTCGTCCGCGAGAATCGTTATTTTGGGCATTCAAATAAGTTTATGCAAACCCTTTCTCTTCTTTATAAACTTAAGCTGTAAGCCATAACGTCGATCGCGTCCCTTCCCGTCGTTCTTGCTAGTTAATCTTAAAAGATAGAAATATAGCGTCGCGGACTTTTTTTGATCATTTATAAGTGAATCATTCTTTCGTACACAATTTTTAGGTATCTTGGACAGTTTTCGCAGCGTACTCATCTGAAACCTACAGATATGAAAAACTTTTCCCGTTTTGTTCACATTTCTCGCTGTATCTTCGCTCCTATTTGTCACATCGTAATGTGTTATAGATTCTTCGATAAATGCTCTAACCAACACAAAAACAATTTTACAATGCGGGCCCGTTACTTTCTGAGGTTAGCGCGTTTAAACAAACAAACTAACTCTTCAGCTTTATATATTAGTATGGATTACTGTATCCCTAAGTAATGGGATAGATGCAATGGTAAATTTTACTATATACTAGTTGACCTCTCAAACGGTCTCTTGCCATATTAAGCTTTTTGTGAGTGGTTCTTGTGAGTTAATAAAAGATAGGTCATTATATCTCGGACATTATGTGGATGATCTAAGAAAGAATAAGTTTTTATATATATTTTCGCAGCGCAGGCAACTCAAGCCCTCAAAGATTAACAATTTTCCCACATTTCCCTCTGTTTCATCGCTTCTATTGGTCGCGGTCTAATGTTTTATAGCCTAAAGCCTTCCTCGATACCTAAATGGTCGAGCTGGCACAATAATAATTTTTCAATTCGAAGTAGTAGTACTTGACAAAAATTAGGTTACATTCCACGTTTCTAATCCATGTTTCAGGAGAAAGTCGACTAAGAGGTGGTGTATATGCTATGTGTGCAATCACCTTTACATTACTGTTGCTTCTATTTACAAGTGGAATCTTACTTCATAGAAGACGCTTTTACCGACCATCGTCATCGGACTCACAAATTGTTTATTAAAAGTATTAAAAACATTTAATAAAAGTCAATTCAAAAATGTTTTTTTTTTATGAGATATGTTGGTCTAATGGTAGCTGTTTAGTGCTAATTAAAAGGGTAGACTCTAAGGTTCGATTCTCACCGGTCTTATAAGTCACAGCTGAGGTGAGCGCTGATAAGGATGTTGCGTAAAGACTTCCTACGAAAGAAAGCAAAGCTTAAATCGATGACAAAGTATTTAAGTTGAATCACATTTTAGTTATAAAAAGCTCTGCTATCTCAACTGCGGTTAAAGCTTTTTAGCCTTTAAGCGCTTCAGAACTTTAATGATAACTAAAAAGTTTGTACATTTCTGCGCTAGTGTTATATAGTAAGTAAGGAGTGAAATGAATGGTCCATTTTCGTATTACGACTACAATGTAGCAGTACATATATACCAGTAGAATAATACATATTGGGCTACACTTAGAATTCTTTGTAGGTAAATCTGAGAAACATTCTAATGGCCGATCCACACTCTCCACGAGGCGACACAAGAGAATGCGAGTGCTAAAGTGTGGACGAGGGAGTCAACCACACTCGCTCGCTTACTTAGTTGGTGATTGCTGCCGTCCATTTTGTACTAGACGGTGCGAGCAACTAAATAATATGGAGAGTGTGGATGTCTAGCACTCTTGCCGGCTCCGCTCGCCAAGACTCGTGCCCAGAGGCTCTAGGAGGCGCCTCGCGAGAGTCTGGATCCGCCATAAAAAGTACCGGTTTAAAAATATAACTTCTGTTTGTTACAACTATGCCCAAAAAAAATATTTACAAGAATAATAGGAACTCTTTGCAATAAAAACACTATGCATAAAGAATATTGTTTATGGTTGATAGTATTATCGCTGTGGTAACTTAAATAAAGACTTTCTGTGGGCAGTTCACTGCTTCTAAAACTCTAATCTGTGGTGTGCAAAAATAATACGCGGTGATTATCGTGATCACTTTCTCGTATGATAAATGATAATATGTCAAACTCAAAAGAGAATTGAGAAACAGAAAATCTAATTTCTGATAACATAAGTGTTAAAAAACCTAATTGTACATAAAATATAATACAGGTACTTACAGAATATCTCCCCAAAGTTATGTCTATAAATATTACTTTAATTCGATATTTATTAATAGGGATAACATGAAAGAAATATATCGTTTTTGAAATCCATGTAAAATATTTTGTTTTAGTTAATATAATAATAAGCGCACAGTTTGACTTACATGCGAAATTGTGTGTAATTTTTTTATGATAATGCAATAATTTCCGGTTTCAGAATACTAAATATGGAATTGCAGAGATAAGAAACGTAAAAATATTGACATGAAAACAATTCATTTATATATAATACAATTTAGTACATTAGTCATTTAAACTATATATTAAGTTACATACTGCAGCAAAATGAGTAAAACTCCCCAAGAGTTTATTCAAAATTCGTTTTCACCACTTGTAGCAACATTGTGCTCCTCTAAAGTAGAAAATATAGTGTCCAAAAGTAACCTGAGTTTGCCTGAATTATTACAACCGTTTGCGGCATTTAACTGGGAAGGCTAGTATTTTTAATACATATCGTAGTAAATAATACATTAATCTTGTTCAGCCATTACTACATCATTCTTATGCTTTGTAATGTAAATTGTTACTTTTAGGTCAATTTCGAGAGCCAGGAGGCACTGTGTGTACAGTAAAAAACTGGAAATTAGTTTTAAGAGATGTAAATTGGAAACCAGTTCAACCCACTGAAGCTAGAAGACAACTGAATAATGCTGTATTATATAATTATAATGAAAAAACAGTAACCAAAAATATTGGTACAACACTAAACATTTAGAATTTTAAATTTCTGCTATTGTCTGAATTAGAACATGTTTCATTGAGTACAACTTCATTTTTTGTAGAGGGTCACAAGTTTGAAGTACCACAGGAAACACCATGGTTTGATGCTTGGAGAGAAACTTACTTCCAAGTTCAGTTTCCATCAGATCATGAGTTTACAAAACACTTTTTGTCCTGTATAATTGTGGCAACCACATTGGATGATGATATTGTGGATACATTCAACAGTTTGAATCAACAATATGCTCAACTTCAAAATGTTACCCCACCAAAGCTTCCTAAATGGTTTAATAATTCTGTATTGAAGTCTTATTTACTTCTGCATGATGGTTCCTTGGCCTCAAAAGAAAAGTAAAAAAACAATTACATAAGATTTGAAATATTCTCATGTAAAGACTTTTTACTTTTATTAAATAACTTATTGTAGAGCAGATGCAGCCCTGGAGGCTATGAAGCAGACATTTGGAGCGTCCAACTGCTTTATGTTAACAATAAATTCAAGGCAGCCAACCGATGCCAAATTACCTGTGGACTATTGGGAGAGTTGTATGAAAAAACCTCAAGAACCATCTAGTCAATTGGTAAAAGAAATACAGTTTTCTACTCTTTATATGTTGCCCACATTACAATATGTACCAATATTGAATCAAGAATGTCATTGCGTATATGTATTTAGATGTAAAAAAAAAGTCTAGTAGAATGTAATTTAATTTTAACTTGCCACACTTAAAATTACCACGACTTATTACACTAATATTATAATGCAACATTTGTATTATTATGTATGCAATAATACAAATAATCACTTTTCAGAGTGTGTTATCTTCATCAAGCACAAACCTATTCTATCCAGCCCAGGAAGTGTCAACCACAGTCGCATCAGAGAATACATTAACACCAGGTTTGTCTAAAACTTACATACATTTGGAGTGCTGCATATCAAGTAAAATCCTAATATATAGCAAGGAGACATATGTTTTATCTATTCAAATCACATAGCATCTGTTCACTATAAAGCTTATTTCAGATGAAAAACCAATTACAGTGACGGCTAGCCAAGAAGGTAATCATCCGTTAACTACTAGTGAAAATGATGTTTACGATCAGGCTAACAGTCTCCAGGTAGATTTTAAAAAATTGAAAACTGGATATTTTTGAGATATCTAAAAATAAATTCATGTTACTTTATACATTGTTTCAGACTCATTCGTTTTCGGATAGTTCAGAGAGCATGAATGTAATCGGGAGACCTTTAGATAATGCAGAACATGGAACGGCGCTTAACTCTAATGATGTTGAGGCGATAAACAAGTTCCTACAAGACTATGCGTCCAAGGCATTACTGCCGCATATAGAGAAACAAATTGCACAGCTAACTGAAGTGGTATGTTTAATTGCTGGCATCTGCTTTAGGCTGGTACTCGAAATATTCATAGAAAAATTTTAAATATCCATTTAACATTTCGCGCAATCCTAGTTACGAACCCGCTACCTACATAATTTACAATGTCAGTTGAAACTACAGTTGGGGTGTACCAAGGATGCAGATTGGCTGTTCTTTAATATTATCAAACACACACGCACAATTTTTAAATTAAAGCCTTTAAATTTTTTTTTCATAATTTTAATCAAGGTGGCAAACAAAAAGGGTGTGAGCAGATCATTGCTGTCAGCGACCAAAAGATGGTTTACAACAGGAAAGTCTGGTACAACTACTGTGAACAATACCGTTGTGTAAGTAAAACTGACATATGTTGACGTTGTACAGAATTTCGTATCTCTGTGAACAGTGCAGTCTCCTAGTAACAGTACCGAGCTTAACTGAGTGGTTTCTGGTGGTGGTTATATAATTTTCGACGGACTACTTGGTCTAATGGTAGCAATGTGTGGCTGATAATCGACCACCGGTCGTGTTTTCAATAGCCACCGGGTCCAACAGGTTTTTAATCAATTAATTTTTTTCTGAAACATGTTGGACTTCATCTGGAAATTTGAATATTAAATAGGTGGTGGGGTCGTCCGGGTCACGAACCACTGTCCCCAAATGAAAAAGCCGTCAGTTTAATCGTGTTTCGGTATCTGTAAATTTCCGAATATCCAAAGCCAGCGCATCTAGTGTACATGTTATATGGCTATGGTATTTCAAGTGAACCTCATGCGTGTCTTTCCAGATATTCAAGTGAATGTCCAGAGCTGCAATTGCGCCGTTTGGGAGACCTGTGGTTCCTCTGCGGACAGTGGCAGCGCGCCTTCGACGCGTACCACACCGCCAAGAGGGAGTTTTACGCGGACAGCGCGTGGCTCTGCTACGCGGGTGCGCTGGAGATGGCGGCCGTCAGCGCGTTCATGGCGGGCGAGGCGAGCCGGAAGACCCACGCCTACATGGAGGAGAGTATCAATACCTATCTCAACACGTGCAGGTAAATCTCTTACGCCTATGGTGGTACTAATGTCTCGTCATAATACTATGTGTATATCAGGTTTTAGGAGGTCGCGAGAGGACCGTCAAAACGTCCTTCTAACCTTAAAGACTCTTAAAGGTTCGTAAAATAATGATGCATTTCTGCCACCAACTTAACAATTTCGTAACAGATATTGGTACCTTTTTGCGACATTTGTCTTTCCATAAAGTAATACATCTTTATAAATTTGGCTTATTTGTTTAGTGCTAATATTTGGAGCGAATACACATTTAAATAAAATACTTGTAACGATTTACAACGCGAAATATACTAGTTACTGTTTTAATTCTGCCCAAATACCAACAACGAGAAAACATGGTGCTAACGTAGCTGATTTAACTTTGACATTAGACCCCCCTTCTTTTTTTGACACCCCATTACCACGGCTGCTAGTGTAGTTAAAATAAATCGTAAATAAGTTAACTAATATATCGCGTTTTTATTTTAAATTAATTATTTTCTAGAATGGTTCAATATGCAGTCCGCGCTACCTTGCTATCGATACCTTGTCTTATACATTGCGGACTGCACGGAGAGGCCGCGAAGCAGTTGATACGAATGACATCCGAAGACAGTGACCTCAGGAGTGCCATGCTCTTGGAACAAGCGGCGCTCAGCTTCCTATTGGGTCCTAGTAACAGCATAATGAGCAGAAAATACGCCTTTCACATGGTCCTCGCCGGTCATAGGTTCTCGAAGGCCGGGCAGAAGAAGCATGCCTATCGTTGTTATAGACAGGCTTATCAGGTACCTAATCTTTATCTTTTGAACCACTTTTAATAAACAATCGTACAAGGTTTCTTCTAATTATTATTATTAAGACCTAATTACCACGACCCAATATCTCGAAATCCTATGTATTATAATAGCCGTATTGGAGCTATATAAGGAGAAACCTGCTCTAACAAGACACAATACGTAGTGCACCTAAAATACGTGAAGGCTGTAAAATGAAACTTGGCGATAAAAAAAGTGGCGGCGAGTTTCTTGCCAATTCTTCTAGTCCGGTCTACGCCCTTGATTTGAGACGTGGTAGTTAATGTAAATTGAGAGTCTAGTTTTTAACTGACGTGACGGTCATAAGTGTACCTAGTTACATCTTTTCCTATATAAAAGTTTAATTATTTCAGGTGTACGAGCACAGCGGTTGGCGTCTGTCCACAGACCACGTGCAGTTCGCACTTGGGCGTCTGGCGGGTGCTCTGAAAATGTCGCGCGAAGCGGCGCAGTGGCTCGCTTCTCCGCTGGCACCTTCGGGACATCAACTCGCGCCGCAGCAGGACGCCTTCCTCAGGGAATTTATGCTCGCACATCAGGTTCGTACACATTATACTTGCCCTTTTTTCTGACGGTGCCATATAAAGTATTGTTTTCTTAAGTTGCCCCACGTGACATGGGTTAGGCCACCCAGTATACAAGATAAACAACGGTATGACTGTACCATGATAAACAATTACAAATAATATATAAAAGAGCGTATTTAAACAATAATAGAGACAAGAGCACTACTAATATTATGAACATTAATAATTAGAATATTTTGTACTCTACAATTTGGTGATAAACATAAAACTCGAAATAATACTTTAGATATAGTTGAATTAGTACAAAGAGTGTGTGTGAGTGTGTTTTATATGCTTTCTTTTATTCCGAATGCGTAAGTAGATCTAAATTTTAATAAATTAAAAGGAATCACAGATTTCATATCTGTATTATAATCATCATCTCTTGAACTTGAATTTCTTACGTTTAAATTTAGTTTTGTAGTTGTAAAACATTTGTCTCATTATTGCACGCGAAATAATAAAAACTCACATCGGAATTGCTTGTATTTAAAGTGAAATTAAAACAAACGCAAGAACCAAAAACAAAGAAGCGATAAATGAGTATCCTTTTTCCTTTTATTAAATATTTATTTGATTGGCAAAATAATACTGTAAAATCTACTTGCGATTGACTTGCAGCAATGGACAGAGAGTTCCGAGGAATTCAAAGACCGTCTGCCGAGCTTACCTGTTCCGTTATTGGTGAGCGAGGAAACGGAGGTATTGTGCGTTGGACCTGCTCCCTTATCTTCGCCAGGTCGCACGCCAGCCACCTCCGTATCGTTTAATAATTTATCGCAAGAAGCAGACACACTGTACTGGAATAAACTTGAGGAAACACTCTTGCAAGTGGCTCAAGGCAACGTTCCGATGATTTTCAAACCTTCGTCCGACTTGTATACACATAAAAATGACAGTAACCCAGTGGTTCCAAAAGGGGGTAAGAACCTATCAATTACGATCTGATTGCTCTTAGTATATATTTTTTATTATTCCCCAATCTTGAATTGGTTTTATTATAGTTTGTTTCTTCAAATTCATAATCTAAGCTCGTATTTTTGTAAAATTTTGTAAATCTTATAGTTCTGAAGCTAAAAGTGAAAACTTTTAATTGGCTTTCTGATATTTAATATATTGTATATAATATCCTATTGTTATCAGCTGTAAGTTTTCCATGTCTGAATAAATAAATATAATCAAAGTTAATAAAAGGGGGCATAAAATTTAACAAATTCATCTTCATCGGTAATTTTAGATGAACCTAATCGATTACAGAGCCTATACACGTTGCAATTACTCTAAAGAATCCATTGAAGGTGACCTACTTACTGAAAGACCTCGAACTGCTTTGGCATTTCACTCCAAATACGGATGGAAGGACAGAAGTCCAGGATGAGGTGTATGAAAATGAATGTAATGTCGCTGCAGGCCACGTGCTAGAGAGCAGCGTGGTCCACGGCCAAAAGATCAGATCCTTACTTTTAGAAGGCGAATGTCAGAAGATGGTAAATTTCATTATAACACCCTTGAGAGATGGAAAATTGGACTTACACGGTCTCGCTTACAGGTAGATTATTAGAAGAATGAATTGGCTTAATGTAAAAATGTAAAATTATTTCGACGTTTTTATTTAATATTAGCTTATGACATAAGAAATATAATGTTTTAATTGGCCAGTTGTGATTGCAGGTTAGTCAACACAACCGACGACAGGCAGACTGATAAAAGTGTGACGGTTTTGGGGAAGTTGAATCTGCAGGGACCACACAATGCACCTAACCTGAAGCGTTTGCGTATCGTAGTTATCAACGAAGCCCCGTGTTTGCAGGTAGGTTATATCTGATCTGCTTATGAACGTATGTACGTTGAAAAGTTACATAGTAGACTATTTTAACTCATTGCCATGTTAGAAAGTATTGCCAGTAAAATTACTAGTTTATTTCTTGTTTTCAACAAAATTATTCTGCCTTTTCCTGGTTATGGCACTATTGTCTCATGCATTACACTACATTGATTATATTTTTTTAAGATGACATTCACAGAGACAAACAACGAAGTAATAAGTGGGGAATTAATAACATTGGACATTGACTATCGAAATGTGGGTCCGGCCACAATGGGCAATTTCCACATCGCGGTGTCTCACCCGGAATGCATGCAGATAGTCGGTTCTGACAACAGTGAGGATAGCTTTAGGTATTTGTATGAAGACAAGTATAGAGAACAGCCAGAATATTCAGGTAAACAGCATTTTGACCTTGGCGCTGACATTTACATACAGCTCATTAAGTGCCTACCCACTTGAAAAAGTACCCACAATTAACTTTACAATTGTCCACAACACTAAATTATTGATATATTTAATAAGAACTACATCCGTTTTTCTCTTGATAAGGATTTAGGACTTTAAAAATCTCCGTATATCTAAATCGTTTCTAAATAACTTCAGTAATAGTGTAATAGTATATATTACATATACCTGTTTCCAAAGCATTATTTTAAATGTTAAGTTAGTTTAAACCGAATCTCTCCCCATATTAACTTATAAAGATGACTCTGTATAGACGAGCGAAGTGCGCGCTTGCACTTGCGTTCCCAAGCGGCATCGAGGCGCGTGAGTCGCGTATGCGAGGCAGCATCTGCCGGGACCGGTGGAAACGCGACGCTGCTTCTGCAGCCGCAGTCCTCTGCGCCTACCTTGTACTTGCTGGCCTACTACGAGACGGGCCTCAAGGCACGCCCCTATCGCCTCTTGAGACACGTGTTTCGGTTTACCACTAAGGCATGTACCCCTTTTTCAGTATTAAAACATCCACATCATAATTTTATTATTGGAGAGTTCTCATCATCTTTTTATGTTGTATGTAAATATGTACATTTTAGGAGTTCAATAAATCCCTCATAAGTTTTAAGGCTCTATGGCTATATGAAGACACGTTCCTTCGAACCTGAGGAAAGTATACACCTGATGATCATGTATGTACAAGTCACCATGGTTTTTTTTCGTTTCAGGATGTTGTCGAGATTTTAATAAACCCTCGTAGGTGCTTGGAAACAGCCGATGGAAACGTTTTGGAAAACACGCGTCTTGCTGTCGAAGTTAAAAATATATGTAATCAGAAAGAGGACCACAACCTAGCTCTGGAGGTGTTGGAAGTGTCCTTGCTCAGCAGACAGTGGAAGTTAACTGATTCCACGACGGCGCTAGAAGCCAACAATTCTTTAATTGCCCGTGAACGATTACATCTTATATTGAAAGCTGTGAGAATATTTGAAGAACAGCCTGAGGGCCACGTCGAACATTCGTGCCTAAAAATGGCCAAGGGAGTTCCGGAGAGTGCCAAGTCCTTAACTAAACCGCCGTTTTCGAGATTCGTTCTGGACTATGTGCCTTCTCTCTTAGACAATTACGAAAGTCCACATCAACGTGACGTTCGCACCGGATTGATTCGATCCATGTTTATATTGCGATGGAAAACCCACAATATGGAAAGTGGAAAGACGACGATCGGCCAACATTGTCTCTGGTTAGACTGTTTCACGAGAACTATTTCCCGAAACAGAGAAAAAGTACCTGACCTTAACATGCCCATTGATGATTTCGACAGCAAGTTAGACTTATTGACCGATGTTAAGGAGAAGCCTGAAACGTCCAATGTTGTTATTCTAAGATTGGAGCATTCGAATTATGTGGATCACAACTTTAAAAAGAGGAAACTCTGCGTTGTACCGATAACAATTAACATCGTTAACTGTTACGGCGACACCGTCCAGGTTTTCATCGATATGTTTAAACAGCAAAACAGGTACGGTTCATCTGTTTTGGGCCCTGATTTTAAAAGACGATGTAGTTATCACAATAAAGACAAATACAGACTTTCAAATTTATTAAAGAGTTGGTTTAGTATGGTTTAAACGTGTGGTGTTCCAGTAATGCCATAATGATTTTTGCTTTCAGGGAATCTACCGGTAACCTCGGTTGGACCGGAGCGTTGAACAACGGGCTTTCAGCTGATTCCAAGGAGTTGGGTTTGAATGTAACGCTAGAAAAATTCGAATCACGCAAAGTTCAGGTATTAGTAAATTCCAAAATAGTTTTTTTAATACATCCGTTTTCATATCAATTAACACCATTATTCATAAGTGCTATGAAAACATTTCAGGTTAAAGCTCTTTGCGCCAGCGCAGGCACATACACCGTTGGCGCCGCCTTCTCTATAACAACTAATGTAGATTCTGATAAAGTGGGTAACACTAAGCTAATAAACAACACATCGTTATTAGTGGTCAAGCAGGTCGGTTAGAGAAAGTATTACTGATTTTTTAGAAATCTTAAGAAATAAACATCAAAAACTGTTCAAATAGAACTTATGATTACTGGTTTTATGTATGTTTTATGCCTTTAGCAAAATTGGTTTAAATTTATAGCTCTAGTAAAAAAAAATTAAAAACACACATTGACTTTTATTTTAACAGTCCTTAATTTTTTTTTAATGAATTGCAACAGCATAAAGTTTTTGATACATGTAACTCTAACAATTAAATCTTCTGTGTAGTTATATAAAATAATGTTTGGATATTAGTGTTAATACAAGCAGAACAGATTTTATAAAAACATAACGTAGCATTAATAATATAAGATGATAACTAACTCACTAACATAACACAAATATTATATTATTAGTGCAACGAATAATGTACTTGTGTAAATCAAGACTAATCAGATATTTAAAATGTATTCTATTATATGGTAAGTACGTATTTTTTAAATATGAAGATAATTATTAATTATGCATCGTTGTCAAATACAGTCTAGAGGCAAATTTGGTAGCTTAAAATATTTTCATCATTGGTATTGCATAACGTAATCTCGATTTCATTTATTAAATAGATTGTATATTTTAATGACTCAAATGAAATCTCGTTTCCTGTAATTTATTATGCTTTCATGGGATTCGAATCCAGGATCTCGCCTCCTCACCGTCACAAGTCCAAAAGTAAACACACAAAAAGCAGTAATTTAAATGTTTACATAAATCTTGCTTGTATTTTATTTTTTTTATACAAAACTGACATTGTACTCTATATTTTGAAAACGTGGATATAAATGTTTAGCGAGTTGGAATTTCATTATGCATTTTTTGGAAGGAGGGACTAACGAAAATGTAGGAGAAACTAATGAAATGTAAAGACCAATATTACATTTAAGAGTGAGTCGAGCTATAATTTTCAATCAGCGTCTCATATTTGATATAATCTACAAGCTAAAATGTTGAGTTTTATTTTGTATCTGTGAACATAAGTTATTTAATAATTAAATATAAATTCTACCTATTAGTAAAACCAAGTCAATGGACACATTAATATTTTTTTTATAAAAAGGAAGTCGTTAATTTAAACTTATATTAAGATTGATTATAAAGTGTTAATAGCATTTTCTTGAACTACGACAAACAGAGAACTTTTAATTTTTGTGTGGGTAACCCTGTAGGCTAAACTTATTCGCGGCCAGAGTTGAAGATAGATGGATAAATGGGCGTCCATCTTGAATTTCACTGAATTTGTGCCGGTTATGTGATAAAAGTGTAATTTGTATATCGAACTTTTAAGTTATTTGATAATTTACGAAACATCTATGAATGCCCGGAGTAATAGTCGTTAAACCGTAGGATTACTGCAGGAATGTGTTAGGTATGGGAATCTACTCCATTTCTTCATTTTGACGAATAATGGCGTGCGTTTTTCTTCCTATGAAGACTTTCAAATTTTATTTCGAATCCTTAAAAACCGAGTAGTTTCAAAAGTTGTATATAACTGGTGGAGATTTCTTTATGCATCTGTTAACCATAAGTATTGTGAAAAGTTATTTGGTTAAAAGTTAATTACTTTGACTGAGTTGGATGTCGTTTTTAGGTTATACATCAATACAAGTGACTCGTAATTGTTCGTATCGCTAGTAATGACCGCCAGTGACAAGTTGAATGATTAAAAATCATATAGAGAGTGATTGTGAACGCCCGAAAGTGACGTTAAAAATATTTTTATTCACAGTATCATTACTCAAGACATATGCGATTTCCGGTAAGAGCATCGTCGATAAAACCTTAGGTTGGCAAAGGTCTCATACAATGGCAGTACCTAGTAGAGCTCGGGTATATGCCGATGTTAACTCACAAAAGCCTAGAGAATACTGGGATTATGAGAGCTATGTGGTAGACTGGGGCAACCAGGAGGACTATCAGTTGGTTCGAAAACTTGGGCGTGGAAAGTACAGTGAAGTATTCGAAGCAATAAATATCACAAATAATGAAAAATGTGTAGTTAAAATATTGAAGGTAAGTAAGTGTTTGGTTTATATTTTAAATTAAAATATTGCAAAAAACCTCTTGCGCGCACGAACTTTTGGGCCACTCTGACCTTTACTAGTGCCTAACTCTTCAGAGAGCTAGGTGAGAATATCTACTAGAAATAATCAGTTTATACTGAGGTTAATATATAATTTGACTAATGCTCCATGTAACTATTAAATACATAGTAGTGAAGAGTATAATCTAAAATTGGCTTATATACATACTTCAATAGTTTTAGTAAGCGGGCAAGTAAAATACATATGGTATTATGCATTAACAAGTTGACACATTTGCATCATTGATTAAAGTATTCTTTTAAAATCAAATTTCGTAAATATGAACCTGACAGATAAATTTTATTAATAATACATAGATTTTTTGTAATGTTACAATGATATTTAATTTTTATTTTCAATTGTTATAGCCTGTTAAAAAGAAGAAAATAAGAAGAGAAATAAAAATCCTAGAAAATTTAAGAGGAGGCACAAATATAATATCATTTAAAGCTGTTGTAAAGGATCCTGTATCCCGTACTCCGGCACTCATTTTTGAACATGTTAACAATACTGATTTTAAGCAACTTTATTCAACCCTGTCAGATCAAGACATAAGATATTATCTGTATGAACTTCTGAAAGCTTTAGACTTTTGCCACAGTATGGGCATCATGCACCGAGATGTGAAGCCTCATAATGTGATGATTGATCATGATAATAGAAAGCTACGCTTGATTGATTGGGGTTTGGCAGAATTTTATCATCCTGGTCAGGAGTACAATGTTCGCGTTGCCTCAAGGTACTTTAAGGTAAGTAGATTAACCAATGGCTTATTATTGTGAAAAGAAAAAAGGGCTTAATTTATATATGTTAATTTTTTTTTGTTTTAGGGACCTGAACTCTTGGTTGATTATCAAATGTATGACTATTCATTAGACATGTGGTCACTAGGATGTATGTTGGCATCTATGATCTTCCGTAAAGAGCCCTTCTTCCATGGTCATGATAATTATGACCAGCTTGTACGTATTGTTAAAGTGCTGGGCACAGAAGAACTATTTGAATACTTGGATAAGTATCACATAGAATTAGATCCACGGTACAATGATTTACTTGGAAGGTTAGTTGTGCTCCTGTGACTTTTCTGATTAATCACAATAATTACACTATTCAAATGATAATCATTTTCTTTCAGACACTCACGCAAAAGATGGGACCGCTTTGTACATTCAGAAAATCAACATTTGGTATCTCCCGAAGCTTTAGACTTTCTTGATCGTCTTTTGCGCTACGATCATTACGAGCGTTACACAGCACGCGAAGCTATGGATCACCCATACTTTTGTAAGTTTAAGAGTGACTTATGTAGCCATATAAATAATATAGATGCTATCTATAGAAACTTTTTACATTTCCATTATTTTAAATTAAATTATATAACTTAGGTTACACTTTTAAATATTGTAGCTGCCTTACTTTGCAATTCTACTTCTAAAAAGTAATAACATTGTTCCAATCTTCTTTGCAGTAGTCTAGACCAAGATATGCTTTTTATTTAATTTTGTGTATTACAATTCCGAAATGTAATAGAAATATTTTCTATCTTTAGATCCAATTGTAAAGGTGCAGGAAAGAATGGCGTCTTCTAATTCACCAACTACGAATGCATTGCAAGGTGCAAAAAATACAACAGAATAATATTTAAAATATTAACTAATGCTCTTTATAACAGTATGTAATGATATATATTCACCTGTACAAGACCCTGGAAGATGAACGTGAAAACTATGCACTTACAGTGTTTATCAAAATATGAACATGGAGAAGAAACAAAGGAATTTCTCCAGTCATATGAACTATGAATGATTTCTGTTCAACTGTCACGTATGGTTTGGAAAGACAATATACTTTAGTGTTAAATGTTAGTAAAATCTGGTTAATTAATTATTTTAAAGTGTTTTCATCTCTGATACAAAACCATTCAGCACCGAAGACAGCTCATTACTTAAAAGTATTGCGAGTTGCAGTAAAGAAACACCAGCAGCCCACACGTTAAGAAACCTTTGGAGTTACATTGCACTTGATCTTTGCATTTATTAACCTATGGTATTTATATTGTAATTACTTGTATAATACTGATAACATCCACATACTGTTTTGAGATACTGGTTATTAGCTGTTTTGTTGACACTAATTGAGTTAAAATTTTGTATTTATATTATAAGTGTAGATATGTGAGTAAATACAAAATTTTAATAAATAACTTTTTTCATTACATGTTTCAAGGAATACCAGTAAATTTAAAATATAGATAGTGATGTTAAAGGAACATCGCTTCTATTAGAATATATTTTCGATAAGTTATGTTAGCTGTCCCTATAAATATATAGTTAAATCGATCGGTCGTCATTAATAAACGGTGAGCTACAATGTTTTAATTTATTTTTAACGTGTAATAACTTAAAGTTGTTGCATCAAAAATTTTCTAATAAACAAACTAACTTTGCCTCGTATGTTTCCATTTTTATAACATGTGTTTGTGTCTTAGGTGTAGGTGTGGATAAAAATAAAAACCACAGTGAATTTCACATAAGTTACATAGAAATTCAGGATAATGTCTCTAAATTATTTTTTATTGTTATTAGTGGTTTCTTTGACTGTCAATGTCGTAGTAAGCTACCTTTGAATGGGCAAAATGAGACTTATCAGTGTTTAAATTTTCCCTATTGTAGTTTAGTTTTTTAAAAGCAATCAAGTAATGAGGCCAAAAACACTTGGTGCAACAGCGTAAGATCTTAATGCCTTCATTTAACTGGTTATGAATTGTTTTTCATAAGTTGTATTTAATTATAATAAATATTATAAACTATTATTATTTGTACTTCTCAGTTTGGCTAGTTTTATTAGCTATAAATAAAGCTAAATGTGCCACTTCATTGACAAAATTTATTCCATTCATGCTAGCTTACACATAGATAATGAGATTTGTTTGATCTTGATTGGTGTTTCATATTACGGCCAGCATTCATTATCTCCTGAGAATATCATATACACTAGGCTCTGCACCAGAAAAAGACTTGATCCATGTAGAGTGGACCCAAAACATGACAGAAGTTATAAGTATTAAATAAGATCATCAGTGTCATTTTGGTAGCAATGCAAGTGTAAAGATCCTAAGTAATTGATATTGCTTTTGAAGTGAAATAAACGAATGATAGCATGTGTTTTGATGCAAGAAATTATAAAATTGCCTACATTTTAATATCCAAGCAATGTGTTTAGGACCAGTCAAATGGCTTTAGCAGCATATATGAAATTACATGGCGCGATATGCATGCATTAATAGTTTGAAGAAATTCGACGATAGCGCGGAACGCTGTGGATTCTGTGTGTTCAAGTCCTGCCTGTGTCAATTTTTTTCCATATAAAACCAATTTTTAATTTATATAGCACATATCTCAGGGTACTCTTTCAAGGTTTGCACATAGAACCTTCTACCACATGCATCTTTAAAGGGATAAAATAAAAAGATTATATTTAACTTCACTTATGTATTTGTATCTAACTCATTATAATTCTTGCTACATGTGTAGCAAAGTGTTTCATAGATATTTGGAAATACTGAAACATTTGAAGGATAATTATCTAAAACTTTAGCCAAAGTATTTGTGCTGCATACTCCAGATGAAACCATTTTAGAAAATGTGATAGCATCTGTTGCAACTAGTTTATTTGGCCTGTTTATAAGATTCTGAAAAATAAACAAACAATAATTTTAATACTATACAAACATAATCTCTACAATTTAAATACAACTGACTTATAGACTAGGACCTAGGTCATCCAAATAGATAATGAAAATACATACCAGGCATAATTCACACTTTTTGTTACAGTTGTGCAGGCTTTTCGAACCAATTTTATCTGCTGTTTTGCATATCGTGGAAATAGTAGTAGGAGAATGGTTCTGTAAGTCTGCTACAAAATTTGATAATACTGACTGCAAGGTATTATTATCATTTTTGTTAGAATTAGGGACTGGTATTAATTTTTTTACTTTGACATATAGGTCTAATTCTTCATCAGTTATTTCTCGCATTGGTCTAAATATTTGTATGCTACTATTTCGTTGATCAGCAAACCCCTAAAAATATGCATAAAACCTAATATAGAACAAAACTTGTAAACTTATTTACTTTTTGCATATATTTTACTAAGATTATACTCACAATATCATTTTCAATTTGTGAACCTCTCCCCAACACAATGTTTGATAGTAATTTAGTTGAGAGAGATGTGTTCGTTTCAGCAGTAAAAATTAAATTACAACCAAATTCCTTTGCAAAATGATACCATAGGTTTTGGGTTATTTGTGATACAAAATCAACCTGTGTACTTGCTGATACATTACTTCTTATTTTGCTTATGTCTGGCATCTTGAGGTCATAATTGTTGTTTGATGGACTAGATATGTCATTTTTTAAATAATTTGATATATCTAAAATGTTTATTGTAACATTGTATTTCTGTGCCTGTTCAATTATTGCAGCACTAAAAGACTCCTGAGATGAACTTATACCTGAAAAAATAATGGTTTGACTTAGGTATGCCATTATACCAAAATAAAAAATAAGTACGTATCTTACCAGTTAAGTATAGGAAGACGGGTGAAATTCGAAGTTTTTTATGAGTATCCAATGAAATACTACTCATAACCAAATCTAACAAGACTGTAAAAGATATCTCTTCTGTAACACATATCATAACTTTGTTTGAATGAGTTAGTTTTGTGTTCTTTCCAATGCACGCACGAAACTTATGAATAATATTTGCTATAAAACAACTATCACAGTAGTGGTATATTTTTCTGACGACTACAGTTCCTGTACCATTACACTTTTTACACAACATTATTTTAAGTAGCTACAACAGCTAAATATTTTAAAATCTGAACCAAAGATGTAAACTGAATTGTTAATGTAATTTGTCAAGGGCTTAAATTTTCACATTGTAAAAATGACTTAGAGGTTAGGACTTAAGAGTTAAATGTCAGATTGGTGTCATAATATAATCTGTCTGAATTCTGATGTCAGTTATAAGATGTGGCAATTTTATGCTTTAGTTTATGGCTATAATGTCATTCCACTGATTACTGAACTCTTCTTATAGAAGTTATATTTTGTCTTTGAATCTTGTTAATTTCTCAGTCAGAGATCGTCTATTTGTCTATAAATTTTTAGCTTCTGGAATTCCGTTGAGCGAATTCTTTTAGTACTCCATAAAAGTTTAAAAGTACGTATATTTTCTATAATTATTATATCAATCCCTATGATACACAAGTTTATACGAAGTTTCTTGGGTTTCTTTCGATGTTATCAAGTAACCTTAAATTAAAGTACTTCGTTATCGTTATATAAAAATTTGAGACATGTGGCTAGTGGCCATAAAGATTGTGTGGAATGTGGATACATATTAATAGTTAATTAGGAATATAAGAAAAACTTTTTTTTAAATTAAGAAACACCAGCCCTCGTAAAGATATGGCGACACGTTTAACGTGAATGTCGGTATGCCTACGTGTACTTTTTGCCAGGATATTTAAACCACCAGAAGTAAACAAGACGAAGTCTGTTTTTACTTTAGAATTATTAACTCTGCGTGACATTCAATAATTTAACATGTAGACTTTTAGAGACTTCTTCCGAATAAAAAAGCTGTGTAATTTTAAATTTTGTAAATTCATTTAGTCTTATAAATATTTAAATTTACTGACATCTATCATAAATACTTTTCAGATGGCATCTGCTTTAATGCATGAAAAAGTTTGGCTAGACAAAAATGTCTACAATGAAGCAGAAAAGAACTATTATGAGTCTTTAAATAAGGTTAGTTCAAATATGTTACCATTTTAATCATGATCAGATACTCTTGATGGTCTAGTAACTATTTTGTTGGCAATAATATTTTCATATAAATATTGCATTTCAATACATATTTTTTAATCTTTAGAGTCAGATAAGTCCATTGGTGGCGGGATCATCTCTTGCTAGTGAAGTAGCAAAGGCAAGACAGCACATCAAGAATTCACTTGAATGTGTAAGTAACTAAAAACTTTTAGCACTTGTTTTATTAATAATAAAAAGTAGGCTCAACTTAAATAAAATCTATTAAATTAATGTTCTCATAGCATGTGCCATTAAAACATATTTATAATAGTAAGTTTAATGTTGTTATTTTTTTATGCTTTTGTGCATGTCCTGTTAACTAAGACCTATTGGGGATTTCATATTTTTGTCATATTCAGGAGCAGAATTCAGTTTATTGTTTCATCCATAGTTATTACTGGATTACAGATGGACAGTGTCGCAACACTAGCTGGTGTCCCTAATACAGAAATAAACAACAAGCTTAATAAATTAGAGCAAGAGAATGTAGAACTAAAAAAAGCAATGGACGACTTGCGAAAGCTGGTTATAAGTCTTCAAGCCCGAGTAGATAGTATTGGGACCACTGGAGTATCAAAACCCCAAGAGGCAGCACCTAAGGTATTTCATTTATGACTTCTAATATATATGCATATCTAACCTTTAACCATGATTACTTATTACATACCATAGTTTGAATTTCTTTTTCCTTTGAAAAATGTGTTTTTGTGTTGATTAATTATGAGATTAAGAAATAAGTATAATATGTACAGGCAGCAAAAGATGACCAAGAATCAGATGATGGTGTTGATCTATTTGGATCTGATGATGAAGAAGAAAGTGCGGAAGCAGCCAAAATAAGAGAGGAAAGGCTGGCAGCATACAATTCGAAAAAAGCAAAGAGTTTGTACCCTTTCCTTCCTTTTATATTTGCTACCTCTACATAGTAAATTACTGAGTTCCAAAAACCCATCCTAAAATATAGTTTTTAATGAAAATGTATACATTTTACTGCTATTATAAGCAGAAAGTTTTCAAACAGTTTTCAATTGATAAAAAAAGCATTTTTGTATCTTAACTCTATAAACATCAAATAGGACTAACATTTTTTTTTTCAATTTTAGAACCTGTTCTCATTGCCAAGTCAAATATTATTCTGGATGTGAAACCTTGGGATGATGAGACTGATATGAAAGCGATGGAGGCATCAGTTAGGAAAATTGAAACGGATGGCCTTCTTTGGGGAGCCGCTAAACTTGTTCCACTTGCATTTGGTATACACAAACTGCAAATCTCTTGTGTCGTGGAAGATGACAAAGTGTCAGTGGATTGGCTCACAGAAGAGATTGAGAAAATCGAAGATTTTGTAAGTAGATTTATTATTACATTATTTAGACCCTATTTTCAACCCCATCTCATCTAAATTTGTCTTTTATTTTTTCAGGTGCAAAGTGTTGATATAGCTGCCTTTAACAAAGTCTGATTTGAATAATAAATTGTACACTTTTATTAAACCTATTTTTGTGTATCTTATCGTTTGTTATTTACTAAGGATAATTGAATAGCAATTACATTTTTAGTAATCCTAAAAGAAGTCGAGGTTTTCGAAAAGTAGCGAACGCTCGCTCGACGTAATTCACTTGGTTGAGAAAGGAAATATTTATATTTGAAGTTTCTTTTCAATTCAATATAATATATTCATTAAATTAGTGAACAATCGTCATCTTTATATTTACAGAACTATTCGTATTTGGTTTTTAGAAGTAAATGAAGACTAGACGCCTAGTATTATTTTGTATTTTTTATACAAAGAACGGAAACCTAAAAAAATTGACGAAGAAAATAAGGGCAGCATTATCATTACAAACGGCTCCTGAGGTGCGTGTGGGAAACCTAGTCGTTTGAACGGTTAAAAATGCGAAATTTATTAACTGAAATGTATTTTGCCCCTTAATTAAAGGTAAAAAAAATGCGTCAGTTACTATCATGAGTAACTGACGCATTTTTTTTCACGTTTTAAACCGGTAAAAGTGTGTTTTTAACGTGTACTACTCGCGTAAAGTACGTAAAGTATTTATTGTTTTCCTGGGCTTCGAACATGTACTCTTTTGCTATGACAGGTTTAATGCTTGAGTTAAAAAGGCGAACTCTTTTGGTAATTGTACAACGTTCCTCTTGCAATATATCTAATCAATATTTCTCTTTATTTACAAAATACGCATGAATGAATATAAGACAGCCGAAGAAAGCTCTTATTCTTCGCGATTTTTATTGCTCGTCTGTCATCGTTTGTTTTTTATCTTTCTTGGGGCGAATTCAAAGCTGATGCTGAGCTCGTTATCAATGGTGTTTTGATAACGAGATCAATATTAAAAGCTTTAAGAAGCGATAATAATTGTTGCTGCGTAACAAACCTACATTTAAATAAAACACTTTAACGGTTTAAAACGCGATATATTAGTTAAACTTTTTTGAAAATGATTTGTCTCCCCGTGACCACGGCTGCTTTGACGCACGGCAAAGCATCCGAAATGTCGGGCCGAAGTTAAAAATCATTTTCAAATAAGTTTAACTAATATATCGCGTTTTAAACCGTTAAAGTGTTTTATTTAAATGTGTACTACTCGCGTAAACAATAGACAGTATTTAACATTTTATGTTTATGCTACAGACGAGCGTAGGATTCACTTGATGGGAGGTAAAAATATCCATTCTAGCTTTGGATATTCAGAAACAAAAGCTAAACCGTAACACGGTTACCTTTTATCATCATTTTGGAGTCGCGTTAACACATCACCGAATCTCATAGTGCAAACTTTCTCCGAGTACCTAAGCAATCCCAGTTTAAGGAACTGGGCAAAAGTACACGCTGGCGGCAACCACAAATAAACAGTAATGTTAACTGATTCGTACTATTTACATTTTTATATGATATACTTGTGGTTTTTACCTGAATATAGAATTATTATTATTTTACGACTTTTCAAAGTGTGGACGTTGGTTCTGACCTGTCCTGAATTTAATTTTTTTCTACCACCTCTTTAGGATGTAGATTTTATGTCTAACGTGTTACAGATAAAATATAAATTGGTTTTAGGTAAACGGCGAAGAAATCTAATTCATTTTTTAAGCTTAGGAATAGCTTGGACCCGTGGATTCTTATCGGACTGCCGGTTCCTGTTGCAGCAAATTGTTAATGCTATCTAATAATGTACAAGTTTTAAATCAAACCGCCAGTTTTTGATATGACTAAACAAATGCAGTCCTTGGTAACCTGTCTTGTTATAAATTAAATGTGATTATGATGATGGAATAAAAGGAAAGACGTAATGTATACTCCTATCGCACTTCAACAAAGATATTAAAATATCTTTGTTGAAGTGTATCAAGTGCACTCTTGATATCAAAATAATAAATCTAGTTTACGTTGTCCTGAAGCTTGTAATCAAAGTAATGGGTATATTAAATATTGATAAAAGTTGCAATAAATCAAGAATCTTAAGCAACTCGATCGCAAATTTTGTAATGGCTGATGGTATAACCGACGTTGTGGAAGTGGCATTCATCGCCCCAGGCTCACCGGGCAACCGGTGTCTGGTACGACGAACGTTTTCTCTTCAATTTTTAACTACGAAAAAAGCCCTTACGCTCGTATTTCGCGTTACAAAGAATTGCCACAGCTTATATGCTAACGTAATACGAAAACCATATGATTAATTGTTGTGCATAAATAAGAATTACTTATTATAATTTCGTTCGCAACGGAAGCTTTATTTTTTCTACTCGCTTTATTAATATTCTTGAACATCACAGAAACCGAGAGTCATACGAATTACGTTTCCGATTGGAATGAACGTCCAACGCTAGCCGATTGGGGTTGAGGGCTCCAACACGAGCGGAAGATAAATTGGTCGTTTTGGTGCGTGGTGGCTGCGCGGGCAGTGCGGGGAGGCGGCGGGCGCGGCGCTTGCGCGCGGAGGCTGTTGCGCTCAGAGCACCTGCGCCCGCGCTCCGTAGCGCCGCTCGCCGTGTGCTCGTGACCCGCCGCAAGCCCGCGCCGCCCGCAGCGTCGTGACGCCGCCCACGGTACGTGAGACTCCGGTGGCGCGTCGGGGTCGGTCGACTGCGCGTTCCTCACTGCACCGCGCCGCTCGACGCTCGCTGGAGTCGTCGGCGCACTCGTTCGAGCGGCCCGGCCGGTTTTGTGTTTTCGCCGGGCGGGCCGTGACGTCACGAGACTAGTTCGATGCGCGTGCGTGACGATCTGCGACAGGACGTTTGCTACCGCCCCCGACCTTAGATTCTGTGCAATAGCGTGCTCGTTTGTGTCCTTTGAGTTGGATTTTGGTGCCCGTTTGTATCGGTTTAGTGAGAGCTTAAATCCATCGTCAGTCGTTATTTGGAACAAAGAAGTCTTCATTTCAAATTAAACTTCCAACTTCCACGCAAAGTATGCAATGTAAACAAATATGAAATAAGTATCCGAGATAAATCTCTTCGGCAGTGTCTTGAATCGCGGTTATTTTATGCTAATGTAAGTCTCCTCCATTCAACGAACGAGCTTTATTTAAGCTCCCCGTAGTTACAGGCGTCGCTGTGTGCGAGTCTGTATATATCTACCTACTTCGTGGTTCCAACATCGCGGCGAAGCCTTTTTGTGCTTTTATTTTTCCTCTCTCTGCCGCAAGACAACAACCTTTAAACGCAGCTACATATGTATGCAATTGATTGGACGCCAAATTTAGGAGTATTTTTATTCAGTTGTTTATACATTATTGTCTCAATCTTAATAATTACTAATATCGACTATTGATTTTATTAGACACAACGAATTTTTATGTTTTGTATTATATTTAAGAATGGTCGACATTGTTTTAGTTTGGGTGGTGCCAAAAATATATTTCATTTAATCAAAAATATATTTTTAATGTATTTAAATAAAAACGCTTTCGTTATATGTCAAATGTTGGATGGTTTATTATTTAATGTATTATTACTTTTCGAGTAATGAAATCGTTATAAGTGTTTTATTTAAATGTTTACCACTCGCGTAAACTACAGACAGTATCTACATTTTTTAATGAAAATATAGGTTATTTTATATAAAAATATATAAAACGAAACTTATTTAGGAATACATATTCACTAACTTTGATATAGAGTTAATGGGATCGATATCTGAGGCTGTTTTCCCTATTTGAAGAGGGCACATTTGAAGGGCAATAAATTATGATGTTAAAAACATATCGAATTTCAACATTGGTCAGATATAATCTGGATTTTAAGTTTTAATTTAAACGCATCTATCCGTCCTTGTCTTGTAATCTTAATTCTTAAATTATAAACCGACGTTCTGTCTCTCTTCCACCTTTTAGTGCCCTCGCAGCCTCCATAGGAATCCGAAAGAAAGCTTCTGTTGCGTGACTGGAACCTTTATGTTATAAACGCAATGAAAATAAAAATACTTGCGCTTCTGAGTCACATACCTACTACTTTTTAAATGTTAATTCATAAACCCAGAATTCGATATTAAACAGCTGAAGAACGAATATTTTAACTGGTTAGAAATCTGTTATGCATTGAATTTCACGGCGTTGTTATCCTGTAACAAGTTCGACAACCACGTGGTTATGTTATAGTCTTTCCAGTTTGTACCGTTTGGTGGTGCTTTTCTGAACGCCATACCTCGCCAGGGCGACGTAGTTCCTGAACGAGTTCGGGCCGGTCAGGTGCCACTTAATACTTGTTCTAACTGGACTCGAATCAGCTGTTCTTCTGCTTTGTTTGAGTTTACTTTTGTTTTTTGGCCTTTCTTGCATGTAAATTTCCAGTTAGGCTACGACTCGACGAAGCCGCGTTATTATAGGATCGGCCTTAATAAACAAATCACTATCGAGCGCGCTATTCGCACCGAATTAACATTTAAAAGTCAGCAACGTATTGAGTAGCATTTCAATTTCAGAAATTCAAATTGGTCGATTTGAGTGTCGAGCGGGGCGCTCTGGAGTGGCGCCTCCGCTTACACGAAGACGTCACAGCTAAGAGGCAGCTCTGCGGCGATATGTCCGCGTCACCTCAGCCGGCGGGCGCGTGCGACGAGCGAGCTCGCACCCCCCGAGCGGCCGCTTCGCCACCTTCCACGCCCCGGTCACCGGCTCCGGCGCACGCCGTCCTCGCCACCATGACCCCGGTCCAACCCGCCCACGACTACTACCCCCATAAAGTAGAGATGGACTCGGACGACGGCTATCCTCCCGAAGCCCACTCCTATCGCCATTCACCGCACGGGCTAGCCGCTTACGCCCCAGACAATAAAGTGCCAGTTCAGCCGGATGTCTACGATCAGGGAATGGAGTCCATAGATGAGAAGACTCCAATAGATTTTATATACGAAGACGACAAGGAGACCGTAATATATACAACGACGCCGGATCAGAAAAGAGTAGAAATGATAAGTGGAAAGCTCGAAGATGGGCAGTTAGTGAGCGGAACCGGTCAGCTTGTGGACGGAGGAGTTTCGGTTGTCGTCGGAGCTCCCGGACAAGGCACCGTGCTAGTGCTCGCCGATGAGCTGGGCCAAGTCATCACTATTCCGAGGTAAGTGCTTTTATATCAAACTTAATTTTTTATTGCTTTGTTGTACGAGGCTTTTTTGCCACATTGATTTGAACACGAAACTCTATCCTCTTACAATTTAAGCGGGTAAGTATCGAAGATTCGTTAGGCTATTTGATCGGTATGTAGGTCTGCCTAAGGTCCAGTGTAACGGTTGTGCTGGCACTAGGAGCGGCGCGTGGGTGGAGAGACGTGCTCACCTTGAACTTGCCGAGTCCGAGCCACCTCTCGCGCCAAGCGATCACATTTCGATGCTGCGTATTCAGCCAGCTAACTTCTAAAAATTATTGAAAGTCGATAATAAATACTCTGCCTACGTCAAACTCTCAATCTATTTCTGTTCTAAGCATTAGCACTTGAAAATACAATCGAAAGCTTTGTTCTATTATATATCCAACGTTCATGCTTAGTAAAATCCCAGTGAGGCAAAGAATACATAGTTAACATCAACGTCAAAATTTGACATAATCCTCAACAGGAAAATATTCCTATTCAGTCTACCCTTTTATTTCCTTTCACAAATACACGTTAAATATTTACTGTTGCAAATTGAATTATTACGTGGTCGATAATGAATTTTTTAGTCAACTGTCACACGATTCTACAGTAGCTAGGAATAAGGTATAATTCTATAATTTGTTTGGAAGCCGAACAGACAGGTCGATGCACTTATTGTTTTACTTAAACATTTATATATTTCTAAGTGTAAGCGTGGCCTAGCGTTAATAATAGCGTATTGTATTGTGATCAGATTTAAAGAGTTCTAATTTAGATAAAACTCGGCATTGATATTTTCCTGCCTACGTGTTAAAATGTATTCCCACTTAGCTAGACAGAGTACTTTCGATTTGCGATTCATACATGAAGACTAAGTTAAGATTTCGAGTAAGGCGTATGAGAGAAACATAATAATATCTAAGTATTTATTATATTTAGAATAGCCCGAATTTCTATTGACTAATAGAACAAAAGTGCCTAGGCACATAATTCATCGAAAGACTTTTAATGCTCGACTAGGTGAGTAGTAAATTAATTGATATCACCTGCTCTTTTTATACCTATATTCTAAAGATGTGTAGAAGTAATTATTGTCTGCAGTTGACGGTAAAAGTAGATACATACATTTAATAGTTTAATACTTAAGAAAAATATTAGTTAACAGTCCATTGTGAATTTAGTTCAATCACGACGCGACGTATCGCATGCTTTGCAGTTAACCGAACAAAAAAGTTTTATTTAAGAATGTTTTGTGAATTGTAAGTCATGTAAAAATGACTTTAAGATAGGGAAAAGGTATAGAACCCCGAGGTTTAGTTAGATAAATCGTTATTGTAATTAACTTCCATCTACTAAATAAAGCACTGAGGTTTCATGATAACAGAATATAAAATAAAAAAGCTTTTAGTTAAAATGAATAAATAATCTCGATATGGATTGGTAGGTGAGTGATAAAAACTCGGCGGAATCGTTTAGGACGCCGAGAGGCAACGCAGCCTCACCCGCCGCGCCTCCAAGGCTTTAATGATGACTTTTTATTGTGTTGTGGTGCAAGTCATGAGCGCTTTACTTGTAATAATATTATATTAAAAAGTTGTATTCTTATTGAAGAGTGTTATTCAAATGATTTATCTGAATGCACATAAAAACAAATACGATATACTAGAATGAAATGCGATGCTATCGTGTGTAAAACAAAAAATATTAAACTTTTCAAATACGATAGTCGGCCGATAAAGTTGTCAGGTAACCTAAGATGTATTTTTGTTAACTCGGAAAGAAAAATGAATGAAGGTTCTTGAAACAACTTTTATATTATACTATTAGTATTAGGTTTAAAAATATAATGGTGTTCATTCAGTGTAATACAATGTTTTAACATCAAGGTTTTTTTTATGTTAAAATTTCTTTGTTACGTACGCTGTCGCCTGTAGCTTACGACGCGTGGAGGCGACAGCGATCGCCGCTCCCCCGCGCGCCCTTACCCCTCTCTGTTATTTTATTGCCTCGCACTCGTTGCGGTGAACCCTCGAGATGAGCTTACGATCACCTCCTTCCCAATAATTATAATTCGATGTAATTATTTGGTTTACTTCTCGGTGTACCTTCTGGCCCCTTTCAATTTACACTATACTAACATATTTAAGTCTTTTCCTACACAGTTAAAGTCAAGTAAATTAGGTATAATAATGTTTCGGGATACAGGTTTCGCACCTTTCTCCCCTTTACTACAGTAGTGTGTGGTCTGATTCTATTCTTAACTATTCTCTAGACTGTTTAAAATAAACACAGAATTAAAAAATCACTATATTCCAATTATTTGGCCGAGATAAGAGGTCAATAGACTCTGGAAAGCGGGATGCCCTAACGCGCTTGCAAAAGACATCAACGAGCGCGCAGCTGCCTTTGCAAGCGGAAAGATTCCCACTACGAGCATAAAATACATATTTAGAACATGACATCACATACACAAATCTTTAAAGCGACGAAGTTAATAATCATGACCGCATATAAACACAAAGTTCAGCGTGTCCTTTAAAAATTAACGATCATCCTTTCTACCTGATGCCGCTGTCCGAGTGCAAATAAAAAACGGTTTCCCCAACGTAAAGGGTTCACTTCCCAGCGCAGGTTGTAGATAGCCTCGGCTCTCACACATGTAAACAAACACACATTTGTGGAGATCGCTCGCTATTACGGCTTCAACAGAAATCTCGGCGGGATACGACTTCCTCAACTTCAGTGCGGAGTCTATTTCGTTTTTTAATTTATTTTAGTTTTAGGGAAAGCCAGTAAATGTTTAGATCTCTTCTACACAAATCTATAAAATAGTTTTAATAAATATTATTGTTAATTGTTTTCTCAGAAATCAGATGAAACTTTTGTAACGTTTTTTACATCATATGTAATCTGAGTAGTTTACCGAAAATAAATCTTTTAAGTCTTATAATAAGGCTTAAAGTCACAAAACACAGCGCACGTTTAAGTATATTAATTTAAATTCATAGCGATATTTTGATGTTGTTAGGGTTTCATTTGCGATTAGAATTTCGTTGTAGCTATGCGCATGAGTTCGAATGAAACTTTCAATAAAGCTAAAAAGTAATTTTGAAAATAGTTCTTCATTCATTCATTATTATGAATAGGAAGGTAATACCACAGCAAAGTAAAATAATTTACCTACTCGCAGCACTTTGGGAGTGAATTATTTACTATCTTAGAGTTAAAAAAGTATTCTTCCTTCTTTATACTTATTTTTAAGTAACAAACGTTTCTTGTATTACTAACGTTCAACATGTTTTTTTTATTTAGATTGACAACAGTAAACCATAAAACATTGGTAAAGATAGTTAAACGTAATGTTAAGAAAATGTTACGCAACTGGCCGGTTTGTGCTCGTTTAGTTTTTTAAATATATCAACTTACAATACCACAGATCCAAAATCATGAAACGACTTTGCATAGATAAGCATCTATAAAATCATTGACTCGTAAAATCGGTGAAACTCTTTATTCATCACATCGACATAGCGAACACTCGGCGGCCTCTATCGGTGTGCGAGGCCTTTGTATGTGTGCAGCTTATTAGTACGATAAAGACAGAGAACTGAACAGATCTGTATGTTCGTGTGAGAGGGACAGTCAACAAGGCTAGCCTTACCAAATATGTATAAGTATAATATGAATGTTCGATTTTATTAACTCCATCGGTTACACCATTCGACATTTTGATATTTTATACACAGACATATGTGTTTTTTGACAACAAAGAAATAAATAAAACGTAGTATACATCTTCGTAGTGGCGTATGTATTGTTCGTGCTGTAGAAAAATATATATCTATACAAAAAATAACAAAAAAGGTCATATCAACCTACAGTTTCTGAAGGCTTCATGAAACTTTTCTTATTTGCAGTCCCTTTCGACATTTGACCACTATTTTATTACACTGCAATATTAATAAAAAGATTTCGAATTAGGTAAATGGAATGATAAGGCAACGGTCACATAAAACCACCTAAAAGATGCGTCTCTCAGAGATTAAGCAATATTAGTCTTTGCTTCGTATTTTTTTGTTAATTTAGTTTGAATTGAATTGATAGCGGCGCGATTTGAATTTCAAATTTTAGATTAGTAAATTTACGATACACATCGTGGAACACAAATTAGTTATACGTATATATATTATAGTCATAAAGATATTTAGGAGCTTTAATGTTGTGTATTTTTTTCAATTTTTATGTTGCTCATATTATGTTGTTTGTAGGTGTATTTGTGTATTTATGTTTTATGACTATTGGTTACGATTTAAGGTTGCACATTCACTTGTTTACAGTCGAGTGACAGTTAATATGGATACAGGGTCCAAAAATATAACATTGTTGCGAGGACTGCAGCACAAGCGTACAAGGGCGCCCTCTCACTCACGTCATAGCATTTTCGATCAAGCTTAATATTCAATTAACTACCTTTACGTTAGTACACTATCAAAGTGAAAAAGCGCCAAAGCCAAAAGTAATTATCAAATTAATCGGTCTTGTATTACGGTTAAAATATAACTATGTCTGCTTCCTAATAGGTGTTTAATGTTTGACAGATTCCAATATTCGAGTAGAAATGTTGTAAATTAACAATATTTGTTTTTCATGCAGTTAACGTTTTTCCGTAACTTATTTTACTGGCAGATGCCAAATGAGATGAGGTTATTTCAATAAAACAAAATATTGTTTCAAGATGTAGCTTGTTGAACAGTGGAAAGCTACGAAACAATGTAGTCACACAGAAGCAATTTTCTTTCTTATCTGTTGTTCTTTTTATATACATGCAGTACTATTGCACACGAATTGCAATGGTTGTATTCAATTTGAAGCTTCTCAGCTGGATTATTGGCACATTTTCCTTTTGGAACATGGCTGCGCTATTAATTAAGTGCATTACAAAAAGACACAACGGATACGGTACACTTTTAAGGAGTAGAGCATTTTTGTATACGTTTAATGGTTTATCTCGGCATCTTATAATTACTGATCATTTTTTTCTGTAGCGAAGCAAGGACAGCTTAAGTACCTTCTCAAAGAATTCACTCGCCTATAGCTCGCTTAAAAAAGAGCGCGTCGGACGATATGGAATTGCTTTTTGTGTAGCGCAGTCTACATACAAGGAGACGCGATCCGCCACGTCCCGCTCCTCGCCGATGTAAATGATCCCCTTGAATAATGTGCCCCATTCTTGGTCATCTCATCTCCTAACATATAAGGTACGAGGCAATTAACCGTTACTTCC